GGGTCTAGTCTAGGCCCAATTCCCTTCTTGGGTTAGTCATTCCTTGGTCCAAATTAGGCTGAATAGGATCTATATCCATCTTGGATCCCAATTGAGACTCATTGTATGCATGAGTTGTTGACCCCTTCAGATTCACAAGTAATACTTGGAAGATTTGAGCTAAGTGTTGTTCATGATAGCATTGATTTCAATTATACAATAGAATATCATAAAAAATACTAGAAAAAATTAGTGGAGGTAAAGTTAAAATATTTAAATTCAACTATTGAAATATAGAAAGAGTACTAAATAAACTAAATGACATAACCACAAATTCATATTGGCCTTTGTAGATTTTGAACATAGTCTTTGAAATGTCATTGTATTTCATCCATATTTGATAATAGCTAGATTTTAAGTTAAACTTAGAAAGTATTGACATATCATGTAATTCATTCATTCACCATGGGTAAAGAATAACGATTTAGCACTATCATCTTGTTTAGCTCGATAATTAACACAAAATTGACACCTTATATCTTTCTTTCTCACAAGAATTGTTGGAGTGGCACATGGGTTTTCTAACGGATGAATGACCCTTACTTTTCTCAATTCATAGACTATGCTTTCAATTTCATCCCTTTGATAATGCAAGTATCAATATGGTCAAAGGTTCACTAGCTCAACTTTTGAATAATAATGGATAAACATCATCATTTTTTCATTTTGAAGACAATTTAGTTACTAGTGAGAAAATTTTGAAGACATTTATGTAGATGGATATTTTCTAATAATAAATTGAAAAATATATTCATATCTTCATGAGAACTCATTATTATTTTGTTTAATTCTAGAAATAACAGTTGTTGTTTCTAGATTAATTGTTTCATTGCATTCAATGATATGATAGACTTTGATAGAATTGTGTCTTATTTTAGAATTTCAACTTTTCATCTATCATGAATTTCATAACTATCAAAGTGCATCTAACCTATGAACTTGAGCCATTGCATATCAAGTATGAGATATATGACACCTAGTTGATTAGTAGAAAATTTTGGACAATAGTAAACTCTTGTAATTGTAACTTTACTCCTTCGTAATTTCTTGAGCCTTTGAAAATATATCTATTTCCTATAGTTATCTCATAATTCATGGACTCAATCACTAATAATTTGAATTATTTTAATCATTTTATATAAATAAATTATGTGTGGTATCACAATCCACTATGATTATGGCATCACATTATTACAAAATTCTTTTTAGTTTCATTGACCCTGATAAAAAGTTTCATCACTAAATTTAGAGACATATTAGTGGTTAATAACATCCCTTCTTCTTTGAGTTTTTCTTTAAAAGTAGCCTAATCTGAATTATCCTCTATGATTCTTTTATTGCAATAAACTATTAAGATTTGTAGTTTCTTACAAGGATGTCTAGGTTTATATTTTTTTAGTGTTCTTGTAACTCTACCTCAATTAGTTGGATTCATCTTTTTTAAAAATATATTGATAGTTTTCACCATTTGTTTTATTTTTTCATGTTGAGAAGCTTCTTGTGAGCTGAATTTGATCTCATTTCTCCATTCTATATAAATTTTCTCTTAGGATTACAATCTAATTGTTCTCGGCAAATATGTTGTTATAAATTATTCCATTTTCATGTTTTGATGAATTTATGTACCATGCTTCTCATAAAGTATGCAAGTATTGTTCAGTGTATGAGGCATCTATGATATTTATTAAGTCAGTTGGTTTAGTCATTAGATAGTTTGTACTGAATTTTCAATTTTAGCACCTTCTAATATATCTATCCCATAATATCCTCTAAAATCTTTGGAAAGAAAGTGTATAGTTGTTCAAATTATTTTCAATACTCTACTATAGATCTCTCTTTCTTGATATTGAGAAACCTCTAATATGCAACTCCCAAACAAGAAACGTCAAAATACTTACCTAATTAAAATTTGAAGTCACGCTATAGTAGAGTGGTTGTCTTAAGAGAAGTCACGCTATATGCCATATTGGATGATGATGGGGGGGTATCAACCATAAACCACATTAAAAGTGGTTGTCTTAAGAGAAGAATGTATAGTATTGTAATATTCTTCTTGATGTAATCATTCACTCTAAGAATTTAGCTTATTTGATGTAAAACATCTTAACTAAGCCCTCAGATATATCTTTACAATATCTAATTGCACATTAGTCTGTAGATGGTACAATGTACTTATCTTCAACTTGACTCCTTACAATTTGAACATTTTTTCTAAAAATTGTTGATAAATTGTTTTTCACAATTTGAGAAAATTGATCTCATAATCTCTTAAAGTCCAACCATTTTCTTAGGAAAAATGATTGCAATCTCAAGAGTTGAAAATAGATGCTTTAGTGGAATAAAACAATCATTATTTATGCAATGATATTCCCTATTATAGAGAGAAATTTAGATGTGATTGAGGATCTTTAGATAGATAAGTAATAATTGTGGATAACTTTGGATGTTGTAATATTTACTCATTGATCTTAATGAGGTCAATTAGTTAGAAATGTGACAGAGATATTTCTTATAATCTTTTCATAGTTGAAAAGCAAGACAAAACATCTACCACCTTATTATACTTCCATTCTTTAAATCTGCTTTTGAAATCCAAGTCCATCAATTTGACCGGCCAGTTATGATAAGGATCTTATACAAGCTTATGTTCAAGTAATAAATTTAAATAATTTTAATAAGTACAAATTATAAATCTTTAGTGGAATATATAATGTCATCACTTTTGCACAATTTATTATGACAAATTATAATTTTCACTCATATGCTGATTTAACTTGCAAATTTCTTGATAAAATTTGAGTGAAATAAGTTATAAGTCAGCCCTCTTGCATGAATACAGCTCTAATTTCATAATTCAAAGCATTTATTTCTACAAAAAACATTTTAATGAAATCAAGTAAGGATAATACTAAGGTGATAGACATTGCCTCAAGAAGTTGATCAAAAACATTTAAAGTATTTATTAAATGGATTTATTATCTCTACCTACCTTGTACAATATGGCCTACACCCTTATTTTCTTCACTTTGTATTGAATTGTTGACTTACAGGAAAAATCAGACCTTCACTCACTCATCATTTCATACAAGAATTCTTCTTAACATAAGCAATCATTATATTCTTGGCGTGTAACCAAATATTGAACATGTCTCTATTCTTGTTTGCTTTGACAGACTGCAATGTCATGCTGCACATAATGTGCATAAGTGTTCTCCTGCTTTCAATGAAGTGTTTATAATTCCAAGTGATCCCATTGGTTTAGTTATGGAGAACTCGGACTAAATTTATAACTGCAAACCTTTCAAATATGCCTACTTCATGAGTTCTTCTAAAACCTTGAGGAGAAAAGTGGATAGGCATTCAAATTCTTCTCTATAATCAGATAATGATCCTTCTTGCTTAATGTCAAGAAACTATTGATGTGTCTCTAAATTTTTGAAGTTCTAAAATGATTGTTAAGTTGAAATTGGAAATCTTGATAACTCTTGAATGGATTTAAACCTTCCATCTAGATATATAATTCTAAAGGTACGTCATCCAAGTGTTGGATGATTACCTCTATTATTTTCTCTTCTTGCATTTTTTTTATCCGAAAATAATGTTTTACATCTCAACACCATTCTTCATAATTGACTCCTCTGAAAATCCCAATAATTATTTATCAATTTCCATCTGAAATGTGATTTGGAGTTAGCATGAAGGTTGGTACCTTTGGTCATGAATTGGTACTCTCTTTTTAATCATTCTCTAGAGAGCTCTTCTAAATCTGTCTCCAATGTCTCAAGTTATTTTTTTGCAATTCTTAGTCCCATGCTTCTAAGATTTTAATGCTCTTATACTACTATTATGATCTCCTCATCAACTCTCGATCAATGAAAGGAAAAGGTCAATGAAATCAAAAAAAAATTGTAAAAAAGAAAAAACAATGTAAGTGGGAATTAATTCGAGAGAATTCTCCACTCTCCACTCTTATATCTCTTCTTCCAAGATATCCCTCTTATTCACAAGGACAGTGGTGCTTATACCGTTCAGCCCACTCTTCCCTAATATTCAATGTGAAACCTTCTCTATTGTTTCCTTTCAACAAGCATATGTTTTGAGTACGGTATTTCACTCCGCTCTACCTCTGCATGCTAACTCTGAGCCTCCTCAACTTTACATTGGTCCAAAGTGAAGCCTGGTGACAAAGAGAGGAATGAGAAGCATCCAGCTTAAGACACAGCCCATTCTACTTGAAAAAAAAATTATCCCAACATTTAACTCAAAGAAGGGTTGGAATAAGAACAAAATCAACACTTTTTTAAAGAATCATGGATCATAAAAGCTTCATAAATTTTCCATAAATGTAAAATAATACCAGATGAAATTATTTCTCAACTAATATGCTAGAAATTGTGTGGTTTTAATGGCTGAAATTAGACATTAAGAAGTCATAGTAAGTATTTAATATGTGCACGTGAAAATTATGCTATATATAACGAGTCAAGTTAAAACATCACTGCATTTTAATCATTCATCATAAGTTTTGCAATAAAACATCACGATTGAACAATGGGTGTAGCTGCTCACCTCAAAGAGTACCTGGCACACTTTTGCAGAATCAGACCATTCCGCTGGACACATTGGCCAAAATGAAGATAAGTTTCTTAGAGTAATTACGAGTTCAATCATGTCACTACCACCTTGATGTATTCAGAAACTATGGTGAGATTCAACGTGCAGCATAATCCATAAATGGCAAATATCATACAGTGGAGGAAAAATGCAGGAAAACAGGTAAAAAAATAATCTTGACTCAAACACACCCCCCTTTGTACCCATATCAGACTTATACAAAAAGCTCCCCAGAGAGAATAAGGAAACTTCTCCCTGATTATGCGTGTTCATAAGGCAAGTACACCCATCTATCAAAATCACTAATTTAGGCCTTTGTCCCACCTCCATACATAATGAACTGCACTTCAGTCCCCTTCATTATCAACTTGCCTCAAAGGCCCACTTGCCGTCTCAACCACCTCTGCCAAAGCTCCATTTACAGTTTCAACCACCTCTGAAGCTTCCTTTGTGACAACCCTCTTCTTTAGTCTCTTTCGCCACTTATTGGCCTGGGAAGCATTCACAATGGGGTTGGGCTGACAATCACTCAGCACTGAGTCCACTGCTGTAATGCAATCAACTCCAGCAGTACAGTTGGCTGTTGAATCAACGACGGGCATGGTGAAGGCGATTCCATCAATGGTTGGCATGCATTTTACATACATAAGAAGCTTGTTCATCTGCGCCTGTGCATAACTGAATCTCTCTTTTGTCATCGTTGATTCTTGGATGAGCATCGTAGCGAGGGTACGGAGTGACTGAGAACGATAATTGTTCCCTTTGCTTTTGGGGAAGAGTGAGCTCTCAAGCCGCCAGCGGACGGGCAAGTACCTCTCTGGGAGGAAGAAGTAGTTCTTCAGCGACAGAACCCTAATGGCATGCCCACATAATACTCCAGAGCACTCAAACTGCTTACAGCTGCAATGGACCTCTTCTTCAAGAGGCGTCCACCTCACTATTTGCCCTCCATCCGTTCTCAAATGGTGCCGAACAAGGTAGTTATCCTTCTCTGTTTCAAAAACGGCATACTGCATAGACAGTACAATCTCATTTTGTAAAACATAAAAAGCATAAGGAGTAAGAATGGTTGATGCATTATCCTCCATTGGCATGCATGTCTTCATCTTTACAGTCTGAAACTTCTGCCTGATGATTGCCTCTTCTGCTGCTTGACTTTGGAAATCAACCGCCAGACACACCTGCAAGTGTCCAAAAATATTTTCCTTTTCATGATTTCTATGGTATAAAAAGTGTAACAGTTATGAAGAATGTACCTGTTCAACAAAGTCCTTTAGACGTGTTTTTGAGTTCAAAAATTCCTTGAAGAAAGAAGTTATTGACATTGAAACCCCGATTGTATTCAATCCAGCAGAGAAAGACCCTCTTAAATATGGTAAAGCCCAGGATGCCCTGTGAGAGAAAAGTAGATTAATGTGTCTATCTGTCATAAGCCCAAATTCCATAACCATATGTTGCCAGTTGTGCTCAAATTCTTCCACTGTATCCAAGTAATATAATCTATGTATCTCGGACTTGAACTTTTCATAGCGGTAAGTAAGAGCTGAGAACCAACTGGGGAACTTGGACAGAACATGCCATATTGAGAAAACATGCTTCGTGAATGGCCATTCGCGCAGTACAGCATCTGTGAGTTCCAAGTCCAGATCGGTGAATAATGTCTGAGGCAGCCTTCCATTCATAAGGTGCATGAAAGACTACATACAAATATGACCAAAACCAAGAATCAAGACACTTAACTTTTAAAAAAAATGTCATTACATTATAAACGAAAATTGCATGATGAAGGGGAATGGAGACCTGCAATGCCCATGTATATGAGTGTGAAGTTTCATCACGCAAGATAACACAGCCAAAAAATATCGTATTCCCATGGTTGTCTACACCAAGCCAGACACCAAGGGGTCTATTGTATGCATACAGGTGATATGATGTGTCAAAGACGACAACATCTCCAAATACCTTATATGCACTAATGGACTCCCCATAAGACCAAGCAATGTTCTCGAGCTTGTTGCTCTCATCCAGTGTATAATCATAGCGGAAGTCTGGGTTCTTCTCTTTCATGGACTTGCAGACCTTCAGAAGCTCTGCTCCTTCATTCTCTTCATTAAGGTTCTTGGACGACTGAAGGAAATTCCTAAGGTCCCTCTCTGTAAATGTCAATGAACCAGGCTTTACTCCCTTTTCCAATTCAAGCGCCCTCATTATAAGATGGACATTGCAGCCTGCCTTTGAGAGAGCCAGTATGCGTTCGCGGTCAACAGCTGAGATGTTACGGTAGGCAGGAAGGTATCTCACTTCATTGCTATCCAACAACTCGTGGTTATGGACATTGCTGAACTGGACAACTACCCACTGTGCGAGTCCAGACTTTACATCCTTCTTTATAACCATTTGGGCCTCACAGTTGCATCGTGAGGATTTCTTATTTCTCTGGCGTTTCAAATCTGCTGTTTTCCTGGGCAGATTCAAGCCCGCACGATGACAGACTAGCTCCCTCTTATACACACCCAGAGGGTGTGTCTGGTTTCCCTTTGAGCGCTCCCGTCTGATTGAGAAGCCATTTTTCCTGGCAAAATTGCAATAAAATTCTTCAGCTTCATCGTCGCTGCGAAAAGATTGCCCAACATATGGAATCGCATCAACCATTGCAATCTCGGAGGGAGCTTGCGGTGATCCTGGAAGGTCTGTCTCAGAAGGCCCACCAGAATCTGGTGCTGCACTTGCCTCTTCCCCTTCCATTCTGATATAGCAATGTGCATCCTGACATGGGCACCGGCGCCTTCGGATTAAGCAGCCACCTTCTCTGGAAGATGTCTTCGTTTTTGTCATTTATATATGTTTGTTCGGGAATTTGAGGTGGACATGCAATCTACAATAAACGAGCGAGCGATCCAAAGATTCAGGCCATTCTCGAGAAGGTAAAAGGGAAGTCACTCGACACTCAAATGCCGTGGATGAGATTGAGATTACCTAAGTCAGCAGCATCTGAAAGGCCAGTAGTTGTGAATAAATTGGCGAGCTCTGGTTCCATTTAGCCATCCTTCAAAAAAAGATCTCCGAAAATGCATTATAATCGAAACCTATCAGAATTGAGCTCCCAAGTTAGTACGGAGAACGATCATTTTCCCTAGAAAGGTATATCCAACAGCGATCTTCATAAGGTACCAGTCTGGATTTTAGAGAGCAGTGCGAGCGATAAATGCCACACCCATCGTGCTTTTCAGAACAGATAACATTACGACAGAATTCCGGAAATAAATGATCAAAGTACTAATAAACGCCATTTTCCACATGTCGATCAAGAAAGAAATAACTAAAAGAAAGTCGGAAAGGGTAACAGGAACCCGTGGGAAGCAAAAGGATATTACTCAAAGGCGAGCTGACACCCGGGAAAGGCAGTTTACCCCGGGATTAACAGCTCTAGGGTTCAGACGAGGGGCAGCCTCGCGAAATGCGTGCTGAGAGCACCGACTCCCTCGCCGGACATCTGCCGTCCGGCGCGCCTCCTCTGTGCTCCCGGCGAGAGAGGAGGCGGAGAAGTGAACGCGCGAGAGTGGCTGGGATTTGGAGGGAGCGACGGGGAGCTGAGGAGGGATGAGAGTATTCGGACGGCGGGTGGGAATATCAATCTTCCCCGCGCCAGCCCACGAGGACAGAGAACCGGCGACGGCTGATGGGAGTCCCCCTGAAGCTATCTAGCGGACCCCTCCTAGGTCCGAAGTTATTGTCAACCGGGCCGGGCCGGATCCCTTTACGCTCAGCCCGATAATATATTTATTAAAGTAGACACCGGCCCGGGCCCGAGAATGATCCTGATTATTATTATTTTTTATCTTATCCCTTGCAGCTCACCTCCTTACTATTGGGTAAACCCATTTATTTACCTTTAAATGCAAGTTTTTGTACTAAAATATTTGCTTTTTTTTATATTATTTAGTATGCCCACAAAATAAACATGATTATTGATGTGTCCGTTTATTATAATACTTTGAAAAAACACATTTTTAGTTTTATTAATAATAAATACAAGCCCTACGTTTGTAGTTCTAGTTTCGCTTATAGATAATTAGTTGATGCATGCTTATTTTTATTATAGATAAATTATTGGAAATATACCCATTTATTTATCTTAAATAATCATCTACAAATATGGTTTTGCCAAGGGGAGGAGGCCTTTATGTTCTTGAGATTAATAGAGAAAGACAAACAATGACTGCTCAAGTAGAGAGAGAGAGAAGATGATTATTGTTAACCTGGCCAAGTCATATCCATTTGTACTTGACCCAATAATTTCCTATAAATAGTTAGTGGGATGGGCTTGAGAATTCTAATAACTAAATTCATCAATAATTATTGTTTTCTTATTTTTAGCCCTATCAGATCATCCGCTAGTTATTGGTAAACCCATTTATTTACCTTTAAATGAAACTTATTTATACTAAATAATTTTTTTTACTTGCATCAATCAAAATATTGACATGCGTAGATGTGATATTATTTAGTACGCGCAAAAATTAAATTCAATTATTGTTAAGTCCCTTCACTATAATACTTTGAAAAAACAAATCATTAGTGGTTATTAGTGATAAGTATATCATCTCTCTCTCTCTCTCTCTCTCTCTCTCTCTCTCTCTCTCTCTCTCTCTATTTGTAGTTCTAGCTTCGTTTATAGATAATTATCAATGCCCACTTATTTCTCATATAGATAAACTATTGGGGATATATTCACTTATTTCTCTTGTATAATCATCCTAAATACATTTTGGTCAGCGGGTGGAGGGCTGTACATTCTTGAACTACATATAGAAAGGCAAACGAGAGAGAGAGAGAGAGAGAGAGAGAGGGAGAGAGGGAGAGAGGAGTGTTTATTGTCAATCGGGCCTAATCAGATCCCTTTACACGGCCCAATAATATCCTACATAATAGGCACAAGGAGGGCCCGAGAATTATCAAAAAAAAATTCAGCCCTTGCAGATCACTCACTTATAATCAGTAAACACATTTACTTTCCCTTAAATGCATCTTACAGTACAAAATTATCTGTTTTACACATATCTATACCAATATTGACATATATACTCAATATTATTTAGTGTGCCCACAAACAAACAAAATTTATTCAAGCACAATACTTTGAAAAAACACATTATTAGTTGTTATTAATAATAAATATATCTCCTTTAAAGATGAATCATTGATGTCCGCTTATTTTTCTTATAGATAAATTATTGGAGATGTGCCTACTTATTTCTCTTATATAATCATCCACAAAGTAAAGTTTAGCCAAATGGGAGGAGGGCTCTACGTTCTTGAGCTGCATAGAGGAAGAAAAATAAAGAGGGAGAGAGAGGCTGTTGGCCCTTTCTCTCTTTATCTATTGGCTCGTCTCCACTCTCAATGAGAGTATAATTTTACGGAGGTAATTTTATAAAACAGATGTTAATTATTAGAGAAAAAATTGTCTAAATAATAATAATAATAATAAGGGAAATTGGATTATACATAATCCATAATGTTTTCAGGATGATAAGAAAAATAACCCCCCACTTTTTTCTCCCCAGTGAGAGGAAAAAAACCCGGTGATTGGATGAATCTCAAGAACCCCACGTTTTTTTATTTACAGGAGACGCGATCGGCGGCGTTGTTCTTCCGGCAAGTGTGGATCTTCTTCTTCTTCTTCTTCTTCTTCTCCTCGTCTTCACGTTCCTGAGAATGTCTAACGGATCAGTCTGGACCTGGGCCACTCACCCGACTCGGTCCACGTAGATAAATTGTTGGACTCACTGGGCCGTATCGGGTCCAGAGTCTCTATGTTAGAATGACCTCCATCCCCCTCGCGCCTGTTCAGGGTTTTCTTCTCGCCTCCGCCTGCCGCCGCTCTCTCTCTCTCTCTCTCTAGAGTTGTGGAAGACGAAAGGGGAAGAATGGAAGCAAGCAAGGACCTGCTGCTGATGGAGGAGAAGGAACCGTCCCTCTTCGGTAGGTTTTCTAGGTTTCTCATCTACCTCTCCTCACCTTCCATCGTCTACCCCCACTCCTTCCCTCCCTCCAAGTCTGACTTCGCTCGCTCTGCTCATCCATAGAATCCAGCCTTCTCGTCTGCAAGGAGGAGGAAACGGAGGTGGAGGCCGCTCTGAGGACGGCCAAAAGGGGAAAGAAGGGCGACGGCGGCGGGCCCGACCAGGAGGAAGGCCAGCACAGCACGGCCGCCTTCTCCTCCAGCAACAGCAACGGTAACCCCCTGTCGAAACCAGGCCGCCGTTTTTTTACCTGAATACGGCTGCGTTGACTTCGCCGCTCGGATTGCAGTTCTCGGAAAGGTGAAGGACTTCTTGGGAGCGATCGCAGAAGCCAATGAGAAGCTCCAGCTGGCCTCTCGGGTTCGTCTCCCGCCGCAAGTCAATGAGCTGACTTCCGCCCTTATCAGCCATCTCTAAAACCATGAACCCCTCCTCCCCCCCCCTTTTCTTAGGAAAACGGCCGATCGGATTACGATATCGAAGTGCTCACCGGGAACGAGAACGAGTACATCGAGCTGGTAAATCGGTGCCTTCCCCCTTGGAAAATGTGAAAATTTTCCTTTTGTTCTAAGCTTTGAAGGGTTTTCTATAGGATCTGCTGTTGGGTCTCACGGACCTGCAGACGCCGGAGGCTGTGGCGGCAGCGGAGGCCGCCGTGGGAGGCTCTCGGCCGCCGCTCCTCCCTTCGTACGCCGCCGAAAGCCCCTCGGGCTCTGAGGAAGACGCCGACGAAGAGGAGGCTCTGAACACTGATTCAGTCCACCCAGCTGGCCCCGGCCGGGGGAGGAAACGCCCCAATATAACCGTGCTCGATTGATGAGCAGGTGAAGCTTAGCTGCTATAGATAGGAAAAAGCTACACTGCTCAGTTCTCTCTCTCTCTCTCTCTTTCCCCAGGGAATTCGAGCCCCGGCCTGTTATCCGGGCTCCCTTTTTTGGCTGGGTTTTTGATATGAATGCCTAGAGTAAGCAATTCTTATGTTTTATAAGGTCCGGACCGAACTCTGAGGAAAAACCATGATAACATGATTGAAATATACGGACAATGATCAAACCCCGTCGTCCCGTGAACAGGTTCTGTTTTCTGACCCTGCCGCCGAAATAAAGGGACTCCAACAGATATAAATGGAAAGACCCACGTAGCAAACGGAAACACCGTCAACAGTAGTGCTACACAAGCGACTCTGAGCTCGAGTCAACGCAAACATTGTACAAGGGATCTCCAGTCTAGACTCTGAGCTCGAGTCAACGCAAGAGTCAAACAGGAGTAAGAACCGGGAGGGAGACTGACCCGCGGAGGAGAAAAGGGGCCGCCCGATGTTCAGTGTAGAGCGACTTTCTGCACGAGGTCTGCATACTCTTCCGAGACGTACGACTTCACCCGAAGAACTGGGGCTTCTTGGCCGCCTTTAGCTGGGGAGGCGTACTTCAATCCTATGACTGTTGGGAGAGCTGCCATGGAATAGAAGAAGAGTAAACAAATAGCAAAATCACGAACACCAAGGCTGCCTTCACATTAATACGATGAGCATGGGATAAGGTAGAGAAAAAAGCAGTAAAAAAATTAATAATAATAATAATAATAATAATAATAATAATAATTTTTTACTATGTACCATAACCGCTTTAAATACTTACTATCATGTATACGAGCATATAGAAGTCTCTCCCCACGCCAATGAGCCAACGGTTTGGTTCTGATCCTGGTGCTTCTTCTCACACCACACTGCCATGCTGTTCCGGCATCTGGGCACAGACGAATTTCCCTTGCCTCGTTAAGAAGGTTGTATGCGTAGGGTACAGGATAAGAAAAGGAGAAGAGCGGACAAGCAAACACCTGCAAGGCTCTGCCTTCGAGCAGCTTTTCTCTGCTTACTTTGTCTCCTCTGAGGTGCTTCTACCTCCAACGAGGATGACACACTTGTCTGATTCTCCTGCTGGATATAAAAAAATCGCATTTCATATTGATATAAAAGAGGATAACGTGAGAATGTGGATCTAAAAGAGGAAAAAGGAAGAGTAAAAAATAAAGAACTATAATCCAAATGGACAAATATAGTATAAGATAGAAGAAGAGTTCGGTCTAAGACGCCTGTTTCATCAGCGGCCTGCAACTTTCACCAATACAATTTGATAAAAAAAGAAAAAGAAAAAGAAAAAGGGAAAGCACTTCAGTTCACCAGCTGTCTAATAATAGAAACATCACTTGGACATCGATTCGACAGGAATGAGAATAATTTGCTAAAATCTCTTCTGATTTCAACAGATTATGATCCTGTGACTGGATTAATTCAAGGATGATGCTATTCTGGGGTCCTTTTCATGAGAATGTGCCACCTAACGAAGCATATATCACGTAGGCACTATGGCTTCATATGAACAAGAGTATAGAAGGAATGAAGTCCACAGCTCGCCCTTAACTTTTCGTTGAATACCTTGGCAACTGTTCCGATAGGGGAACGGGACATTCTCAAGCATTCTCTGAGACCTAGAAATTTATTTCTTGATTATGATCATAAGCGATTTTCACACCTAACGAGATAACAGCGACTGGCCTTGCTATATCAATCAACCTCCAGGAAAACCCATTCCCAGGGTTTCTTATGCGAATAGGATCATGGTGCAATGAGGTGAAAAATGTATGGCCGCTCTCTTGTTCTTGGTGTCTCGAGGGGCAAAACAGTAAAAAAGATGAATTTATACAATACTTGGGCAAAAAATATTTAAAAGTTGTTAATTGCTTAAGTATTCAATATATGGTAAAAATCTGGGCTCATCTAAATGAAGTGGTTCGTAAAAATAAATAGGATTGTTGCAGAATAATAATACAGAGGATGAATTAAAGAACAGACAAACAGAAAGACAAAAAATGCGGTATAAGGGTGTCCAACCTCAGTGTTATGTTCATGCAAGACACTCGAATTTCCAGAGCATCCGCCCACTGGAACGTTTGAAACTCCGTCAATACTTGAATGTTCTGATCCAAAAGGGAAAAGAAGAAAGGAACAGTCAGGAGTCATGCACTCTTTTATAAAGGACCGACTGCAAGATCATGAAGGTGACATGATGACGGGGGGCATCACTTCTCTTCACTAGAAAGACCATCACTACCATGTGCAAAACCCAGTGGGTATCATTACGACATTTTTGATATGGTTCAAGGTGAACTCCACGTGTTCAAAATCCAAGACATAGTTTGAGCTTACGCGATCCAAGACTAGAAATAGTGCTTTTCATAAAATATTTCTGCAGTAATGTGGAATGGACTCCCTCTATAAATTAAATATATATTTCCCGCTATCACATTTGTTTCATCAATGAATGAACTACGGTTTGGCATTGAGGAGACAAAGAAACCAGGTCAGGCATATCTCCAACCCAATGATCATATTTTGGTCTTTGAGTGAAATTAATTCTCAGTATAATAGCTTAAATGGTAAAGACGTTTCATATTACATATTCGCATAAGAATACTAAAGTTCCATCTACACAATCGTCAATGCATACGAAAATTATGAGGTTTAGACACCACTCCTGTGTCTATATCCTGCTTTCCTAATTTTGATTGGTTGACATGTTTTCAATTTTAGTGACGTTTGATATAATGATGTCACTCTTATCACATCAAGAGTGAAAAAAAGGCACAGCAGAAAAGCAGAAGTCTGTTTTTAGGTATAAGCATAAGCGGCATTTTAAAATGTATACATGCTTTCCCTGTAAGGCCAAGAGTTCCATAGCAAAAACAACAAGAAATTTCCTCCTACGACATATGTATAGAAAAAATACTATAATATCAGGTCTAGCCATTGAATAATTTCAGGGTAGAAGTGAAAATACCGCCGAGTTCATGTATACTTTAATCTAGAAAGCATAATAAGATATCATTAAAAGAAACGAATCAATGTCAATGAATATGGTAAATCTATCACTATTGTTGATTTTACCTTTCCCATTCGATGCATGTCCTTCTTGAACATCATCGGCCTGAAGATCAATACAGAAGATAAAAAAAGATCCGAGTTATGCAAAAGAAACTTGTACCTAACCAACTTGACATTAATTTATCAAAAGATTCCTTGCCTTGTCCTTTGTGGAATCACCAATTTCCAATGACTCTGCATTGCCACTATTACCCAGTGTAGTATCAATAGGGACCTTGTCAGCTAATACTCTAGCAGATGTAGTTATCGTGTTGGAGTTTACAGGCCCCAAAGGCAAATCCTCATCCTGACAATCTGCTTCACTTGTGATAAATTCCTCGGGATCTACGCCGTCATTCTGAAATTGAATTTGCGCATCTCGATAAAATTATAAATGGCTTAAAAGTAATAAAAAACTGGCTACTGAGAAGACAGATAGACATACCTCATCCTCAGAGCTAAAATCAATGACAGTGGGCACTATAACATTCGCAGAGTCAAGTACACTGACACCCTCTGTACAAGGATCAGCAATCCCATCACTTTGGCAGTGGAGGCCCTTTGCATGTGCCAAGGTGATGCTGGTGGGAGTCGGCAAACTAGGATGAATGGTTGACGCTGGTAATTCTTCTTGCAAACTCAATCTACTATTTATCTTTGCTGTCTGAGTTGAGTCCGAGGAACATGGCAATTTCATACCTGTTGTATTTCATTGCGTTTCCATTTTAGTGACTAACGCAAGTAACCATCCCACTAGCGTTCAGGGAAAGTGTTAACACAAAGCAAAACAGAAAAAGCCAAATACTTTGTCTTAATCTTTAACATATCAAACATTTTAAATGGCAACCATAATTCACTAGTCAGAAATAAAAGCTTCAATAGGAAAATCAAGAAGTATTTCCTAGATAATAGAAGACATGCTTATAGTACAATGTTAGAAGACAATTAAGAACCACAAATATGCATTAGTTCATTTCTTGTTTTGACCTGTCAATGGAATGTGCCTTCCCAATGAAAAATTATGGCTACACGACAGCAAACTTCATGGTCATTATGCGTTTGCTTACCTTTGCCAACTGATGAAGGTTCTTCTCGGACATCAGAGACCTACAGAATCAAACATAACGTAAGCACCAGTTGAATCAGGCAAAAGAAACCCTCGCCTAATTTGATCAACATGAATTTATCAAAAGATCCCTTGCCTTTTCAGTAGTGATAGCACCAGTTTCAAGTGCGTGTCTATTGGTTCCATTATCAATGGTAGTATCACAGGGGAACCTATCGCCCACCATTCCAGATAATGTTCCCGTGGTGTCAGATATCAGGGTCTCCAAATGCAGTTCCTGGTTGGCACGATCTGCCTCATTTGCAACTAATGGCTCCACAATTATGTCCTCTACCTGAAAATAATACTCGTGCATTACGATTAAACTATCAATGAAAAAAAAGAATTGAAAACTTGCGACCCAAAAAAACAGTTGGATAAACATGCCTTATTTCCAGAGCTGGCTTCAATGCTAGTGGAGACAACATCATTTGTGATGTCAAGAGCAGAGGGATGTCCTGCACAATGATCATTAACCCCGTCATCTTGACAGTGAAAGCCTTCTGTATCTGCCAAGGAGATTTTGGTGGGGGCTGTAGTAGCTGCTTTAGAGTGAATGGATGAGGCGAGCAATTTCCCTTTGCTCAGCAATCTACTTCTTGTCTCTGCTTGATCATCTAAACACGAGGCATAGATATTCACACCTGTTACATTTTACACGTTTCCAAATTAGTGATGAAAAACGAGCAATCATGCCATTCTATCACAAAATGAATTAAAAGGAAGAAAAGTTAGGCATTTTAAAATGTCTAGCATTTTAAAAGGAAAACATATTTACCTGTCAGATATACAAACTTCATCAGCAAAAATAATATGCAAATTCACCATTAAATGATATGTTTCAAGCAAAATAAACCGATGTAGTGGGAAGTTACACCAAAGAGTTTCAAGGTGAGAACTAAAACATGCATGAGTTCATTTTTTGTTTGGATATGGTAAGTAGAACATTTTGTCTCAGAAAAATCAGAATCTAGAAGAACGAACACAACAAAATCTTCGGCCCATTGTATGCTGAAGCTCTTGGTTATACCGTTATCAGTTGATGCAGGTTCTTCCCGGAGATCAGACACCTAACGAATACAACAGAACATAAACACCAATTGAATCAGGCACAGGAAACCATCGCCCAGCACGATCAACATGAATTTATCATAAGACATCTTGCCTTGTCATTATTGATAGCACTAATCTCTACTGCGTGTCCATTGATTCCATTATCAATGGTAGCATCACAGGGGAACCTATCGCCCACCATTGCAGCTAATGTTCCCGTGGTGTCAGATATCAGAGTCCCCAAGTGTAATTCCTGGTTCGCACGATCTGCCTCATTTGCGACTGACGCCTCAACAAGTATGTCATCTACCTGAAAATTCTACTTGTACATTACGATTAAACTATCAATGAAAGAAAAAGAATGCAAAACTTTCTGCCTTGAAAGAATTCTTGAAAAGACAGTTGGATACATGCCTTATTTCCAGATCTGGCTTCAATGCTAGCAGAGACAACATCCTTTACAATGTCAAGTGCACAGGGATGTCCCGTACTATCACCACCAATCCCATCATCTTGACAGTGAACACCCTCTGTATCTGCCAAGGTGATGCTGGCGGGACTTGTCATGCCAGCTTGAATCTCAATGGTTGACGCATTTGACTTTCTCTTGCTATGCAATCTACTTCTTGTCTTCAATGAAAGTTGTGAACCTGGCGCATACATCACTTTCAAACCTGCCACATTGGGATGATCGATATAAAAGATAAAGAAAGAGTGCAAAAGCTTCTACCTTCATCAGATGAAGAATTTTCCAGAGAAGAATCACTTGGAGATCGCATGTTAAATGGATCTCCTAGATGATTTATCTGTGAAATGCGCCTCTTAAGTACAGCAATTGAGGCAAGTGGACTGCGTGTAACGTTCTGTGAAACACAAACCCTTTCAGTGGCACCAAAAGCATCCTTAGTCGTTTTACTTTCTGTACTTGTGAGATCATTTCCACGGTGTCCATCCAGTGGGGGAAGACAAATCTTGTCCACATTGATTGACTTAACTCGTAACCTTTCTTCCAAAAATTCTATCTCTTCACCCTCGTTGATTTCTTCAAAGCAATACAAAAGTTTACCCAAAATATTGTCTACACTTTTCTCTTCGTCAGCTGTGGAACCTGTTGAAGGAATCAAACGTCGAACTAAAAGCGAAGGAGAATATGATGGCTGGAGATGGTGATCCCACCAACCTTCTATATCAGAAGCGTTACAACGATTTGTACCATCAGCTTTTCCTTCCCGCAATGTTCCAGGTTGGCTCGTAGACAGTGAAACGGCACTGGAGTTTAGATCTTTTGTAGACTTCAAAGGGCTAACGGCCTCATTCTCACCTTCAAAGAGTGAAGTCGTTTCCGCACTTTCAACTTGTGTTGTAAAGTGGTGCTTATAACTAGCTCTCCTCCTGAAATAATATGCAGGATTTGTTCTTAGTAAAACTGTTCAAGCGTAATCCAGGAAATTGGAACAAAGAAACAACAAGCAGAATGATAAACCTAGAGAATTATGATGTAAAATTGTTCAATGAATCAAGTCGATGGCTCAAAATTCCACAACTGTCTTTCGTACTGTAAATGGTCAGAATTAAAAGGTACTACATCAACGGAAACAGAAAGAGCTGAATGCTTAAAAATTACCCCAGGATACCAGGGCGACGTTTCCTTGATGCAGTCCACCGTGGATTTTGGGTTGATTCAGGATCAACTTCGCCTCTTAGTTTCTTTAACACTTTATCAGCATCTGCAGAAAAATCAGAAAAATAGACAATAACTAGGATATGTGGGTTGATGAAATCAAAACAGAATACGTGAAAAGCGTGACTGAGGCTTACATTCAATCTTTTCAATAGCTGAGAAGAACTCTTCTGGGTCTTTGATGTGATCAACACTCAATTTTGGATCAACATTCAAAAGAGGATCACTGCCGATCAGCATCGAAAATATTCAGATAAAGGGCAGGATGACTTAGTGTAACAAAACTACAGAGCAGATTTGGCTATTCTTCAAACATGATAAGAATCGACCAAGATATTGTACGAATGATTTCTAGGCTAGTAATCCCACAAGATTAGCATCAAACCTACTTAAATCTGTCTCACCTCACACAAGGCTTGAAAGAAAAACGTGCCCGCTTGCGGCCCAACGCTTGTCTTCGTCCTTGCAATTGATCCGTATGATTTACAACGTCAACTTGATTTCCATCGACATGACACGTATTCAGAGGATCTGTAACTTTCTTTAATACAATTTTAGCTTCTTCAGCGAGCTCCACCCGGTCGCGTGATGCCTGATGAAAAAGGTGTGTAAGATCAACTTCTGGAAAACTAGACTAATCTAATTCAAATAATCGATGGTAGAGGAGGGAAAACAGAACGATGACAGTGAACTATCCATTATTCCTTGATATTTTGCAGCATATGAATGGCACAATAGTGACCCAGTTAAGCCTAGAAAACCCACCAACGCCAAAACACATAAATGCCAGAAGAGAAGCTGGATGATAACGAGACATGAGCAATAAGGATGGCCTGTGCAGGGTGTCCCTGAAATGACATTCGCACGATCTATAACGTCAACCCAAAGTAAGACCAGACAACTGAGAGCAACGAAGCCTACGCTTTAAAATGAAATTCCAACAATCGATAAACACCTTTGGGAGTGTTACTCTCTCGGCATTTAAACCCTATTCACTCGTAAGTATTACGGAGAACTGGAAGTCCGACATCCGCTCCAAGAATTCAAGTTCGTTTTACGGACAGCCGTAGCCGCCAAAGAATTTCAGAAAAAACCTGAAGCCACTAAAAATGCGGCGTCGTATGAGCTTAAGGGACTCGAATTTTACCATCGATTTGAAGAAACACTGGATTGCATCCAACTCCTTCTCCTCCGACAATTTCCCAGGGGCGACGATGGCATCGTACCGGGATCCGAGGGTTCGAGGCAGCAGCGAAAGGACGTGCAGGTCGACGCATGCGAGCCCCCCACCGCCCGCCATCTCTTGCGGCCGTTTCCGCTGCTCGCCGATCTCAGATGGGAGCTCTCTCGTCCGAGGGAAAACTTGCCGGTGGCAGGCAGCAGATTCAATTTATGGGCAAAATCGGAATACCGATCCTAGTTCGGACATGCCACGCTGGATGCGCCTCGGGAGTGCCGCGCTGATGATACATTTCAAACTTCACGCTATCGGGCCTTTACCGGACCCGTTGGACGATCCACGTCGGCGAGACGTCTTTGCCACGTCGACGCGTAGTAGCGGAATCTCTTGCGCGCGTCGTTCCCACGTCGACGCCGGTTCTGGATATAAAATATTTTTTTGAATTTATCCGAATTAAAAAAGGCAACTTAATTACAAGAATAACGTCAACTAAGCTCGAATCGACCGTGGCCCATGGTTAGAGGGGGAACGGCTGTTTCGGAGCTCAAGAATTTGCCCTTAGTCTTTCTTCGCGGACGAGAGGTAATGGCCTGATCTCTCCTACTTCTGGGTTCTTGATGGTCAAACACGACATATGCTCCATGTTGGCATCTTCGGGTTCAAGTTGTTCCACATGGAGGAGGCCCGATCGGTGGGGAAATCAGCACATCGACCCTAGGTTTTCGAAGATTATCTCAGTCGTATGGGTTCCCGATGCGGGCCTCGCGCTGTCGCCTTTTTGGCTCGTGCATGATTCGTCTTCGGGTGCAGAAATACCCATTTTAGATGGGCGCGCCTATATGTTAATGGTCTGGTTCTCAGCATTACCGGTATCTCCGTCCGGCTATGGAGTCGGATTATTCGTGGGATAATCATGCTCATCTAATATGTAGAAATGAATCTCAAATGCCGTGTCTACTTTATGACTTCTCAATCAAAGACGGCTGCCCCAAAGAGTTTCACCCGATTGATCTTCGTTCTTAAATAGTATTCGAGAAAAAAAAATCTGGTATGAAACTATTATATTTTGAACATCTGCAATATATCATGAATGAAAGATGAAATTGGCAGTATTTAATTTCATCACTTTCATCCACGGTTCCCCAGTGTGAGAGGAAATGTCCATAGTAAATTACTACTTGCAGATTAGATCCATACTATTGATCATTGAAACGAAAAGTGGTCTGTAGGCTAAGTTAGACTGAACTAAGCTCTTTAGGTAGTGGTTTACATATTTTTGAATTGAACCATAATACTTGGAGGCGAATTTGAAGGCCGTGCATCCGTTTTAGTGAGTATTGACAACTGTTAGATCTGTGTAGCCTGTTTTTTTGGTGATATGGGTAGATTTTTTTTCTTTTAATGTTGGTTCACCAGAATGAAAGGTAGCACAGTCACTATGACCAAGTCAATGACTCACTTTTCAGTCTAAACTGGAACATTCAATTATGGAATACAAAACATCTTAGAGCTGGAAATTCAAAGGTGTCGAGCATATCTTGCATTTAGCCTAATGATGGAAAGATCAAACCAGGGAAATCATCCATTTCTGTTGAACGGATGAAGAACCAGAAGAATCCGTTCACTTTATTATTGACACTCATTCTTTGCTGCTGGGATTCCACTCGTCAATCCATACTTCATATCAATCATTCTCCAAGCATAAATGATTGGCCCCCTGTTTTTCTACAACTCTTTGAACAGCTGTAAAATGTTTTTTTTCTTGTTCATTTTTCTTGTAGAGCTTGGACCAATAATAATATCTTAACTTGAAGACATTTTATGGTTATTTACCCTGGTCTTATGAACATTTTCCGCTGGATAGAAGATTTGCTCCTTTTTTTTTGGGTGAATTCTCTTCCATTGATGGAAGTTTTAGAATAAGCCTTAGACTAAGCATTACATTTTATGAATTTTATCTTGCAGATATTTACACAACCCAGGCTCCGTTATCATGTCTGATCAGGAACGGCGTTCCTCAACTAGTGAATCCAGGAGAAAGAAGCAGGATGACTATGCTAGCCTAGAGGAAGGGCACCTCGACGAAAAATCCAAAGAAAAAAGAAAACCTAGCACAAGCAGACGTTTGGGGGAAGTTGCCGAACAAAGTCGACCATTTCCAGAGCTTCTGGTAATGAGATAATGAATTGACTGAAAAAGGTTTCATTACTGAAGTACCACTTGGATCTGTCCTTTCTTTTTTTATCTATTATTACAATCATTCTAGTCCACGAATGGCGTAGCTTACTGCTATCTTGATCTGGCAGAAAGGTGTCACCTTTGTTCTTTCTGGATTTGTTAATCCTGAGCGAAGTACTCTCAGGTCAAAAGCTCTGGCTATGGGTGCTGAATATCGGCCTGACTGGACATCAGATTGCACTCTTCTTGTTTGTGCATTTCCAAACACCCCAAAGTTTAGCCAAGTTGAAGCAGAATGTGGTACAATCGTCTCAAAGGTTTGGAATCACACTTTATCTTTCTGTTCATTTTAGTTTCCCATTTTTCTCCAAGGCTGCCTATTTTGGTGTTTCGTAGAGTCTGTGCCATCAAACAAATCAGACTTTTTTGCTACCATTTATTTTTCATATATCTATTTTATTTATTCAGGAGGAAAGTCGAATCTGTTTCCCTAGCAACCAAAAAATATTATTATTGGCGGATTTATAATGTTTGAGGATGTGTAAATTCTTTTGTCATGGCCCTTTAATTGCTCTATTTCCCTTTGGTATTTGGTAGGAGTTTATAATATTACTGTGATATCAGGACGTATCTAGTCGGGAAATTGTTACACTTTGTGTCCATGGCATTTTTAAAGCTGAAATAGTCCTCTGATGTTTGTACTCTATGTAGAATTATTAAAATTCAAATGAACAAATGAGAACTTGACAGAAACAGAACATTGACCCAGCAGAACTTGCCAAATGGAGCTAGAATTATGGTGGTGAAATCGTCTTTTCAAGGGTTAGAATTTAGATGATGACACAGAAATATGCACTAATTGGGAGTGTGGATGGATGCCATTTTATTTTGTGTCATGAAGGAAAAAAAAAAGAGAGAAAATAAGACACTATGCCAGTCTTCTTCTTTCGTCAACCTTCACTTATCCTAAAAAGATGGATAAAAATTAGAGGCGCTGGAAATCTGTCTTTGCCTGCCATGGGGGTGGACTAATTTGCTCACTACGTTGTCTGTTGTTATTCATTTTTCGAAAGCTTTTCTCAATTGTGTATCGTATAGGCTTCTCCACTGACCTGCTACCGTTGCAACTTTGATGCATTCATTTGTGCATTGGTCCTTTTTTATTTATCTGTAATGTTTAGTGTCGTATCAAGAAATATTCCACATACACGTGCCTAACACAACCCTTAACTCTTGAACATTAACAGACCAGACTTAAGTCCCTTAGTATGTTTACAGATTTTGGTTTGGTGAGGATTTTGGTGCAAGTATGAATTATTTTGAAGTGTGCACGTGATTGACAGATTGTGGTAACTGTGGGGTAATTCTCTGATATTTGTACTTCTCTTGAAGGATTGGATATCAGAATGTTACAACCAGAAAAAACTTGTTGACATTGACAGATTTCTTATGCATGCCGGAAAGCCATGGAGTAAAACCAATGATTTTCCCGTGGTTAGCCAAGGTAATTGCAGTACTCATGGTTGACGGCTATGGATTATTAATTAATTATAGCTGATAATTCATCAAGTCGTTAGTGAATGAAATAGTTTCCCAGTCTAAATATATAATCACTTGGTCAACTTTACTGAAGAAAAAGTTTTTGTTTAGACTTGCAACACGTAAGGATGCAAGAGTGTGGGGGTGTTATATAAACTTCTGCATCTTCTGCAACATCTACGTTACTTGCAACATCTTCTGCATATGAATTTCTTGTTAAATAAACTTCTCTGTTTTAGTTGCACTGATAACTTATAGTGATCATGAACGTCAATTAGTTGTTACCGTGATCATATTAAATTTCTTATCTCTTAACGTACCAAGAAAGATCCATGAATGAATAATGCGATGTTTCATAGGGTTTACTAACCTTTTTGTCTCCAAAAAAAATGAAAATCCTATCTCCTTGGTCTTGGATTGTGCATCTCTTATATGTCTAATCACATGGAACTATGGATTGTTCATGTAGATCTTGGTCTCCATTGGAATTTGAAGTTTAGAGAATAGACTATTTAATACCAATTATTTTGACTGAGGAGAAGGGGTCAGCTTGGAGGTGAAGCATGCAGAAAAAAATGAAGAGGTCAGCTAGGAGAAACAATGGCCTGGGTAAGCCAGGAGACTGTCCGGGCCTAGGCCAGTTTTTTTCTTTTCTAGCTTTATGTGTCAAAATCAAGCCTATAAAAATAGCCCCCGCCTTGGATTTTATGTAGAACCTGGTTTCCTTGCCACGTGTGTCCCCTTTACTCTGACGATATGGGGGCAGTTTATTAGTTCACTGTCTTCTGTTTTCTTTATTACAATTATTATGTGTTCTATCTCTAGAAAAATAAACGATTTCTTGTACGCTAATCAATGGTCACTAAGCGGTTAATATCCAGTTGGGAGTAATTAAATGCTACTTGTGAGGGGATGCATTTTTAACCATGTCCCAGATGCTCTTGCATATTTACCTTCTTTATAACTTTTTCAGGTTTTTTGCATTTCATCTTCCTGGCATATCGACAAGTAATCAATTCAATCGCATATTCCTTGTGGCTTGGCTTACCATATGGGAATAAGAATCTCTTATGCCTGATCATTCTCTATATTTTAGATCTAAAAATGCTCTTGGCAAAGTTTTTTATATGGGGAACTTGAATGCTCTTGGCATATTGCCGTTTTGAAAGCATTCCTTATTCCGTTTAGAAGTCCATATTTTTTCCCTTCTTCTTCTTCTTCTTCTGAAAGTGAAGATCACGTTAGGTGCCTCATGAATCTTCTGGAGATTCTGCCGAGTTTTTTAATTATATAACCTGAATCTTTCACAAAGTAAACCTGAGACAGTCAGTGTATATCTCCCACAGATTGGCATCTTCAATTTTCCATGGGGGCACTCCAAGCTTAACATCATCTACTCTTATAAAATAATTTATAATATATTATATCTGTGAGACATAGGCCGATTTCATTTCAGAAAGTCCTGCAGATCAAGGGAACAAGATATCTGGGGAAGTTGTGAAGGAAATTAAGAGAAGTCCGCTCCAGAAAAACGATGGACCTTCAAGATCTGAGGTTAGTTTTAGCACACAAATAGACATTCATTTTGTTTCTATCAGATGGAAAATAATTGTTTGATTAGGACCCTGTGATTTTTTTCTAGTAGCTATTCTCTCTATGAGCTCAATTAACAATCTTCTCATGCAGAATTTTACACCTTTTTCTTTCTATCGTCTGCAGTTTGGGAACTGCTGTCCTTGTTGCCATCTCACCTTGTGTTTGGATAATTTAATATAATCCAAGGAGTAGAAAAACTTTAACATTGGAAATTGAGCTCACAGTTTGGCCAACTAGGTTGAAACTGTGATTAACAATTTGGCCAGTCTCTGAGGTGGGGCTGCCACCCTTACCGACCAAAATTGTTCTCTCTAGATGCTCATTGAAGGCCCATGAGCATGGGGCACATGCATGATTATTCCAGTGTGCCTATCGTTTTTGACCAGGCCACAATCTTGGCTGGCGTCCTTGGAGCTTCTTATGAACAAGGGGACCAAAATAGGCTTTCTTCGAGTCACCCTTATTGGCCGCATAGCGGTCTGGGACACTTGGGGGAAGAAATCTCATAAAAAAAATGCGTACATGAAGCGAGTTGGTGATAACCATTTCTGAAGCCTTTGTATTATTAGCTAAAGTAAAGTACTGTTGGAAAGGTTCTTCTTTGTCATATGCCTCATTCATTTGCAGGGTGGAGCTCGTGGAAACGCACTCGACCATCTTTCTCCATCTAAGTTGAAGGAGCTGGCAATCATGGATCTGACTGAAACTGTGTCTTGGCTTAAGAAACAAGAAGAGATTGTGAGTTGTCTAGTGATATCTTTTTTTGCTCTAATGAGTCTGTGGATTCGTCAACTAGATAGTTCTAGTTTTCTCTTTTTAATGGCATTGTTCACACCTGGTTTTCGTAACATCATTTTTTACTCATCCCCTATATTTGATAGCCAGAACCTGATGAAATAAGGAAGATCGCTGCTGAAGGGATTATAACTTGCTTGCAGGATGCAATTGATGCTCTTGATCGTAATCAGGTTTTTACATCCTTTGTTCTGTAGCGTTCGGATATGATAATCATCTTGAAATTGCTACCTCTATTTTATTTCCTTGTCGATCCTGAATTGTGTTGGGTGTTTCATTATTCAAGAACTTCCTTCATACTGAAAAAAATTCAACTTAGCTCCTTTTAATGACATTTTTTAAATAAGTTATATTTCAGATTAACTCAATTCTCTATCATTCAGCCAAAAAATAAAGTCATCAGTTACTAGCCCTGCTCAGAATTCATCCGTATCAACCTACATCCCCATTGCTAGAAGCCCATTTGACCACCTGTGTGACAGTAATATCGGTCACCAAACAATGATTTCAAGGCCAGATTGAATTGGTCCTTTTTTAACCATCTGAACTTTGGTTCAAAACTTTGGACTAACCAATTTTAGGGTAGTTTAGTCATCTAAGATTTGATCTCCAGTGGAAAGGTTTTGAAAATCGAAAGCAGGTAGGTATAGCATTATCCAGGAGAAGTACAGTGGGAAGATTTCTGAGGAAGAAAAGATGCTTTCTGACGAAGTGGATCAGTATGGTCGGGCATAGGGTACCTGCTCTCTGTCCCCATTATCTTCTCAGCTTAGATAATATGTTTCACAAGACGTTCTAAACTCTGATGCGCTTGAAGTATTGTTCTTGGTCGAATTCCTTGTTTTGATGATCTGTCATCATGTATATGCTTCTTTTCCGAATGTTGAACAGCATCTGATCCCAATCATCGTCTCCTATTCAGGATATCCGATCTGTCACTGATGAGTGGATGTTTGTTCCACGTGTGGTCAGAGAGTTGGTTGACCTAGGCTCCAGAAATGGAAAAGTCTCACTCACCAGACAGGAGCTGTCGAAATTGGCTCTTGACTGCAAACACGCTTATGAGGTGGAGTTCTGCAGCTTAGATGATTACCATAAGGCGTCTAAGCATTCCAAAGGAGAAGGTGCTGATCATAAAGAAAAGGAACAGAAAAATTTGGATGAGGGGTTTGACAGCGACTCAACGATTGAAATGACAGAAGAAGAAATTGACCTAGCTTACAAGGGGATTTCATTTCTCTGACTACTTGTCTTGGTGAGCAGCTACTATCTCCTTCACCCACCCGCATGAATGAGATAAATTAGTATTATTCATTCTCTGAAAATTCTTTTGTTGCAGATAAATTTGCAATGGACCTTCGAATATTCCAGTAGACCCGGTCATTATTTTTTTTAGCTTCCTTCTTGTGTTTCACTGAATGCTTCATCTGCGTTATTAACCAGAGAATAGTCCGGATATTGGTCTAAGATTATATATATTTCTAACAAAGTCTTCATCACAATGATGTAAGTTCATTGTGCATGAAACTGTATGGCCAATCTCTCTCCCTCTCACTCTCTCCTCCCCACCCAAAAGAAAGAAAGAAAAAAAAAGAAGAAAGAGATACCCGGGGGAACAATTTTCCTCTGCCAATTCCTTTCAATTTGCAGAGAATTTGCAGAGCATCAGTGGGTGAATATATTACCTCACAGATGGTCTTGAGTCTGCGGATATTCTTCCCTGGGCATCATAATCCAAGCATCGATGATGGCCTTCCTTACTCGATGAGTTCTAACCCCATTTATGATTGTTGTAGGAAGCAACTCTCGGCCTGAAGTGGAGACAAAGTTTTTCATATGTAACCGGGGCCCGGGATTTTAGTGCATAACTGGTGAAGGCCCACTGCTTCCTTGATCAATCAAACTACCTCAGATTTGATATCCTCAGAATATAAAGATATTTATGGAGTATAATTCCATTGGTCACATTGATTGCTGAAAATAGTATAAACAAATCGTACCTATTTTCCTAATACGGACCTGTTCTTTTTTTTGCTTGAGAGAGAGAGAGAGAGAGAGAGAGAGAGAGTCTGGCTAATTGGGGCCAGTTCAAACCCAACAGGGTCTCATCTGGCTGAACCACTTCCTACTGCTCGGCTGGATTGCTGATATAATGGCTCGGATTGGGCTATAGCCCATCCAAATTGTACGGAAGGGCTCAAAATATACTAAAAAAGATTAATTTCTCCATTTTCGTCTAAAATTATAACAATTTATAAATATACTTTATGGAATGACGGACAGACTGTCTGTAAATTACTAGTATTTTTCGATTGAGGGGTGGCAAAGCATAAATTTCCCATCAAGATTATATGGACGGACTAAAAATATACCGAAAAATATTAATTTCCCCAATTTCATCTACAGTAATAAATAATTTATTAATATATCTGATTAAAAGACGCAGAGACTGTCTGAAATTATTAGTTTTTGTACGGAGGGGTGGCAAAGCGTAAATATCCCATCAAAATTGTATGGACGGACTCAAAATATACTAAAAAATATTAATTTCTCCAATTTCATCTATAATTATAATAATCTATAAATATCCCATCAAAATTGTATGGACGGACAGAGAGACTCTGGAAATTAGTTGTTTTTCCATAGAGTGGGTGGCGGACGGATTTGACCGACGGCATCTGTGCTCTCCCAAAAGCTGAGCCAAACGCAAAGGATCCTCGATTCCTGCCTCGTCCCAGATTAACCAGGCACAGGCCGAAAGTATGATTAGTTTAGGCAGTCTTCCAAAGATTCTCGAATTTTTTGTTGGTATACCCATTCGGCGTTTCAAATAGTATAATTTTAATTCACAAAAAGGGTTATATTGTGAATGGTAGAATAAAAAGGGGCTATATTGTAAATAGTAGAATAAAAAGGGGCTTTCATAAAATAATGGAAGGAAAAAAACCCACACGCCCAACCCTCCGCCCTTGATCCTTCTCTCGTTTCATCCCCGCTGCGCTGCCCTAAAACCCCACTCGCTATCCGCGCCAGGCACATTCCCGTCCTCTGTATGTCTCTCGTCTCTCCTCTGTGCTCTCTCTCTCTCTCTCCCTCTCTCCTTCTCTCTCTATCTCTCTCTCTCTCTCCTTCTCCGCTTCTGTGTTGTGTTTTCTACTCCCACGCCCCCCTTACTGACTTTTGGCTTCTTCCAGGCGGCTCGGCAGAATGGGGTCGACACTCCCGCCGAAGGAGGGCAACCTCTTTAAAGTCATCGTCGTAAGATTTTCGAAACCTTTCTTCCGGTCTGGAACTCGCGGTGCTTAATTTATCGTCGGTTTTACTTGCCGCCTCTCTAATCAAGACGCTTACTTTTACGCCCTTCCCGTCTCGAAACCGCTCTAGAGCGCGGTTTAGAATTAACAGAGTGGCTGTAACCTCGTCATATTAAATAATTTGGACTCATGTTACTTGTGCCGAGATTCTCTGTTGCGATTGCTGCTGTTGTCGAGTCGTATATTCTCATTAAGGGATCCTAGTACCCCCGAGACATTATTTCTCTCCGGAGATTGCAGCTGCACAGGTTGTCTAAACGGCCGCTGTCAGGTTTCCCTGTAGTCAACGCAACAGTCGTCATTGGAAGTGTAGGTTCGCTATCACTGTGAATATTCGCCTGGGAAAAATACTCAGAATGGATAAATACCTTGTTAAGCAGAAAATTTTGTCACTCCAGTTGGAGAGTTCCTTGTCCGAAAGATATCCTTTATGCGTAGTATTCAGGACAGTGGGCAGGTTAATCTGGACTCTCGGCATCTTAAAATGTCACGATGTTTTGGACACAATACTTTGGAGAATTTTATAATTTTTCAGGAAGCCAGATTGCATCCAATGCATTCATCTTTCTTTTTTTTTCCTGTTCATATAAGCGTGCTTTGTTAGGAGTATAAAATATGATCCTTTCCAATATTATGAACATCTAACTTATTATTTCATATTTTTATGAATATTCCTACTTTTCTTTGAACGGCAAGCTAGAAAAGACTATGGGTCATGGTTCATGGTTAGGTTTGAACAAGTTGAACAGAGCTCGAGTTTTTATTTCTCTTAATTTTTTCGAGTAGATGTAAACAATTTTACTCTTGAAATGTTTAATAATGTCCGTGTATTTTATACAATATCAGTTGCCAATGTTCGTTAGATGCATAATCCGGATTTTCCCGTATGTGGAAAGCTTGTGGTCGATTTTTTTTTCTGTGGCCTAAAGAAAGCTATTCAGAAGGTACCATGGGCATTTAAATATGATCATAATTTGATTCTCGTTTTTGGGACTTCTCTTTGGTCCTATGCAGAAATCGTATGAGACCAAACAATACAAGAAGGGTCTAAAGGCTGCTGATGCCATATTGAAGAAGTTTCCAGATCATGGAGGTATGTGAACTCAGTGTGCATGAGAGTTAACCCCTAGAGCTTCGGTTACTTCCGTGTATTTCTACTGTTTTCCGAGTTACTATCTCTTTTAGATTTTTTATCATTTTTTGGACTGTTCTCAATACGTTGGGAAATGATTGGCGCTGCATGCTGTTGACTGTAAAAACTGTATGATACATTTGTTCTGTATGCAAGCACTTCATGATGATGAAATTGGAATCTGGGGCACACCAATTGGTGAAGACCTTCCCCACGAACTCAATACTGGCTACGACTGAAAGTCCTTGAAGATAATGGAGCCTCCTTTGGAGTGCCTAAATGAACTGAGGGACTCTTTTTATCGAATTGTTGATACAATTCCCAGTTACTCGCTGAGAATTTTACCTTCGATCAAAGGCTATTGTTCTTCCCGTAAAAGTGGTACATGAGATTGCATAGATGGCTCTGTTTTTATATTAATGGTGAATCCTTTTCCTCTGACAAGTGAATAATCTTGGTTTGACCGCATTCTATGATATGATATGATATGATATGAATTTTAGTGTCAAGGATGTACCTGAAGTTGGACTATCAGATCTGTATGTCATTTTCTCTCTGTTGCTATGACAGCTTATCTTCCTCTGAACTCAGCGGGTATAAGTTGTCTTCTGAAACGTCTAATAATAATTGTCAGTTTAATTCTAAGGTTCCCATCGAAGGAGAGCAACTTGCTTTGCAGTCAAAAGAGGGATCTACCTGTCGATTATGATGGGGCTCTTGAGACTGAATTGAGGACATTTACACCTGAAACGTTGCTGCAGGAGAAACTGATCTACTAAAGACATAGTTGGCGGGAGCAGGTTCTAATTAACTAGCAGAGGAAAATGAACAGTGTATCCTATGTTGATGACAAAAATGGAATCAGGATTCCATTTTATTTCCATACGTTAACTCACCATTTTATTTCCATACGTTAACTGAACTGACTGAAGAAGAATTATTTTTTGTTATCGCAAAGTGCATGAAAAAGGAATGGATAGATCCCAACTGAAACTTGATCTATGCATAATAATTTATGCCTCTTTCACTCATTCCTATGAGAATCGTACATCAATATTGCTTGAATGCCAATGAAGTTGGGAATTTGTAGAGGATGGTGGTCTTTGAGAGTAACCTGCGTAGCTACAAGGGGATATTATCTCGGGGAGACCATTGTTGCTTGACTGCAAATCAAGTCGGGAGTTCGTGGAGGATAATGGCCTTTGAGAGCAACCTGCAAAGTTACATGAGGATATTCTATCTCAGGACGACCATTGCATGCTTGATTTCAACATTGATTGTACTGCGGCTCCCTAAAGCTTTGGGAATTGGAACTGTAGGGAACAAGTCGATCTCCACTTATGTCAATGGTATAGGCGGTGTTCAGGTTTCTGTTAACTCTTCTCTTTCCTGATCGCATTCCCCTCCCCTTAAACCTCACCATGTCTCTGGGATGATACACATCATCTTCACCAATGTGTTTTGACAAAGATGCCTAATGCGCATCCCTCCCTCTGCTATTTGAGGATATACCGGAAAATTTGATTGTGGTGATCCTGGCTATGGTTACCTCGCCTGAATCGTCAATCTAATTTAAGGGATAATTGTCCTGTCAACGTGGGATGGGGTTGGATTTACCCTTTTGTAGACATTCGAACTTCCATAAAAACTGAGAAAACTATGAATACAGCGGCACAGAAAGGACATGCGTATTTCGGCTTTGCTTGTCTACTACGAGGAAAATTTACCATGTCTTAATCGAGTTCCTTGTTTGTCTTGTTTCCCTTGCTCGATCAAAGTGTGGAAGTGACGTGTAGAAGGCAGGCAAGACAAATTTAATTGTTTTTTAGTAATTCGCAAAATTTCCTTTAACCCTAAAGAAGATTATGGGAGAGGGGTAATCTAGTATGGATAAATGAATATTATTTTGTGGAACATCCAGAGCCCAGACGATGATACACAATCAGGGCTATCAAGGGTCTTGTCATATGAACAAAATAATCCAGGAGTGCCAATAGGATTCCAGAAAAAAAAATGCAATTTTCGGTGAGTAATTTGGGAATGAATTTTCCGGATGGATATTCCTCCATCTAGACAGTTTCAAGAAGGGATAGCTTATAATAATGGGAGGGAGATTATGAAACTGTAAGTGAGAAATAGTAAAATGAGCATTCCTCCTTGAATTTAAAATAGCTTACCTTGCTAATTTGCGATACTTTCAGTTCACCATTTCAGACTGACCGCAACATTAGAACTGTCGTTTCATGTCTCTCACATATGGCAAGTTCTCTAATGTTTCAAACCTTTAAGAGAGTAGTACCCGTGGTTGGAAACTTTTCTTGCACATTCTCTTGAGATTGTTAAAATAGTGATTTTAGAGTATTAGGCACGAGCTTGTATTTCTTTGACATGTTGCTAATGACTGAAGAATATCTATATCTAATTCTTTTATTTCGAGATTTTATATTCATAGTTTTCTCCACTGATGGATCTCTGTACCACTGTTTTATAATTATGCTCCCTTGCGGCCTTCATGTATGTACATGTTTAGGCAGTGGACCTTATTTGCCATCTTATTCTTTTTTTGTCCTTGTAGAGACATTGTCCATGAAAGGACTGACGTTAAATTGTATGGACCGCAAGTCTGAAGCATATGAGCTTGTTCGGCGTGGTCTAAAGGTTGTGATGATAGACGCGATTTTGTTTATGGCTCTTCACTTCGAGTAGAGCTATGCTTTTTAACTGATATTTGTTTTCTCTACAGAATGACCTCAAGAGTCATGTTTGCTGGCATGTCTTTGGCTTACTTTACCGATCAGATAGGGAATATAGGGAAGCGATAAAGTCCTATCGGAATGCCCTGAGGATTGATCCAGAAAATATTGAAATCCTCCGGGACCTGTCACTATTACAGGTGCCCACTAAAACCATTTGATTTATGTATTTATGTAGCCAAGGAAATCGTCTCTATTTGTCTCCGACGTTTTGATTGTGAACTAGTTATTTGCTGGTACTTGCATTATTCCGTGGTGTCTTAAGCCGTTGGGAATAAACTAACCCTGAATCCATGTATTCATAGTAATTCTTTCCATTTTTACTTATAAACCCAATTATGGATCGGGATTTGACTTTGGTCAAATTTAATATAGCACAGAAAGTGGTCTTCATATTACGAAATATTACTCGTGCTTTATGTGAATTAACTGTTGACTGTCATTGTATTGGGACAGGAAGTTGATTAGAGGCCAACCTGTAATTGTATCCAGTCAGATTCTGGCTTAGATTCCATGTTTTAGCAGTGCTGACCGCTATGCTTATTAACATTTGCTTTCAAATCCTGCAACTTAAGAATATGCCCCTTGGTCTGCTATCTGCTTTACCTATTGTATCCTAACCATCAACTTCCCTGTAAAACTTTCATTTGTTTTCGAGTAAGGCATGATGGCTGTACGTACCTTTTTGGTCTACAGATCTCAAGAATTTGTGAACTTTGTATAAATTGAACGATGATAATGCCACGGGTTTATATCAAGACTGAATTATCTTTCTCTAATTTTGCCTTATTGGAAATATCCAGTGTTAGCTGTTAATCCTACTTATGTTCTGGTTTAGATTTTTGTTCCGTATAGACATCTTTGGAAGACAATCTGATCGGAATTCGTTAGAATGAGGTTAAAATGTGGTTAGGATCATATTTTACTTCCCTTTTTCTTGTGGGTCAACAACATTATAAAGGCATGCCATTCACACTCTCTCGTACATCAGATTTTTTTGACCAAATGACTAACATGACAATGTACTATTTTGTGTGAGACTAATTGTCACTGATTTTCTGATGCATAAGTTCCGTTGGCCTTACTCTAGCAGAACTCATTTATATTACTATCCAGGCACAAATGCGAGATTTGGGAGGATTTGTTGAGACAAGACAACGACTTCTCAGTTTGAAACCTAACCATCGCTTGAACTGGATTGGGTTTGCTGTTGCTCATCATTTAAATAGCAAGTATGTTTGAGTATTTAATTAAGTTGTGGATTCTAGTTTTCTTACTGTTTCTCATTACATGGTTTTATTGTAGCCAAAAAAATTTATTTAAATTATTTTTACTGTTGTTTGGGAGCAAGATTCATTGATAACTCATAAGTCGCATGCAACCTATGAATATGTGATGACGCAAAGGTGTCCCACTGGATTCCTCATGCTGAAATCATTCTCGAACTTTCCTCTGAGTCCTTTTTATTTTTGCCTCCCCGTCTCTTACTTTCTCTTTATTCCTTTCCAGATTTTTCCCCTATTTCCTTCTACTCGTTTTCCATTCACAGTTTTTTCTACATGCCTATGACGAATTTTAATTTGTTAGAATCAATGGAAAATAAGGATATTATTTCTTGAAAGTCTCCCCTGCCCCAAAAGATGCGGTTGCAGTGGCTGGGAGAAAATGAGGAAGCATTTTGGGTCAAGGTCACTGAGGATGAAATACTACAATTATTGTAGCAGTTGGTCAACGTAGTTATTTTTGCCACGAGCGCCTTTTTCCTCGGAATCAACTTATTCCTGATCCTGATCTAATTCCACCAAATATGGAAATTTCCCGGCATTAGGATCTCGTAATATCTCATCTCAAGCTAACTGCATCCTCGGATTAGAAGAATACATATTTAAATTTTGATTTATTCTCTATGACTTACGCACATCTTCATATTAAAAAATAACTTCAGATTCTGAATTTGATGTCTTTTCTATGACTTTGTCTGTGGCCTCATGGAATCATTTCATATATTTATGATTGTTTTCGAAATGATGGCACATCCATCTTCGATTGTCGGGCAGTACTAGGTAGCAGGCTTGCCGGGTTAAATGTAAAGTCCTTTTTCATGATCGGTGAAGACCAGTAGTAATATTGAGAAAGATCTGGTGTACTTTATCTATCTTGCAAAAGATTTTCGCATGCAATTTTGGGCCCTAGTTTGGCGAGATTTTGTGCTGTAATCACTCCTACTGCTGCGAAATTTTCTAGAATGTGAGTTCATACGGCACTAGGAAAAATGACAAGTTTTGCGGCTAGCATGTGGATTGAGTTAGCATGTACAATTGAATTTACATTGTCATTTCTAGGATATTAGTGGTACTTTGTAGTTATCGATTGATTTGATGTCTATAATACTCCAGACTTTTAATTTGCGACTAAAAATATGGTTTCTATGTTAGTGTCTCAAAGGCTGTTGACATCTTGGACGCCTATGAAGGCACGTTAGAAGATGATTACCCTCCAAATAATGAGCGTTGTGAACACAGTGAAATGCTCCTATACAAAGTAAGTATCAGCTATACAAAATCATAATCGTTTGTTGTTAAATATTTGGAAGTTTTGTTGTTAGAATCTGTACTTATGTATGTTTTGTTCCCAAAACTTCATAAACCAAAGATATGAATAGTTTGAAAGATCTTTTTTGACTTTTCAGCTGTTTCTGCTTGGAACATGTCTTTTCTTTTCACAGGTTATTCGAAGTTCTAGAAGCTTCTTTCTAGCTAAAAGTTTTGGTTTTTTCTGTATGCATACTCACAAATAACGAAATATAGGGAAAAAATGTCTTGAAGTTAGGTGGATGGCAAGCTCTGGTCAACTTTTCTCACCTAATTAGGTATTTTGAAAATTATGGCGAGACCGCGCATCTATGGTTACTTTAGGGTGTCGTAATAGTATGTGACTTGTATATGAGATTTTTGACGTCTTTGATGTTGTATGCGCCTGGATTTAATACGCTTGCCAATATCGTACATTCCATTTGTATTACTGAAGTGGCTAAAAGGAAAGTTCCTTTCTTAAATTACGTAATGTTTATGTGTGGTCTCTCTTTGTCTCTTGAACTTAATGCTAAACTTTGTTCGCTCATAGAAATCAATCCAGAAAGTAGCAAAATTATGCAATTTGAAACTACTTTTGTTTGATTCAATCTTTGGGGGTTCTAGTTAAGGAGATTGGATACAGAAATTATATAATGGAGAATAGAGGTTAACGTAAGCTGTAGAAGGAGCGCAAATAACGGAGGAAATGATATAATGATTTACCATTTATTCCATTTCCAGTAGAAGGTGCCTTGTAGAAAGGGATGATGGTAACCACTGGCAGCGGTGGTGTGAGGGGAGAAAATTTCTCCCCGAGTCTGGATGCTAGGCGCAAAGTTAACTCTAAGGTTTTAAAAGACGGCAAAAAGAGTAGGCTACCCTTCCATCTTCATCTTACTCTAACCTCCTAAAGGTCATTGTTAGGACTGCATTCTCATTGCACGGTTTTACTGCCTGACCAATAAAGAATAATAGTACGCATTTTTTATTAAAATAAATATCTAATAGCATCCTGCAATCAATTATAGTACTAGATTTCATATTCTTTCCAGATTTCAAAACTGTCCATATGTACTACGGATATATGAGTTAACTAGAGATTGATGGGGCCAGTCTTATATCAATTGTATATGAAAATTGCAGACCTAACCTGTATATATGACTGGAATATATTTTTCTTAATAACTAAAACATTCCCTCGAATTGTTTCTTTGTATATATGAATATGTGTCAGTGAGCCAGGTTAGCCTTGAATGTCCATCTGCCCAGTCTTGGACCATAGAAGGTCTGAAGGAAAAATTGAGGCAGGCTGCCCCTCAATGAGGTAGGCAGCTAACTATTTCATCTACCCTCCACTTGGCTGGATAGACCTCGTCAGGCTTGGGCGGTGCTTCTGAAAAATTATCCGGGCTTGATCCTGAGTGTATTTATTCCCTGACTTTTTTCTATGCTGTGTGAGCCCTGCTCATTTATACCTCATAGTTGGAAGTTAAAATCCATATTCATATGTTTTTGGTTTTGTGCGCATTTGATGACTCTTTAAATTTGAAAATCGGATATCATATCTTAATTCTGGGAATGCTGATATGAAATGATAAAGAAGCAGAGGGGTTGGGGGGCCAAAGTTTTCTCAGTAAAGATGAACCTGTTAAATCTTCATAAAGTACATTTCTACACTTGGAGCTAGTTTATAACTACTATTTGGCAATTCATGCTGTTGCCATTCTAATAATTACTATTGCTTTGCAGATTTCATTATTAGAAGAATGTGGATTTCTTGATCGAGCGCTTGAAGAAATGTACAAGAAAGAAGCTAAAATTGTAAGTGCAGATTACTTTGCTTATCTAAGCAGAATTGAACTCGGATATAGGGTATCGTCTTGCTTATTTTTATTCCTTGTTAGGTGGATAAACTAGCGTTCAAGGAACAAATGGTTTCTGTAATGGTGAAGCTTGGCCGCCTTGATGAAGGCGAGAAATTGTACAGGTCCTTGCTTTTTATGAATCCTGACAACTACAGGTATTTTAATTTCTCATCATATGAATTTTTTTTGAGGATACTGTAGCTAGTTCTAGATGGTGTATTCTGAGTTCTTTGATGCCATTTCTGTATTTGGCTCATTGGTCATTATCCTTTTTACAATTAAAATTAACTTCTCTTTTTTTATACTTTCATGGGAAGAGCAAGGGATTCCCTCTGTTGGTTGCCTACCTCGTTTTCAGTTATATGGAGGGTGCAAAGTTATGCTCTTTTGATAACAATATGAGGTCTAACTACCTAAGCGAATGACTCAGAACAAGTAGGGCAAAACGAAAAACAGCAAGTTCCACTGGCAAACGAGAGAAGGGTGGATCGCAAATCAAAGGATTAAATGTGCGACTAAAATCAGAGTCGACTGAAGAAATAACGAGAGCATGCATAAATAAAGTAAATAATGTGGAATGAAGATTGGTGGATATAGGACCACGATGGAGTTCTCTTCTTAATTTTTCCATGAAATGCAAAGGACATGAACCAATTTTATTTCCATTTTTGTTCTTTTTGACGGAATACACAAATTTGATGACGAAACTTGTTGAATGATCAGGATTCAGAGAGCATTATTCTAACTTGAAATCATGGTTTCCTGCCTTGTTCTGGCCTGTACAATGTGTCTAAACTTTTGTACTTGATCAGTTATGACTTGCATGGGGTTTCTGATGCCGATGTTACTGGCAAGTTTCTGATTGCTAGGGTTCTTGATTACGAAGTGCCAATATGTATATAACAGATTATGTTGCGTAATCATTCTTATTTTCACTTTTTTTCAGATATTATGTTGGATTGCAGAAATGCCTTGGGCTATATTCAGAAAGAAACCATTACATGCCTGATGAAATCGATCGGTTGGATGATTTGTATAAATCACTTAGAGAACGATACAACTGGTCGTCTGCTGTTAAGGTGAAAAAGAATCCCGCTGTTCCTAATCTCTGATTTAGAATTTACATTCTAAACTCCCAAAATGCCCTACCGAACAAATAACAATCATGATACCATCTTTGGTTTTTTTGATATAATAGTGTGCTACAGATTTCTTTAGTCGTGCTTTGGCTGACTTGGGCTATTTTAGCATGAGAGCTTTAATGTGGCGGATTTCATAATGTCTTATTGATATTATCAATTTGCTGCAGCGAATTCCACTCGATTTTCTCCAAGGGGAAAGATTTCGAGAAGCTGCTAGCTGCTACGTCAGACCTCTCTTAACCAAGGTTTGTTCACAGTTATGTCACGTTATAATGTGACGTGTCACTGAACGATTCGTAAAAGCTTCTACATCACTTATCCATCATAATTTATCGAAGTCCCCTGGTAGCGTTTCTGGATCGCCTACTAATCATTATTTATCTTAATATGGCATGACATCGAATGATCGGCAGAGTTTCTGCATCACTTATGCATCATTATTTGTTTTAGCGTGACATATTGTTGAACTATTGGTTGAACTCCTGCATCACTATCAATCATTATTTGTCTTCCCCAACCTAACAGTACCATTTTTGTCTTATATGTAGGGTGTGCCTTCATTATTTTCTGATCTAAGCCCCCTGTATGACATCCCAGATAAGGTTTTCTCCTAACTGCCTTGTTCTAGCTAGCATAAACAACAGTAAAAGAAATTCACGCTATTAATTTGTCTTATACTAAGTTTTCTAGTTTTAATTTGTACTTTCTGGATTGTGCAGGCAGATATACTTGAACAGTTGTTCCTTGAGCTCGAAAGTTCAATTCGTTCTACCGGCACATTCCCTGGAGAGTAAGTCTGTACTTCGAAGTTTATACTTATTGGCGGTTGCCCATTAACTTCTTATGGGACATATCGGATATGATGTTGTGAAAAACAATTGCCCTTGTTGATAGCGTGCCAACATTCCAGATAAGTTTGTTTTTTTCACTTAAAACTAAAATTCCCTCGTCATCTGGATGGGCATCTGCACTTTTACCATTTGGTATAAAAAAGATATCCTCCTAAAAAACTTTGCTCAACTACGTGTCTTGATGGCCTCTATCCTCCTTCAGGTGACACCGTCCTCTTTCTCCTCCCTGGTGCCCTGTCCCTTCTAATTTTCAAATACAGCTGCCCCCTTCTCAATACTTTGCCAAACTTTCTCTTCCTCCGCCAGCCCTTTCATCCTCTATCCCTCTGCTGGCCCTTTTTCCTCTATCATTTTTCACCTGTGCGGCCCACTGTCCTTGTATGCAGTCTTCCTTTTCATCTGTCTATTCCTGCCCATCTGCCCATCCATTCTGTGGCCCCTCCACCACGTTCCATCTCGATCCCCATTTTGTGGAGGATTCATTGACCAGGAAGCTGAACTCGGCACAATAGCACCCGTTTTTACAATTAAATACAATATTTGGTCGTGTGGATATGCCGACTGTGTTTCTTGTTCTTTTCTTATCGGTATGCATTTTGGCATGACCTTTACTTCCTACTCTCATCCAAATTCCATACCAATGATTTTAACAGTCTAAGGTGGAACCAAAAAAGAGTGATTCCTCACTTTAGGCAATGAAATAGAGATCTGCAGTGGTATTATCGGAGACAGGAGATAATTTGTTATTTTAAATGATCATGGCCTCCCGTTACCATGCGATTATATATATTGACTTTACGAATTTTTTAATTCATGGATGCATTTAAAGTGAATTAGTATTGCAAATTCAATTATTCAGTTTAAATTCCATGGCTGTCTAGATATGGATGTAGGCCGATGGAATGTAGGATGAGTCCCTCCTAGAAGATTTTTTTGCTTGAAGAATATAGAGAAAATAAAATTTCTGAAAACTGCAAGTGAACGGATACTTTTTAGTATTCGAAACGATTTCTTGTGTATTATCCAATGAGTTTCAGGAATGGACCATGGTGAAGAATGTAAACAAGTAGTTTATTGATTGTTGTTACATGGCATGCGATCTCATTAGCCAGAAATATCAGAATCTGGTCCATCTTTCTAAACGTAGACATCAAGCATGTTCAAAATCATTGTTGGCTTGAGTCCAGATGACGACTTCAATTGGAGACTCCTGGCTTGTAGCTATTCATTATTTGGGTGAAATTACGGGTATCTTAGTTATTCATGGTCTATTGGGGGGAAAAGATCTGTTTACTTGGCTATTGGTTTTTTTCTTCTTTTTCCTCTGCTAGGCTATTGGCTGATTTGTTTCGGGGGAGCCTCTTGTCTTTCATGTGAAAAGAACTCTTCTAAGGCATCGAAAACCCATCCTCTATTTTACAATAAGAATCTAAGCCGCGTGATGTAAAATATCAGCCGAACATCTCTGGATCAATTTTTGTTGTAACACATGGTATATGAATTTACATTTATACAGGAGAAAAAATCTTCCATTTTTTTAAAAATTTATATTTAAAATATCATTGTCGTATGTAAGAGACTCGCCTTTATTTCAAATCATGGTCACAATATTTTACCTATTACTTTTAGCTTCTCGTTGTCTTTTTGGCTAAGAAGCCTGGATTTATGTGAACTGCAGAGCTCAGAATGAACCTCCTTCAACACTCATGTGGACTCTCTTTTTGTTAGCTCAGGTTCGTTGTCATCTGTGATTTTTCTGCCTTTTCTATTTCGTTCCATTCTATTTTTTTAACATTATGGTTTAATGCTGGACGGCAATTTTTTCCTGCAGCATTTTGACAGACGTGGTCAGCATGATCTTGCTCTTGCTAGAATTGATGAAGCTATTGAGCATACTCCTACTGTGATTGACCTGTACTCAGCAAAAGTAAATTTTGGTCCCTCTCAAATTTTTCTTTCATTCTGGTTTTTTGGAAATATTTACTGCGTAATGCTTATCATTGGGTTAAGTTATGTCGAGTAATTTTTCTGTGGATATTAGATGCCAAAGGCTTGTTTTGATTCGTCAAATGTACTTGTCTTTCTTATTTAACTATTAGTTGATAAATCATTCACTCGTGGAAACTGGAATTTCACGCTGGAATGTCAAAAATTAAATTAGACTGTTGGTGCACCAACCTTCCATGATAAAGGGTTTTGTGGTGGGAATGCACTAGGCAAAGGGCCTAAATCTGGGTGCTGCTCATTCTGATGGCGGCTTTGAGAACAGCTATGGTAGACGCCAACATTAAGAAGAAGCGCCTTTTTTATTGATTGTGGAGCTCTTACACAGAGAGTCATGTTGTGACAATGAAGGATCACTGGTCTCTATGTATTACCAGTTCTATTAGGACTTAGGGAATTATTCTTAATCTTGCAACTTGTTCTTGTTTCCCTTAATGTTTATCCACTTTTTAAGCTATAAGCTCTTGTCTATATCTTCAAGTTTTTGTTGTGATTTATGACTTCCATATATAGGTTTTTACGTATCTCTGTGAGTTTTTGTTAAACGCGAGCCAGTTTTTTCATGAAAATTGATTCTCTTGCAAATAAATAAATAAATAAATCTTGCTAACGTTTCATTATTTGTATCTTTTTTCACCAGTCCGCAGCACTGACGCTGTATGTAGTTGTCGTCTGTGTACATTTCACCATTTCTTTTCTCCCCTGCTAATATCCTTATCATGTTTTATTTTTTTATCTGAGAAGTTTAGCAGTGTTTCCTATGCTCATTGATCCATGATTTTTCACCTTTTTAATGACTAACGTCTTTTTTCTCTCAAGTTGTTGAATTTCAATTTTAGTATATCCTGGAATTCCATGATGCTTTGCTATATTGGACTTTGCAACGCTGCCTTTCATAGTCTTTCTTATTGGACTGCTTTTCATGTTTGCAACTCCTCACGAGGAGGTTCTGTTAAACTTTGCCGGATGCCATCTTTTTTTGTGAACACTTGCATTCGTTATCATGGTTCTTTTTACCTTTGTTTTACTTTCTTAAGCATTACTTCGCTTAGAGCCTCTCCATTGAAAACATTTTCTAAAAGTTAGATAAAGTCTACACAATAAGGCACCATTTATTGTCATGTGAATGTATGTGTGCTAAATGTTACAGAGGCCCCATTTCTCTCTCTAACTTGCCTTCCCTCGCTTAACTCTGACAAAAGAATAACATTTCTAAAACAATGCCTTTCATTGCTTTGAAATACAGGGCAGAATATTGAAACATGCCGGTGACTTACCGGCTGCAGCTGCTTTGGCTGATGAAGCTAGGTCTATGGACCTTGCAGATCGTTTCTTAAATAGTGAGTGTGTGAAGCGCATGCTACAGGCTGATCAAGTATGCATAATGTTTCATTCTTTTGTTCTGTTTTCGATACGTGCTATTTCGTAAATGTTTAATGAAATAATATATTTTTTTTACGTTTATAGATCATGTTTGAATTTGAATATTTCTTACATTTGTTTTCTGAAGGTGAGTCTTGCTGAGAAAACCGTGGTACTGTTTACAAAGGATGGTGACCAGCATAATAATCTTCATGATATGCAATGCATGTGGTATGTCCTTGTCCTATGCTCAATTTGATACCAATTAATGCTATAGCATATGTTCTCTTCAACACTAAAACATACTACCTTGCAAATTCTGCGAAGGTATGAGCTTGGTTCTGGTGAAAGTTATTTCCGTCAAGGTATCCTTGGTCGAGCCTTAAAAAAGTACTTAGCTGTTGAAAAGCACTATGCGGACATGACAGAAGATCAGTTTGACTTCCATTCTTACTGTTTACGCAAAATGACTTTGCGTTCATATGTGGCAATGCTGAAATTTCAAGATCAGTTGCATTCGCATCCATACTTTCACAAGGCTGCTGCTGGAGCCATCAGGTATACATCTTTGAAATCTATCCATTTAATTCTTGATTCAAATAATTGAAAGAAATAAGATATAAAGAACTGCTTTACCTGAATCTATGAGCGACGCTTGTTCCTTAAATAAGTTGTGAGTTTGGAAAACATTTAGTGAGAGGATTATATCCAGTATACTGATCCTTTTGCATACTGAAGCATCGAACATTTGTACTGGGTCCTTTTCATGTTTGCTCGGCATAATTCAGTATCCTTTGTTTGGTACATCAGTGCCCATTGTATGTTGTAAAATCCTGTATAGATGTATAATTTTTAGTGATAATTTCTCTGAGACTATGATGTTATACGGTTTACTAGAGTAGGACAGTATCTGTCCTAACATCCTCGTCCGTTGAGAAGGCCATTTCCAGTTTTTGTCATTTATCTGATGCTGTTTTTTAAATTTAAATTTCAGCTGCCATTTCAGATTGGAGTGATGATTCTTGTTCCTCTTGTCTTATGTGTTCTTTTAATAGATGTTATATGAAATTGTATGACTCTCCTTTAAAATCGGCGCCTGAAGAAGATGACGAAGCGGCACAATTGCTTCCTTCTCAGAAAAAGAAACTCAGACAAAAACAAAAAAAGGCAGAAGCTCGAGCCAAGAAAGTAAATTGAACTTCCTGTTTGATATTGTCCACTGATTTGTCGCATATGCTTTTGTAATACTTATTAACTTATGCAGGAGGCTGAAGAAAAAGAAAAAAATGAGGAGGAATCAAGTTCTGCTAGTGTTTCTAAATCTGGTAAGCGTCAGCATGCCAAGCCAGTTGATCCCGATCCTCATGGGGATAAACTGTTGCAGGTGAGCGTTCTAGCTTGGTATCTTTCGCTTACTCTTGTGAGTAATTTGAAACGAATTCTAATTCTTTTGATTTTTTTACAGTTGTTAGACAAGATCACATTTGTCATAGTGGACTAGTAATGTTCTTGGTTTTGAGGAATTTTATTCTCTATGAGTTGATGCAGGTAGAAGATCCATTGTTGGAAGCTACTAAATATTTAAAGTTGCTTCAAAAGAATTCTCCAAAGTCCTTGGAGACCCATTTTCTTTCTTTTGAGTTGAACATAAGAAAGCAAAAGATCTTGCTTGCTTTCCAGGTATTTGGCTGTCTGAAATTGCGTTACACTGAATTCTTTTGGATATGTAGCCGTTCTTTGTAGACGAGCTGTGCAAAACGTTACTAGATGTTATGTTGAACATTAAGTTCTGATAATTTTTTATAATTTCACGTTTTTAGAGGTGAACATTGAAATTTATCGTCCATAATTTATACGCCATGACACAATCTCATGGCAAAAGGTTACTTCAAATGCGCGCATTAGGGATACTGTTCATTGGTGTTATTGATTGCTCATCATAATTGATGACAGAGACAAGTATCAATGACAATCATGACCTTCTACGAGGGCCAATATCTGTCTAATGTTATTAAAAGACGATAGCATAAGGCCAATTACAAAAAACCTGGCTCACAAAGTTATGACCAACTTAGTTGCCATGAGGATGATCGTAGGGGAAAAGGAATCAATCTTGGTCGGATTTTGTCATGATTTTGACGTCAGGAGGCAAGACATTCTTGGAACGTGCGAAGTATGTTATCGACGGTTCAATGATGTGCCTTTGAGCAGACTAGGACAACTCCATTCCATATTTTTTTTATATTAGAATGGTCATTCCGTTGGGCCATATGAAAATCAAACAATTTAAAGAAAAAAGTTATTCTCATTTTATAAATTTCAACGAGGTGATGGGCTTTTTGAAGGTTGACCCTGATCGAATGGTCCTAAATTCTGTAATGAAGATTAGTGTTCACGTGCAAATGTGATATTATAGAACTTTTGAAGATCCATGTGTGAAGTTAGCTCTTAACGGCATCACCTAGAATTTTGTCAAATGTTCGGATCTTGGGGCGGAGATAGATTTATAGCTGACGCAAGACCGATGGTTTTGTCTTAAGATCGATGGTTGTCTTATATTGATTTTCAGTTATATTTGCTAAAAAGGTGATGGAAATGCTTCAACAACTTTATTTTATATCGATTTCGATCCCTTAAGTTCCATTTTCTCATTTAAAACAAGGAATAATGTTCTATCTCATCAAATTCGAGGAGACAACGGAGACCTAAGTTTATACTTTCTTTGGGAAATTTAGCTTCTGTTTTTCACACAGTGGCCTTCCACTCGCATGTCTTTATCAAACATGCGTTCCTTGTAGTATTTTTATGCTCAAGAGACCGGCGATTGATTGATTGAGCTGTTTATGTTCTCTTGCGATCTCTTATACCCTGTCTGGTATTACCTGCAGGCTGTTAAGCATCTACTGGCTATAGACGCGACCAACGCCGATTCACACCGATGCCTGGTATATATACCTCTGTTCTCCTCAAACTCTTCTTTTTTATACTTTCAATGCTCTGGTCGTCCGAAATTGGAATGAATTTTGATGAAATCCCTTGTAACGTCTTTAATAAAGGTTTTTTTTTTTCGGTATAAATGAAAAAAAAAAGAAGGAAGAAAGCAATCGATGGCTAATTAGCACGGACAACATTTCTCCGGTGCTCTTTTAAATCTCATATTTCAGTTTAAAGTGGTTCTTTTTGCTTAGATATTACAAGGATATATTTTTTGAAGAATTTTTAATTCGGTGAGAGTCTAGAGAAGGATGAAAAGTAAAGGATTTCTTTCCCCTATGTACATTGTTGATATTCCATATTCATTTTGTCATAATTCCAGCCTGCATCAATCTACGAAATACTTGGTGTAGAGGATATTCGTAGCTCTTGCTTCTCAGAGAATCCATCAAAGTTGGGATCTTTATTTATGAAGTGATAGGTTATCTTATACCAAGCAATCACACGCTACATTTGTGGTAACGGTTTGGAAGTTTTGACGAACGTCTCCAAGATTGTATTCATTTGACGCCATTATTCTGTCCCAAATTTCCGTTTCGTGAGGCCAATCATTGTGGGCAGAAAGTGTTGTAATTTCCTTGCAGCCTTCGAGACTAGTAGCCCACTTCGTCAAGTTCAGATGTTCATCTGAGGGGGTATCAAATGAAGCAAATATATTCAATCAAAAATTCTCCATTTACCATCCTCGTTTTCTGATAATTTTCTCCTCGTTTATTAAAGAATATTTATCAGAAACTCTCAAAGTTGGTTGCCTACTTTTCTTCCTTCCAGAGTTTTTTCTTCCCCTCCTTCTGTGTTATAGATCTTAACATGATGATGATGGTTGTGATTATTTCTCGGGCTACTGCTATCTTTTCTCCATGTCAGTCAGCTATATGTCAGCTCAGTGACCATGGCCTGCCGATTCTCTTCTCTGTGCTTACTTATCTTGACATCGATTCCAATCTCAAACATCTACAGATTAAATTCTTCCATAAGCTCAGCAGCTTGCCAGCTCCGTCCACAGAGGCCGAGAAACTCGTCTGGCAAGTTTTAGAAGCAGAGCGACCAAATATCAGGTGCTTGCTTCGCTCATTTCATGCCCTCTCCTGTCTTCTTATTCATTCCTCCCGGGGGATTAAAACCCAGTGACCCCTCTCACAGTCAATTGCAAGGAAGGTCTCTCATTGAAGCCAACCAGGCCTTCCTCGAGAAACACCAAGGTCTGTGCTCCTGTAGCTGAAGATCATCTCATCAGATCATCATATGTTCCCGGAATTTCTTTTTTATTCAGCTGTATTCCTCGGGCATCCAGATTCCTTGACGCACAGGGCAGCAGCTTCTGAAATGCTTTACATGCTGGAGCCCGACAAGAAGGTTGAGGCGATCAAGCTGATCGAGGATTCAACTAATAAACCGGTCACAAGGTGATTTATGGAAAAATTTAGTCACAGTATGTCTCCCCTCAGAGGAAAAACCCCATGAACCGTTCTGGGTCTTCGTTTTTTGGTGCAGAAACGAAGCGTTTGGACCCGTTTTGGGGTGGAAGCTCCAGGACTGCGTCTCCGTCCACAAGCTGCTCGGAACGGTCTTCAATGATCCTGATTCTGCTTCAAGTGAGTACAAAACAATCTCTTTTCACCATTTCTTGCGTTATAATACAAACCCTTGACTGGTCTTTACTCTATATACTCGGTCTATCTCTATAGGATGGGGGGCTCGGTGTGCAGACTATTTTCCCTATTCGACGCACTTTCAAGGCAGGCTCAGCTCAGTCATTGCCAGCAAAAGTCAAGGGCTACCAGAAAACGGGGTTGTTATGAACCACCATGAAGCTGAGATTGTCGATCCAAATTCCTTGAATGGGAGATTGGAGGCATTCAAGGGCCTGGCGATCTGATTCCGCATCACGCTACTTTCCATGGCTGAACTCTGTCGGCAGCAGAGATGAGAAGCCAGTGGCGCGCAAGGAGTTTTCAGAAGCTTTTTAATCCTTCAGCACTCGGAGCCGCCCATTGATCTTCTTCACCGGAAGAGAGAGGATGGAACCCGCCGACTTCTTGGTGAACAAAATGCGCTCCTGGGTTTCGATCAGCATATTGCTGTCAACGGATCTGCCGTTCATTACGGACAATGGTTCCAATCCTCTTTGCTTTCAGATTTACAGGCTCCTGATTGGCCGAGTTCATCGACAGCAGAGAGATCTTTTAAGCAGTAGTCGGGTACCCATTATGTGTGCTTGCTGGTATTCTTTCCCCCTGGTTGTATTATCTCTTGCCGTTATTCCTAGAAATTTTTTTGGTCATATTTAGGTTCTGTACCCATGAATGCCGCATCAAACCGTTGATAATTTTGTATCAGTTTTGGTCGGATTTCGGCTCTGAACCATGGAAAAATAATTTATCTTCCTGCGTTAATTATAAATCTCTTGTGGGCATATTACCATTCTCACCTCAATTTGCATGGTTGTAAGAGAAACAGGAGATGGTCGAAGAACATGAGATGCAAGCGGGCTTTCAAGCAGTTTGAAGTGATACACCTGGGCATTCAAGTGAAAGAAATGTTCGTTCATACAGAGTCAGCGACTCACGGCTTCGTATCCGGTGGAGAAGCCGCAGCAGACGATCCGTCAAATTGATGGCTGGAGCTCGCCGTTCCGTGGGAATCCGAACCGTCCGAGAGGCTGTCGCTGCTGCTTTCAATCCCCTGTCAACAGAGACAGACCCCCACGAGAAGGAATGGTAAAAACATGGAAGAAAAGGGTTCTAGAGATTCTAGTCTAGCGACCAGTCGATACCTCGAGCTTCTTCAGCATGCTCTCCGCCTCGAACACGTCCCCGCAGGCATGAAACACGTCGGCAATAGATTCCATAGAGAAGTTGGGGAAAAGCGAAGAGAGGAACTCTAATCCGAATTCCAGACCGTCTAGATCGATCTCCGGGTCCGCAAACTGGGGATTCGTGTCTTCAGACTTGGGGATTTGATGATGCCCTCTCCCTGGGAATTCCTCAGTAGACAGAGAGTTGAATGCCTCATCCACGGGCACTTCTTGGGTCCTCTCATCATCCGCAGCGATCGATCTCTTGAAGTTTGGGATGAACGGCGTCGCGTTCGGGTTCAGGAAGAACGTTGACTTCTCCATTTCATAAATCAAGACCGACAGAACCACGATTTCTGCCAAGAACGTTTTGGAAAAGTGAGAAAAAGATGCTGGGTGGGCGAAGGCGACTGACAGAGTAATAACCTGGTGGTCATTACGAGTCAACTATATTCTATATTAAGATAAAATCATCAACAACCGTAGCACTGATCATAGCAATAATCAGTCCTCGTTCAATTACTGAGCTATGCCCAAATCATATTCAAGTAGGACAATAACCCATAAATCTTGCGCAAAAAAGGATAAGAGGCAAGAACAAACTACGAAGAACTGGATGAAGAAATATGCGAATGAGATAAAAAGTTGCAGGTATTTCTGTTTATCGACTGGCTGGCCCGCTCGAGGATACCCAGGAATCAAAAATCACCAGATACTCATTCTGGTGATTTTCTTGCTGTGAGATCGGTTTCTTGCTGTGGCAATATTGCAGCATGTCTTCGCTCATACAGACAAAGAAGGACGAGCGCGCGATATCTATCATACAAAAGAAGGGCAGACTTGCAATGTTTCTAGATCAATAAGATGGAAGTATTTGCTCTTGAGCTTTAAATCTTTTAGCAACTGAAAGAAAAAAAAGGAGAAATTCACTGGCCGATGAACGGCAACATTAAAATGGAAACAGAGAAAGAAACCAATGCTTCAGCGGACTTCTTGTGGAAAAAAAATAACGCCGCGAGGACAGGAGAGGGTTTTGAACAACTAAATGCAATTATTCTTCAGAAAGAAGAGTCGGAAATGTCAAGCATCAACACAGATCTGTTTATAAGGCAATTTCGGCATTTCGGGTTGAAAAAGGCACCCGGTGCATTAATTTCTGCGCATAGACGATTCCAGATGATCTAGCGAGACAAATGCATGTTCATAGAGCACACGAAACGACGGAGCGTCTGGACACCGAGAGAGCAAATAGTTTACGATATTTCGGGAAGACAAGAAAACGTAGATCACTCTCTTGCCCGAACAGAAACCCGTTTTCTCAACTTGCCATATAATTCACAGTAAGAAGAGCACAAAAATTATGGAAATAAGATCCTTCCAGAAATGAAATCCACAGACAGTCACTGGCTTCAGGAACAAGAGGATGAAAATTCAAGAAAATAAGCACCGCCTGAGGGTGTCCCAGAAACCTAGAATGATCTCTCAGACCCAACTCGAGCAGATTTCTCACGAAAGATCAAGAAAAATTGGCACAAAAGAAGCAGATTAGACGACAAGAAACTATAAATTACGACATGATGGAACGCATTACGAACAGGGAGATAGACGGTGGCAGGGAAATCTCTTGATCCTTTTGGAGTGAGCACCGAGTGAACGATCGAACAAGCGACTACGCAGCGCGAACCAGGGAGTGCTCTCGCGAAGGGGACGCAAGTATAAACAGTTGGGGCCGGCGGGTGAAAGGGAGAAACGGAGGGAAAATTACGTCTCATTTTCTCACATTTTCAAACTCACCTTAATAAACGTTTTATTTTAAAAATGACCCAATATTCAGTGCATTTAAGTAAATTCTTAAAGTTGACTAAGTTGCGTATGGGCCCAAATAGTGTCCGGCCTAACGCCTTGTTTGGGCTGTTATTAGGTCCCGGCCCATTGGGCTATATAAGATACTGCTAATACTTTCTCAACACACTAAATAAGTTTTTTTGGACCGTCCGATTGATTCTGGGGGAACGGACGGTCCAAATGGAAGGTATTCGAGGGGAAATAAGCCTAGAGAATCAACGGTAGAGATTTGGCGCTGTTGCCGTGGACTCCCCCCCTGATGGTCTCTCCCCTGGACTTCCCAGCGGATGTGGCTCCTCCTCACTCCCTCCCGCTGAACGGAGAGGGATGGCAGCAGCTCTCCTCTCCCCTGCTCCTGCTGCGCCCGCTCGCTCCAGCGCCAGTTCTTCCTTCTCTTACAACCTACCGGTTCTTGGGTGTGCCCCAGTTTCTCCATTCCCGAGAATAATTTCATCCAGCTCTGTTGTCTTGTTGATTCTACTTCATTCTTGTTTATGGATAAACTGAAGTGAGTATGGTTGCTCTTCTCTCTCTCTCTCTCTCTCTTTCTCTCTCTCTCTCTCTCTCAAGGATCCACGCGAAGAGCTCTACGGGATGGAGGAGGTGCAGGATGTCGAGGGGAGCCTTCGTCGTCGCTTGCGCGTCGTCGACGTCTGGAGAGAGGGAGGGCTACAGGAGGAGGGACCTAATGCTGTCCGGCCTGTCTTCTTCGGCTATTATCTTCTTTCCCCATTCCGGTTAGAACAGGCTCCGGTGCTAATGATACTGTACGATTTTATTTTTTACATTGAAGACAGTCCTTTCGGGCGTCGATTTTGGCAGGGGAGAGAAATTGCTTGATTGAACGACGCAGATGAGACGGGGCGTTTTTATCGTTTACATTGTTGCAGTCAATTTATTTACGCTGTCTCTTTGGAGAATTTAGAGGATATACTTCAAATTCTAGTTTGATCAAAGGGTTACGCATTATTATACATCAATTGTTGCTCCTGTCTGCTTATGATGCTTTAATCTCTACTAATCAAGTGCCATTTACGGAAGACGAATTGATTTTATAAATAATTTTATGCAATATTTTCCTACTAATGACGCCCATTTGTATTGGCAGTTAATGAACACGTAAATTTCAGTTGAACGTATCAAGTTCTAAATTGTGGAAGACCTTTAACTGCTCATGTGTTTGTGCGAATTTCTTGACTTAGTTTTTGCCATCTCCGAATCCTATGCTTTCCTTTTTAAGCCTCTTTTGATCGGGCTTCTTCTTAGTTTTCTTCTACTTCTATGACTTAGACTTGATAACCTTGCATTTTTCCTGTTATGGCTGTCTTAGAGATTTCTGCTGCAACTGATCTGGATGGGGATTTGAAGAGCGCTGTATTTGTTGATGATATAAACGCATATAGTTTTGCCTATCCTGTGGAGCTATCAGGGAAGAATGTTGTCTTCAAATGGTGAGAAACATAAGTAATCATTTCGTTTTGTAGTTTATTTTTTTATGCGCTTGTCTTTTACAAGGTTATTTAGTTCATTGAGAAACTAAAAATTTGTATGTCAATTATATCATGCAAATGGTTTAGGTGCAGACTAACTGCAAAAATACTTCAATGTACTCCTTTTAATTTTCTCCTGATTTCTGAGGTAGGTGATCAGCCAACTACAATGGCTGAAATAGCCCTTTTTTCTAAGCTAACATCAACACTGAAATTTCTTACAAATTTGAAGGGTGGAATCCAGAAAACCGGAGAGATACTCATCTGCTGCCCCTCTATCACGTAAGTTTCAGTATAAATCTTTCTTTAGCTTTCCTGATGGTCGTCTCCTCTGGTATCGCTTGTCAAGTAAAATATGATTTGGTTATGAAATCGTCAATGACTAGATCTTGAAAGAATGCTTTCATACTTTAGGATCTTGGTTTTTTTTATTATTATTACCCAGAGATTTTTCTTTTGAATTTGGAGAACAATGACTGTTTTGTCAGAGTGTGTGGTCTGGAAGATCAACACAGAGATTGACTGATGGTTGCTTACTATGCAGCCGATGCTCGACAGCGCATTGTGTCTGAGCGGGTTGACATGATAAATAATGTTGTCGTGTCTGTTTCAGTAAGTTGAACTGGCTATTACGTTCTATATACAATTTAATTTTCATCATGAGGCTTCGTGTTGTCAATAAACTTTCTCCTGCTGTATCCTTTTATTCTTTAAGAGATTTCATATATATATGAAGATTCAGATAGCCTCTAAAAACATTTTTTATTGCTCAATGTTCTTGGTTCCACTGTGAGACGTCACCTTGGTATTGTCATCTGATCCATGTACTATTCAACATTCTTCGTGCAGATAGGCCCCCCCAATTCACGTTTCCTAACCTCACCTGATAAGAGTTCTTGGGAGGCAAAAGATGTTGTGGACTCCATTCTATCTGACAAGTCTACGTTGGTATGTAACGTTTACGATGTAATGAATAATACAATATTTCATTTTTCTTGTACTTTTATTTTTCTTCCTCATGCCCATGGACATTCATCCGCACTTTCATCTGCATATCTCAGTAGCCTTGTGACACCCCATCGTATGACCACCCTGTGACAGCCTTGTTTAGATTCACTAGAAATCATGTGCTGCACGCTTTTGATTCAAAACCATGTATCTTATCTCGAGAGAATTGTGTGCAGCGTGTAACAACTGGGCAGCGCCTGGCTGAGAGTTCTGTCCTTGACGTGCATTTAAGCGAAGTAAGCTTTGATAGTTATTTGCATTTTGAAGTAGACTGAAGGACGGGACTCGCCTATTTTATTCTTATTTAATTTCGTTTAAATATTTGTGATGTTCGTATTATTTTCCACCTTAGGTTGATGGTGAGAAATACTGGTGCTATGAGTATCTTGTACGAAAATCAGCTACAAATCCTGTGAGTTTCCGTGCAGTCTTCTTTCTCTTATTCCTTTGGAGTGATGATTGATATCGGCTGCTGCATTTCATCGTCGTCATCATTGTGACTATTATCATTACTAGCATTAGTAAAATTGCATTTCTTGGAAGCTTTTATTCTTCAAACCTTCTTTTTTTTGTGACGATTAGCCTCCAATTTGTCATTGTTCAGGCTCAGGCAGCAAATCTTTACCGGCACTATGTGGCTTCAACAGCCGAACGGGATGGTAAGATACTTATTTCCTGCTGGAGTTACGATAGTATGTATATATATGGAAATACATTTCACAAACTTCAGACAGCCCATTTGAGTAGTCGTAATTATTCTTTAATGCATATCCTCATGAACTGCTCTCTACTTTGTCAAGGGTACCTCTACTCTCTGAGCGCCTCAACCCTCAGCAAGCAGTGGGAATCGGTGCGTCTCCTCCTCTGCCTGCTCATTATCCATCGAACCAGATTATTCAGCCGTGTGAAAATATTCATAGCCAGCAGGGAGAATGGGCAGATTTACTGATACACATTTGATTAGTGTTGCTAATCAAGCGCGTTTATGTGGTTATGAAGGCCTTTCTGTGGACTAATTTGATGATTCACCACACGTTTGGGCATGTGAATCTGTTGATGCAGATGGGGCCCCTCCTGGAGAAGACGGTGGCTTCCTTCCGACTTCTTCCTCCTACGGACAGCTATGTGCCTCCTTACAAAGATCCCTGGAGATTTTGGTGATGCGTTAGAGAGAGAGAGAGAGAGTTCCCCATTTTGCCCGCATCAATGTGATTTCACGCTACCTCCACTCCATTTATTCTTTGAATTCGGATCTCACTGTTATTAAAACGGGTTAGAAGCAGTGCGAATGGGCCGGAAAAAATTGGAACGCCCTGTGGGCCGATTAAGTGAGGTTAGCCTCACTTGCCTTTTTATTTGGGCCAGAATGGCTAGAAGGGGTCCGGGCCAATCAGCACCTCCCTCTCCCCACCCTCCTTCCACTGACATGTGCCCCAATTTCCAGGCCCATGGGAACCTGACACAAGGCTGCCCAGGCGGGCGTCCCGCCGCCGGCTTCGTCGTGCGCGGTTATCCTCCCGCACGCTCCGCCGCGCGCGTCGTGCGCAGTCGTCCAGCCGTGCGCGCCGCGTGTGCTTGTTGCTCGACCTGTCGGTTGGTAGGTCCTTCCCTGAGGATCTCGCCCCTGCCGGACAGACCGTGTGACAGAACGCTTCTGGTCGAGTCGAGTCAAATCCCCGACCGTTGACCCGGTGGAATCCCCGCTGCCGCGCTTTATGGGCCTAGGAATATTGTAGTATGGACTATTTATTAATGGGCTGGTGAAGAGCCCATGTAGGGCCAGCTCAATGAGGGGGATCCGGTGACCCGGTGGAATCCCGGCAGCCGCGGTTTATGGGCCCAGGAAAGTTGTAGGATGGACTAGTTTTATCAGTGGGCAAATGGAGAGCCCATTAGGCCCATCTCAATGGGGGATCCGGTAACCCAGTGGAATCCCGGCTGCCGCTTTTTATGGGCCTAGGAAAGTTTGAGTTTGGACTGTTTTATTAATGGGTCGGTGAAGAGCCGATGTAGGCCTAGCTTTATGGACCTAGGAAAGTAGTATTTTTGACTATTTTTATTAATGGGCCGATGGAGAGCCTGGGAAAGTTGGAGTCTGAACTGTTAATGGGCTTTTGAAGAGCACATGTAGGCCCATCTAAATGGGGGATCCGGAAATAATCCCGGCTGCCACGGTTTATGGGCCCAATGAAGTTGGTATGAGCTTTTAATGGGCCTAATAGAGCCCATGGAGGCCCATATAAATTGGGTGGATCCGCGAACCGGAGATTGGACCGGTGGCGGTCCACGGTGGGAGAGAAAACTGGCCGGGCCCGTGGCCGGCGACGTTCCCGATCTCTTTCTCAACTTGCGATTCTCCCTCTCGCCGGGCTCTCATCTCCGGCCCCCACTCTGGTCGCGGTTTCCCGGTGTTTCGAGGTCCGGCGAGGGTTCCGCAGCTGTCTTCTCGCCCTTAGTCCTCTTCGTGTCTGCAATTAGGGCTCTGATCTGCTGGTCTCTGGTGCCAATCGGCGTTCGTTGCTCGGTTTCGGCGGCTGCGATGTGCGATGATGGATGATTAGGGTTCTTTTAGGTTCTTTTAGGAATCGGGCCCGATCGTGGGTTATCGGGGTTTGTTGGCGATCCCGGCGAGTAGTCTTGGAGAAGGTCGGTTCAGACAGCCGGGCGCGGAGAGGGGTGCTTGATACTGGCCGGGGCCCCACATTTCCTCGAGGGAGCTCCCTCTGGAGGTCTTCTCTCTTTCCCGGAGCTGCGACTATAACCAATTTTAGTTGTCTTTAACTTGCTCCAATCTGTGTCTTTCTCCCGCGAGATTCGGATTTGGACCCACCCTGTTACTGGCTCATATGCTGGGATCACCTGACCCTTAAAGCTCGTGCTTTGGGTCTGTGTCCATAAAGTTTCTCAATAATAGTCTCAGCTTTGCAATTTTTTGGAATTTTCATGCTTTAAATTGTCTCCTTCTTTACGTCAGCTCTCTGATTCGTTTTTTTCTCTTCTCCCCCGTCTTATCTATGAAAACTCTCAAACTGGGTTTGTGTTTTAGGGTCTTACAGGTTGCTCCTGTTTATGAAAAGTACTCTGTGTAGGCGATTCTATCCTATCCTCGGTCTTCCAGTAGGTATATTGTGCAGGTTTTCAGGTCTACGCCATCAAAGAACGAATCAACTTTGAAAATACATGAAAATCCTTGAAAAGAATGTTTAGACGACGTCACCCTTTGCGTTGTACTCAGTTCTCATTGACCTTCTCGCTCGTCCGTTTTAACGTTTCTGCACGCCGTCGTTTTTCTTTTCCCCCATTTACTTCCTGCCTTTCATTTAAGTTCAGCGAGTTCGTGCTTTCTCTCTCTGTCCGTCATGCTCATCCTTCTTACCAGATTCCTTCGCGTGACATCTTCATGGTGGAGAGAACAACCCAACAGAGAGGACGTGTTCATCTGAATCTTCTGTGGGTAAGCGCTAAAATCCTGGATCATGGAGTTGGGTGAAGGAAATCTCCATAAAAAGGGGCGCATCTATTTATTGTTCTGGTTCAGGAATTCAGATACTATGCATATTCGTTGTTGTTCTTACTGTGAAAGTTTTTGAATGACTCTCTGTGCGAATTTCTGAATCTATTTAACCCGATCTTAAGCTGATTCTGTGTAGTTACTTGCAGTTTTCGTTGCATGTATCAGATGATTTTGGCGAGTATGCATCAACATGTTTTTTTGATTATTTGGATGCCGGTTTCTCTCAGGTGAGAAAATGATGTGATGGATCCGGAGGGAAAGAAGTTTGGGAGAGGTAACAAATCAGAATGCCCTTTTGAATACTCTGCCCATATACCTTCTTTAATATGTGATATATACTCCATTCATGCAAGTTTCATGGGTACTAATATTGATTGAGCCAGAAATAATAAGAAGGCAGCTCGATGCATTTGGGTTGCAGGAATTTTTCCTCTGGAGTGAACGTAGGAAATCATTCCATTAATTAACTGGGCTTATTTTTTATACCATGTGTTCTTCCCATGCCTTTTCTTTGGGCACTCGATTTCTCTTTGAGTGAGACTCCTTTGCGTTGCGGCCGACTCCTCTACCAGTGCTCCTCGGTAGCGTCCCAATGATTGCCTCTGCTCGTTTCCCTATGCTCTTATGGATTCTTCAGAGCAGCCTTCTTCCGTTGCCTACTTCTGAACGCTGTTTCTTGGAAGTGGAATTCTCAGGAGCTAAGGAACTCACGGGCGGCGTGGACCTTCTGAACCACTACCAGCTGCTGGGATACTATGATTTCTTCTGCAAGCGGGCGCTGCCCCTGTCGATCTCAGAGACGAGCTACCTCCGCAGGGTGGTCGGAGACACGGAGATCAGGAAGGGGGAGGGCATGGAACTGGGCCAGCTCCTCGAGGAGACCTCGCGCTGTGAAGAGCTCCCGGCCACCATCCGCCCTTTTGAGTTGGACAATCTGAGGGAGGCCTTTGATCTCCGAGAGACGGCTCCAGTGGAGTTGCCCTCTGTAAGTACCACCCCCCTCCTCTCTCTCTCTCTCTCTCTCTCTCTCCTGCCTTTCTCGCTCTAGGACTCAATGGGCATCTCGCCGTGCCCACCAGGAGGAGAGAGGAAGACCCACGATCAGTGGGAGAGTGAAGATCGAGGCCAAGGAGAGGGAGAGAAAGCCCAGGAAGCACAAGGAGAAGGACCGCGAGAAGGACAAGGACCGGAAGAAGCACAAGCATCGGCACAAGGGGGGGCGGTCCAGGGAGAATGACAAGGACCAAGCGAAAGAGAAGAGAGATAAGAGTGGGCACTCTGATTATGGCGGAAGCCAATCCAAAAGGCATGAAGATAAGGTACCCAGTTCCACACTTCTTCTTTGCCGGTCAACGGACCGCAGGGATGTCTCTGCATGATATCGAGGAATTCATGGACTGATGGCTTGGGATGAATTCATCAGTCTTCTTTACTTGTTATAGAAAAGGAAGCACGATGGCACTGAGGACATCTCCAACCTCTACAAGCACAAGAAAAGCAAGGTAGCGCTACTGAAAACCCTGCACTGTCTCTCTCCCTCGAGTGATGAACCCGCTATGTATTCCTACTCTCAGATAATGTTTCTTGCCTACCCCAATCAGCACAAGAACTCGAAGGTGGGCGAGATGGGAGCAATAAGGGTCGTGGGTTGAAGGATTTTTTTCACTTGATCGTCATCGTTTCGGAGCAATTGTGGGTTCTCAGAGAAGACTGGGATTTGGGATGGCACCAACCTGCTCTGATGTCATTTTGGGTAACTCTCTTTCCCTAAGTCGACCAGAGCTATGGACCTTCTTCTGCAGGTGCTTACCATCCTTGGCTGCTGGTTATGTGGCAGGGCTTTCTACAAGACTCTAGTGGAAGAACCCACCCTCGAGTGGGTCTCGCCGGCTGCCGAGCATGGCGACGGCGGAGGACCACAGGCTGGTAGATTTGAGTTAGTTGGAAATATTGCGGGTAAAAAAAATAAAAAAAATCCTTATTTTTCTTTTTTTTCTTCTTGTTTATTATTATTGTTGTATCAAGATTTCTAAAGCCTCGTCCAGAAAAGTAGTGCAGAGTGAGGCCACTGCCTCTCGGTGTCTAACCACTGGTGGAAGCTGTAGTAATAGTGTGGCACTGGCACTGGGGATGAGGATGTGGGGGGGAGTAGAGTAGCCAGTTGGTGTCCAATTCTAGGTTTCCTGCCTTCGATTATGTCGCATGTGGGGTAGAAACTGGATGTTGTAATTTGATTCCTTCATGAAATGAAGCTCGGTGGTACAGAAAGCAGGTGGTCTCATTGAACACTTGGTCAAATCACATATTATTCTCTACATGTTGGCAAGCTCAAAAGTTTGACTTTGAATGCTTTGTCCGATTGGCCGTTGAACTATCTTTGAAAATTGGTGGCCTGATAAACTAGAGAGAGGGAGAGACAGAGACACAAGAGAGAGAACTGGTTCAAGGGTTGACTAAGAAGCATGCCATTGGAAAACATGAGGCGATCTGAGTTTGTTCATATTGTCAGAATCCCATATCATTCTCTACATGTTGGCAGTCCCAAAAGTTTGACTTTGAATGCTTTGTCCGATTGGCCATTGAACTATCTTTGAAAATTTGTGGCCTGACAAACTAGAGAGAGAGAGAGAGAACTGGTTAAAGGGTTGACTAATGAGCATGCCATCGGAACACATGGGGTTATCTGAGTTTGTTCATATTGTCAGACTCTGAGGCTATTTAATCACAAAATAATGACAAAATGTAAATGGAAAATATCTAGCATAATCCTGCACTCCAGAGGGCAGGGGCAGTTTAAATCATCATTAAAACATGTAATCAAGATACTTCGGGTTCACTATCTCTTACTAAATTCTGATGTTAAGTTCTCACGTTCTCAGCGTCAACTTCCAAAGAGTATTGAACCTCGCATTGGGTTCCTAATGGTAACTGTGAATATTGGGCATGCCACATCGGCAGGAATTATCCTTATTTATCATCATCTAATATCAGGCCCGTTGACTTCACTAAATTGTAGGAAGAGAATGAAAAAAGTCATAATGGGTGTGGGTCACTGACATCCAGGTGGGAGACAATTTAAGGCCTGAGAGCTGTGGAAAGGTGTGTACGCTCCAGTTTAGCAAAATATTTACAGAAATGAACGACTTACGAGCAATCTCTGCCTCTGAGGAGCTGTAGAAGCTGTAAGTAGCCAGCATCGTCGGGAGCTATAAATCTGTGAACAGGAGGAACCAAGAGCAATCATTGGTAAATAACGCCCTCATCTGTTTAATGTTGGAAATAAGGCAATTTATAGCATGATTATTACTAATTATAACTGAGAGGAAATATTAGAGAAATGGTCATCGGTGAAGGAAAAGCAAACGTTAGCACAGGAATTTAACTTCAAAAAGGAAAGAAATTCGTGAGGGCAACAGAAAATTTAAGAGAACGGAACCAGAAAAAGGGGGAGATGGATGGCATACCCATGGCGAAAGAGGAAATCAATGATGACGAGGGCACAGTTTGGTTTGAAGAACTCTGTCCTCAGTATGATGTTGGCAACTTGATCCACAGGGATTAGGTTGAAGCTGTCGACCTCTCCATCTGCAAAGGTAAGCCCGGGAGTTCAGGATTACAATTGAAGAATAATGAAATTGTCTACATCAAATTATAAAATTGTCGAGGAGTTAAATGTAAATACTAAAGAACTGTAGCAAGGTTTCCAAGAAATGAAAGAGATATGATTGTGTCCAGTGTGAATAATTATAAGCCACTGTTAAAGAAAAAAAAATATAAGATTAATATTCGACATGCGTGTCTCCTCTTATGTGTGTTATCTTATGCATGGATTCAGATAATGTTATGATATTGGAGGAAGAAAAAAAAAAACAGAACAGACGCAAAGAAGACCCCAAATTGACATGAAATGATTATAATAGAGTTAAAAAATCTCGTCAGAAGAAGGGCCAGATAGCATGCAAGAAGATCGGGGTCTCCGTCAAGACATTTGCCAGCCTATGCAGAAGAACTTGCCTTCATTCTTGGGAACGAATCCATCCGGAAGTCTTAGATCATAGCAGAAAAGGACGTCCCTCTTGTACCTAGGGCCATCTATGTCCACATAAGAAACTGCTCCCACTGGGATGGCCCTGTTTAGTAAAAAATAAATAAATAAATGATAATCTCAGTCGGTGATACTAAAGCGTATAGCTTCGAGGTGGAAAATAAAATAAAATAAAAGAATTCTCACTATGATTATCATTACTTAAGTTGGCACGAATCTTTGTGTTCAATATTTGAAACCTATGATGACAGAATCTACGCAGAAAATTCCTATTAACTAGTAATCAAAATATTCAAGGTCAACAAAATGACCACATACATGGCATGCAGGTTGTATCATACTCATGTACATAATTTTCTATCGTGTCAGCCATCCTCGTCCAAAATAACAGCCAATAAATCCATCCCTATAATTGACGCCCACACATGTTAGGGCATTGCGTAGTAGAGTCAGGTGACACCTGTGCGATTGAATTAGCTCTCTTTCCATTTGATTCTTTTCATTCAACATCAGTAACTTTTAGATCTTCTTCATCTTTACATATAAAGCTCCCCAGCCTCCCACACCTCAGATTCCTGCAGCTTTTGGGTCAAAGATGGCCTTTTCTGCCTAAATTGTGCGCCATTGACCATGTTTTAGTTCCTTGAACGCTGGCCGATCAATAAAAGTTTCTGAAGGTAATTAATACTTCATTTTCGCCAGTCCATAGCAAGCAAGGAATGTTCTTGATTCCTAGTCTACGACCTTACCCTTCTGAAATTATTCTAGCTTAAACTTAGGAGCTGCAAACAGGAGAGGAATACGGCCCCTGGTAAAGGCCTAGGGAATATATTACCTGAGCTAACGCGAACTTCTTCTTCTTCTTAGTTCGACCAAAAAATACCTCACGTTCATCAAAGTTGATCTATCAGTTATTGCATATTCTGGTCTAAATAATTCACCTTTCACAATGGAATATGAAACAATAGTTGTCCCAACCAAACATCAATCATACATTCTCAGTTGAAAAAATTGGATAACGCACCTCACAAGGGACAAGCTTCTAGCTAATTAGAAAGCCCCAAGCATCCTAGCCTCTACCTCAAGAAATGTGACATTGAGCAATGAGACATAATTATAGACAAACTTTAAGATATCTCCAAAACGTGGATTCGAAAGACAACAAATCATTAATTTCGGTACCATATATGCTCATGATCCAAATCAGATGTGAGCATACCCGGACAAAAAACAGAAATCAACAAAAATTCTATCTTGAGAAAATAAAATGTGAAAGAGGGAAGCTAGATTCGCAAATAGTCGCACAAGTTCTCATAAATTTTTAGGATCTGAAGGGAAGTCTATGAAAAATAACCGATTTCCACCGCATATATTCAAATGAAACTACGCATTAATCAACTTTTTTTATCCGTGGTTAATTCAAATTAACAGACTATAAAAAGGAAAAAGACGCACCAGAATGAACTGATTGACAATTGTTGCATGCATGCATGACAAAGATACGGAGCATACCTACAGGAGATACTTTCAGGTATCCCTGCCTCCTCATGACATTCCTTAATGATGTTAGCTTTGCAGGTTATTCCGTGTGGCTATCATCACCAACAAAAGAACATCAAACAGACAGAGAGTTTAATGAATAACGTTTCGCTAATTTTTTTAAAAAATAAAGACATTTTATTACATAACAAAAAGACAATTTAAAGAAACAAAATAAGAAAAGAATTCGTCCATCGCACCAGTCCCCCAGCAACAAGGTGGTCCAACATTCCCGGATATGTAGGCTTGCTCTCACTTCGCTTTCCTATCCAAAGATATTTCTTCTCATCCTTTTCGATATATCCGTTCATATGGACACCATAGGCCTGGAAAGAAGGAAAAAAATTAGGAAAATGATTTATAGTGAAGCCATGACTCCCACAGCTTCCTCTTCATTGTCCATATCTCTCCTGCCCTCACTTCCCTAATTTTATGTGCTAAAATAAATTGATTTTGTGTGGACAGTCGCATAGAAAAGAGTAGACCTACTGAAAGAATATCCTATTATGTAATTTTCATATCCACTCATCTAGGATTACGTCTTCTATGTCATGCACCGATTTAACACATTTATCTGGTGGAGAACAGTAACCGAAACATCAGAAGCTATGTGAGCCCAAATGCAACTCCAAACGAGGAAAAATAATTATCTTAGCATTTTCAACTGTGATTCCAAACGAAAACCGGATTTGTACTCGAACCTTATTTCCAAGCTTTGCCCGGTATTTTCATATCATTACTACAATAGATAAATAAAATTAAGAAAAAGTGTACATGGAAATGGACCCTGATGTCCTCTGGACTCTGTTGCTTTTACAGTCCCATGTTCTTTGTCTTACTATAGTGGCTTCTACGCGCTACACTCAGCTGCTCTTCATCTTGCATCCTAGTATCTTCAGCTGTTATATATCTGGGGCCTTTTGCACAAATGGATGCATCTCGAGTGCCACCATGTTGACCGCATGCGCTTCAACTGACAGTCACTATTCCATGTTAGTGTGTTTCCCACCGTGTTCCTGCAGCATTTCATTCATTTTCACCTCGTAATCATTATTGTTACTTTTTCTCTCTGCTACGATTAGTCTCTTACTATATTGCACTTAATTACTATCGTGTTTGTGTTTTCTTCACGTGCGAAATTTTATCCATATGTATTAGCTTTACTTTCTCACTGGAGAACAACACATTGCTGCCTCTCAACATGAGTGACAATCATCAACCCAGCTAATACTTTTACTCCTCAATGAGTTCAAGTTAAAAAGAGGACCGCATTGATGAAATTATACCCCTTATGCACAGTATATCAGACTGTGTTTAGTTAGTTTGCACTATTTCTAGGAATAAATGATAAACCCAGAAGTTTAAACGACTCAAAAAAAAATTAATTCTAAAGGTGGAATTAGGAAAATCACCATCATGTACAATGCGAAACAACTATAGAGCATATTTTGACTGCATCATATTTCTATACATGGAAACGATTTGCCCTCAATATATTGTTTATTCACAGCATGATTGTTTTATGGCAGAAGCGTATGCATGGATAATAGGGGTTTCAGATGTCAATCCAACAACCGAAGTTTTCAGTCACTAGTAGCGATCATGAGTGACAATAGCACAAGTTCGTGGAAAATGCAAATTCCATCATCTCAGAGAATCCTTTCCTACGTAGAAGAAAAACAAAAAATGCGTACGCTTAATGTTTAGGTAAATAACGACCATTTGCTCATATACCCTACCCTAGTGCATGGAATCTTAGGAGCTGGAGCATTAGAAGGTGGACACAGTCAAAAATGCAGACCCAAAAGACATCTTAAACAACTATAGCACCCACGAATAGAGTAGTGCCAAGTGTAAATATGAGAAACTAACTAACGATAAATCTCAGAAACATCTATTGTCCATCTGGGACATTAATTATCGATACATATCAAAAATAGGCAAAAATGTGCAATAAGTTTAACGGACCAGAATAAGTAATATCTCAATCGTCTAATGATATGTGATAGCAAACCTTTATCCCAAAGTAAGGAGCAGCAGCACGTTCCAGTGAGAAGAACACAGGCAAACCATATGATGCGCTCACAGGATACAACTGCTCGTAATCAACAAAGAAAAACTTATAAGGATAAATTATTAAGCGAGTTCTAAGATTCCTATAAAAACTATATAAATAAATCTGGAGAAACAGTAAGCAAAATGAAGAAGACCACGAGTACAGATAATTCTTGACACTCTTAAGGAAAAACAGCAGAATTAAAAGAGAACAATGTTGAAGGTTGGAGACTCCTTAGAATTATCTGCTTTTACTTCTGAATACTTTCCATAGTCTCCCGAAAGAAGGAAACTCTTTCATAGAGGAAATTATGTGTCTAGCATCGTAGATACGTCATATGAAAGAAAAAAAAAAATGAATACATGAAGATGAAGTACCTCGTTTCTTATACCTGGTATCAGACTTCCCAAGGATTTTATTACATCTCCAACAGCTATAGTTCTGTCTTCCGATGATCTAAGTGATGGATGAAAAGTGACACAAGCGCTGGTATAGCCTTTATTGTCGCCCGACATCAACATAAACACATTGCTAAAACCTTTTAGGTGGTTGACAAAGCTGAAATATGTCAGAATACCGTAAGAATAAAAACAGGGAATTCCTAAGGGCAATCAATGGTAGAAAATTTATTAACTTTAATTTTTGTCTTACTTCTGGTGTAACTGAAAATCATACCCTGAGACATAAGTTTCAACCTGACGAGTTGCTAATCCGAAAGTCTTTTGTCTCATTCAATCAAGTTTCACTCAAGGGGAGACTAGACTAGCACATTGGATATCACCAAATATAAGTATCTATTAGATTTTATAACTTAGGAACTAACAGGATCGCGAATCCTTCAGCAGAAACATACTTATTCAACAATAGCAACATACATTAACTTTCACTTTTCTATGGCGATCTCTCTTAGAGATGCAAGAACAAATGAAGAACTCGAGTTCCCGTAGAACATGATTCCTGCCATTATGATGACGGTTGTCAAATTCGGCCAAAATTTTTAAAACTGAATGGGCGTTTTCAACGTACTAACAGATAACAGATTCGTGCACATATCTAGAATCAGCAGATGTAAGACTGCGCAGACGGCTACGCACGCGGTGGAAGGCTCTTGCCACTAGATAGCAGAAAGCGTGAGCAGCTACCTGTGGTGGATGTAGCCGACAATCTGCCCCTCGATCACAAACGCCACGAACTCGGAATGGAATTCCTGCATACAATAGCCGCCCGAATACACGTATTCAAGCTTCCCAGACGAGGAAACGCTCATCGCACAACCAATGGAGAGGAATTAGGGTAACATGAGAAAAAAAAGTAGCTGGACGGCCTTACGGAGCCCCGGTTGCAGGACCGAACTCTCTCGAAGTAAGCGTTAAGGCCGGAAGGTCCTTTTCTATCCTCGGAAGATATGCGGAAGACGTCGTCCCAGCCGAAGCTCCTCCCAGTCCCGCTGCAGAGGGCACCCTGCCCCGAGCTGCTACCACCACCGATGCAGCTAACAACCCGCCGGACGAGGTCACCCCGCGGCCGGAAGAGGCGAGGAGCGACAGGAAGCGGAAGACCAGCAGCCGGTAAGCGGCAGCCCATCGTCCTCCCCTCCCGCGGGGGACACCAGTACAGCAATCTGTCCGTCGGACGCCGAAGAAGAGAGGGAGAGAGAGAGAGAGAGAGCAGCGAAAACCAGGCGAGGGCTCGTCGGCCGTGATGGTAAAGGGCGGGCGGGGGGGGGGCGCAAGGAGACCCATTGCTAAAGGTCACCTGTCGGTGCGCTTATTCACCACGGTGGATAGAGTGGCGAACTCGAAAGAGATATAAACCAGGAGACGGAAGGTCATCTGAGCAGAAAAGCCCGCGGTTTATTCGGACAGTACAACAAACGAGCGGTTGCAGGGAGGAAGGAGGAAGGAGGGAGGAAGGAGTTCTTCTTTTTTGAAAGTTTTTTGGAGGGAGGAGGGGAGAGGAGGGATCGGGTTGTACACACTCAACTTCGTCTTCCAAAACTGACGACGCCGGCCTTACCGCACGGGCTGCTGGTTGTAGTGGTTCTTCTCCTTCTTCTTCGCGGCGGCGAGCCTAGCGCTCCTGGCGGCGGCCTCCACCGCCGCCGCTTTCGCGGCGGCGTCCATCTCCTTGCTCGACTTCTTCTTCTTCGTGGAGGCCAGCTTCTTCAGCCTCTCCACGTCCACTCGGGACGCGTCCTCCGCCGCGCCATTAGCGTCGGCCTCACCGTTGGTAGCATCCTGCGACTCCCTCGCCTCCTTGGAGGGCTTCTCCTTCTTCTTCTTCTTCTTCGAGGCCTTGCTCTCCGACGGAGCAGGCTCGCCGGTCGTCTCCGATGATTTCTTATCCTCCACGGCGGCTACGGGATCAATCAAGAACAGAGTACCCGTCCACCATCAGGAATCTGAACCAGAGGGTCCTCCGAAGAAGGATCCCAAGGTTGGTTGAGAGAGTGTACCTTGAGTTTCGGTTTGGCCGGGGACGTTGTTGTCCTCCTTGGTGGATATCCCAAGCTCAGCCAAGACGGCATCCAGTTCAGCGAGCTCCTTCTTCTTCAGCTCCTTCTTCGACAGCTGCCTCTCGGTATCCCGTGAAACCGAGGAAGGCAGAGGTCTTCTGAGCGGTTCAATGGGCTCGAGCTGGACCGTAGGCTCATGGTCGGGTTCTTCTTCAATGTCATCGTCCCCATCATCAAGGCCATCATCTTCACTCTCAGTCTCCTGCGAAAAGACAACAAGCCGATCTGACTCATGGAAGATAATCGTACAGTAACACTGCCACAAGCATCATCGATCGCCATTAAAAAGCTTCACTCCATCTAGATTTATCAGAGGATTTGGAGTGTGACATGCGGCTTGCTCATTTACCCAAAGATAACATCCAGTCTTCAAAATCCGCGCTTCTCCATTGAGAAAACTATGGTCTGAGGATGGGTTCAAAGAAAATCTACCCGCTCGCACCCACGTATCCCTCTCTTCCTCGGGACTGTTTTTGGGTGGGGGGAGAAACAAGGTAATTTATGTTTTCCTATTGGGGCATGCTTTGTTCTTCCAGAGATTACAATGATTTAATGTGTTTCAGAAGAATTCAAAACCTTAACCTAAAGAGAATAATTACCAATGGAGTCACTCAAAATCAAAACAAAATATTGGGCAAAAACAGACTCCCAAGAACATGACCCAACCCGATCTCAAAGGGTTAAAAGTAGGGAACCAAGGAAATGGAAAAGTTTTGAGACAATGGGAGACAATGAAACTTCAACTCCAGGAAAAAAAAAAAAGTATTACTTTGAAATAAAAAACGAAAAAAGTTAGTATTTTGAAACGGCGCCAGCGCTCAATGCAATGCTGTTTGGTGAATCGATCACGAAAGATATCTCCCATGTTTACTGGTCCTGGATAGTTCATATAAAATGCTCCCAAGTGTAGGGATGGAGACAACTAAGTGACTAATTATCACTCTGTATGTATTGTCAACGCCAGCCGGATTTATTTTCAGCGTGAGAATAAGATAACATTCCAAACATAGCTGAGCATATATCATTTCAAAATGAATATAATAGACCGCAAGGGTTCAAAGCAACTGTTTTGAAAATAATCATTAAGGATGATAAGACAATAGAATCTCCTTATTATCAGATCAATTGTACATAATCATGATTTCTAACGCACAAAGAGTATTTTGAAGCATCACCTACCGATGTCTAATGAATATATTAAATTAAAAAAAGAACAATGAGAAAGCCCAAATTAAAGAAACGTTGAGTTTCACAATTTGGAGAGGATTTGCTTCTAAGGCTGGAAGAAAAATATAGACTATCAAATAACATAAGTATAGGGTATAAGACTAAGCTGAAAAAGAAACCGACTATAATGACGGACGCAAAAAGCTTTTTCGACTTATTCAAAATATGTCTAATAGGAAATATGTCTAATAGCTAAGAGACAAAAACTAGAACAAATTTTATTTATATCCTTGATTTTGCCCGACAGGACTGGGTAAAAGGTGTCCTCAATTTTCATTCCTTTGACAAAATTTAGTTACTTGAAAGACAAAATTACACTGGTCAGTGTTGTGACATAATCAACCTCGGTAAAGTGACTTGGTGGAGATGACGGTCAACTACTCCCAGCTATAAAATGAACAAGAAACACAACTAAGATAGTCAAACTGTTGTGAAAAGGATCAGTGTAGTTGTGCAATTGACATAAAAAAGGTGAAGATAGAGGGCAAGAATTTAAAAATCGTAAAATAAACGTGAAACAAAGAAAAAATACTAAGCTCTTAACCTGGATTTTACCTGGTTTAGCAATTAGTTTTCATTTTTAAGGATGAATGAATGACAGACAATACAATTCAAGTACAGTATCGAGCATCCATCATCCGACAACTGTAACAACCTATGTTCTCCGCCGATATACAGCAGCAATCAAGGAGGCCCCGAACATCAGGGGCATACTACAATTGGAAAATCACCACGTTTGAAAACACGAGTTTTTGCAATATCAGTAGTGTAAATTAAATGTACTTGATAAGATACTATCCAACGCTCTAGAAAAAAATATATATATATACTATGCAATCGTTCCCAACATCAGCAATTAACTACAAGACAATACCACGAGCTAATAAGAAAAATACAACAATGAGATAACATAAAACGTCACAACTAGAGCAGTGACAATAGTGTCAAGCATATATTTAAAGCACATAGAATATCGCGAATATGTACAGTAATTAAAATTTATGTAATACAACAGCTATCGAAAAGAATTAGAGTATAAAGTGAAGTTTGCGATGAAAGGAGGGATTAAAAAAGGTAAAACAAAAGAAGTGTCCCAGTTCGATTTAGAAACAGTACTATGTCGCTGACAGCAAGAAATTTAACATAGGCCAAGGCAATGCCACAAGACGAAACAATGATGGAACTAAGAAGCGTTCAACAATCAGCACCCTCATTGTTTGCTATCCAATGATGGAGAAAATGGTTACGACAGTGGAGAGATTAGTCAGACCTCCTCAATCGCAGCGGCGCTTTCCTTGTCTTGCTGCTCTGAGGACTCCCAGACAGGCTGAGGCGGGGCAGTGGTTGCAAAGTAGTCGTCGTCGTCGTCATCATCGACATCAGCCCACGATTTTGCGTTTAACGGTGTTGGGGACCAAAAAACCTGGGGTTGCGGCTCCTTGATCTCCGCCTTAGCTGAAGCTTTGCTCTTCGAACTGTCAGACTTTTTTTTCTTCCTGAGGCTCTCGAGGGCAGCAAACACGTTGTTGTTGCTGATTCCCGATGAGACATCTTCCTTCTTTCTCCCACCTCCGACCATTTCCGTCGATTTACACGACCCACAAAACTCGAGGGGATCTGTCTAGGGAGAAATCGCCCGGGAAAAGAAAAACCAATGCCAGACGAATCCCCCACCAATCACAAGTCCAACGACTACCCTCTCCGATAGATCCAAAGACCACAAAAGAATGATTAACAATCAAATTTCCTATTCGACGATTCGACGAATTAAAAAATCACGAAATGTTATCCAATCCCCTGGAGAACTTCCAGACTCTGAGATAGAGAGAGAGAGAGAAGCAGGGAGCGCTTCGCTCTCTTGAACCTAGAAGTTTCGACAACTAGACCTTGAGAAATAGCCTATGTGACGATGCTGAGAATTCCAAGAGCCGATGGATTTAAGAAACTCCGAGCCCCGCGTGAAAATTGGGAGGTAACAACGGAAGGCCACTCGAACACGAAAAATCGAGGTAGGCGGAGCAGTTGATGGCTCCTCTTCTGCCGGGAACAGATCGGCACGCCACCAGCTTCCTACGCGGAGCCGTGTCGATTTAGGGTTTCCGTAATACCCAGAAAGAAGGCTTGAGTGGAGAAAAGCGACAAGAGAGACCTGAGAAGAAGCGAGGAAACAGATGGACGGAAGGGTCGGGTAGGGGATGGAGAGGTCATTAGGGCACGCGGTGGACATGATAATAGAATCTTCCCAGAGAGTACAACGTACCGGCTCAAAGACTCTCCATCCACGTGTTCCCTGGCTGAGACCCCCAACCGACTCCAGGACCGTCAGATCTGCCGTAGGTCTTGGGGCCCGCCAGATCCAACGGTCCTTGCAGCGATACGAATGGGCGGTGGACGGAAAGCGGAGCTTTTCCCCTTGTCATATTTTTTTTATTTACATCCCACATGCGCCATTAGATGGGGGTATTTTAGATATTTCAAGTACGTATATTACGATTAAAATATATTACTTGAACCACATATTGGGCTTTGAGGCCCAAGCCCGAAAAACTTTAATGGGCCGGTTTTACTCCTGTATTTCAGGCTCAAGTCCAAAATTTTATAAATGAGCCGACCCACGTGCTTACCGGCCCATTAAAAATGCCCTTTCTTCATCAGAGATAGGAAAGAGCGGGGGAGAGAGAGAGAGAGAGGGGGGGGGGGATTTGGGAAGAATTTTAATTTTTAATCGGTATGGGACAAACTTGAGGGCGAAAATTTTGGAGCCTGGATAAAAATTTAAGCAACGAAAAATAGGAAAATCATCAGAAAAACAACCATGACGAAGAAGATCTTGATCATGAGCCACCTGTTGGAGGATATCTTCATCAGGTGCTTCAGCAGGGCGCCCTGGGCTCCCTCCACATTGCCCAGAGTGTCGTCCATGTTCTCGTCGATCCTATTGATCCGGGGACGAGGAGAGCAGCATTCAGCGGAGTGCCCAGTGGAGGGTGGGGTGGGAGGTAGAAGATTGACCATGGAAGGATAGAGGAGGAGGGAACCTGATGGCAAGCTCTCCTTGTTGAGAAACCATGGTTGCCAGCTGCGTGAAGATGCTGCCCAGCTCCTGAATTGTTGACTCGACGCTGTGAAGGGTTTGAGCTCTGCTCTGCATGTAGCTATCTTGAAGAACTGGAGAGATCAGCTGCTGCTGCTGCGGCTGCTGGCGATGCCGGGGGACTAATGGCTGAGATGATGAAGAGGGCAGTTCAGTCGTCTGCCTCCTGAGAACACAAACGGGAGGAATTATGCTATCAGCCATGAAACCCATGCTCCGGATCTTCCATCATAGTGAAGTTCTGATGAGAACGGTTTCCATTACCAGGGAAATAACTGAGAAGATGTCGAGGTTGCCCCGTTTGACGATGAGTCAGATGCGGCAGAGTTTGAGGAAGATCTTGAAGCAAGAGGCCGTTGTCGGATGAAAGGATTGGAAGAATCTTTGCTAGAGAACATCTGTTTTCTGTTCTCATGAACCTTTAATCTCTGTGGTAATGTGATGAAGAACACGATTCAAAGCCTAAATTAATCAAATAACCACAGAAAATCAACATGTGGCAGCCACTTGACCCTACTTCGGTTCTCAGGGTCAGGACTTCTTTGAACTCTCTTGTAGCACTCATCAGGCGGTTCTTCAGATTATCAACCACCGTCGTTGAATGGGTAGTTGTGTCGCCGGAAATGCTTCCGCTGTCGTTCTGTGAATTGTAGAGCAGCTGAAGATCTACCACCGCAGAATTCAGAGAGGTTATGTCCTGCTTAATTATAGCTGTCAGTTCTTGAATCTCCACGGCTGGATCATCGTAAGTGCCAGTCCTCTTAGCCACTGGATTTTTAGAAAATACACCAAAACGAGGAAGAATTAACAAAATGATAATAGGTTAAGCAAAATTGCCAGACGACCCGGAAAATGATATAATTTATGGACCAAAGTTGGCATTGATACCCTCACCTCAGAAATTACACGAAAAATTTGGAATCATCGGCTATGCTGTATTTTTGAAACATTAGGATGAAGCAAAAAATAAACTTCTTCGAGGAGCAGGTTATAAATGGTTTTTAAAATAAGAATGCATTCCTCAGGGAAGAAGACTTCTCCGGAATGAAGAGAAAGCGCCCAGTGGAATATCACAAGAACCCTAAAAAAGTGGAGCCGGCACTGTCAAGAAAAGCTTCCCCATTCAGAGCATATGATCTCCTTGCGACTTGTGATGTATCCATGGAAATGGGAAAAGATATTGTAGCATTGTATGTTAAAGAGGATTCTTAGAATAAAAATCATCCAACTGAGACGGATCTTCCTCGCCGAGTGATGTTCCTAGCTTTCTGGTAATTCATGACAGAATTGAAATCAACCACATGCAAAGAAATGGAGAAATTTTTGGCAGATATCATGATGTGATTCGAGAACTCTTCACATGCACAAGTTTCTAAGAGGCGCGTCATTCCCTGGCAGAGCCCAAAAAGTTTTGATTCTGAGAGAAGAGACGATGATCGATTAGTTTTCTTACACATGGCGAGCTTTGAGAGCTTCTCGGAGGTCTGGTGGATCCCGAGCCCAATTTTCGAAGCTCTCTTGTTGAATTCTGACTGAATGGAGACGGTAGATTGAAGCGAATCCAACTTTGTCCCACTGCTGCTCGACCCATTGGACTGTTGTGGGATAAACTTCTTCAGCCTCTCAGAAATTGCCAGGAACTCTTGCGTCCGTTCCCGAAACGAACACTCCGACTTGACAGGCATCGTGTGAAATGCTGGACTGAATCTCCTCTTCCACCTGGACTCCCGACTAAAATGATATCAGCGGTGCAAGTTTCCAGATGCCGCTCGGAGCAGAAGAAGAACAATCCGTCTGTGAGTATAACGCACCTTCTTCAAGAATACGTCCAGATTGGGATCACGACGCTGGGATCGAACAATCCAATTCTGGAATTCCCATTAGGCGCCGCAGACTTTGCATTGGGTCGACGAAGATGCTGCCTACCGACAGGTGAACGAGCCCGATCCCTGCCAGAATCCAAATAGAAAAAGCAAAAACTGGGGATTGGGGGACTCGCTTCCTGCAGAGGATGACAACGACCTCCGCCCGATTTTCTCAGGGGCGGAGTTCAGCGAACCGGGGAAGAGAAGGATGGGAGGAGACGCCTGAGTTGGGAGACGTCGGGAATTGGCAGACCCGATGGCGTCTGCCCCGATGCCAGAATTCGCGGCTGGAACATTGGAGGGGGAGAAAGGTAGGGGAAGAGAGGAGCGGAAGGGGAGAGGCGATGACAGGGGACGTCGATGGACTGGAGAATGACAAAAAGGCCCCCCATCAAGCCATTAAATACAGGTAGACCATAGGAATCTTCTCTTCTCTCGTGCTGCTAACCGGACCATCTCCAGCATTCAGGAACAGCACCGCAAGTCAAATGAGCTCCTAAAAAAATATAATTTTGTTATATCCTCGTAATAAAGTTTACTTAATTACAGTAGCATCGCACATGCGAGGGATGAAGTCCAACGATGCCATCCTCCTGGCGCGTCCTCTCAGGCGACGGCGACGGCGATTCGGCGGTTTCCACCTTCCACGTCGTAATGCCAGGGAAGAGATCAACAGAGGGATCGTAGGGCAATTGACAAGGGATGGCGAACCACCCCCCGAACTCGGCGACAGCGATATTCGACGGGTCATTCCTCCTCTCGCTGTGCGATTGGGAGTCGACAGAGACACTGCGCTTTCATCCGCTGTCTCGCCCGCCGACATCAACTCCACCGGACAGATCCTCCGAGGGCGATGTCGAGCTCCCGAAGGTTCGCCGCCGCTGCTCAGTCCGGCAGGGCGTGGGCGTGCCAGCAGAGGAGCATTGCGATGCAGCGGCCGAGGATGTAGAACCTGGTCTTCTGCTGCTTCACCATGGAAAGGCACCTTCTCCCGAGGCCGGACCAGCGGTACGGCCTGCTCCGATGGCGGCGACGGCGGTCGACGGCGGCGGAGGTGCGGGAGGACGAGGACGCTGGCGTGGGCATCGAAGTGCTGCAGTGGCGGGGGTGAGGAGTTGCTTCTTCTTGTTTCTGCGCGGCGGCTGCGGGTAGTTCGACTGAGGAGTGGCCATGGGCATGGATCTATATATGGAAGCTTCGACCGCGGGAAGCTCAGGACCAAGTGATCATAACGCGGCGTCCAAGCAGACGACGCCTCTGACAAGAGTGTGATCAAATTGCCCCTACATTATCTGCGCCTTTATTATTCTCCATAAATCATGAACGGGCCAGGAGAGCCCAAGTCCTAGCCCGGCCCGATTTAGGGGCCTGCCCCCTATTTACAATAGTTCCCTTCAAGATCCCAATTTCGGGCTCTTTTCAAAAAGCCCGGGCCCGCCCGGCTGGTGGACTTGTCTCGACCTTTTCTCGTGTAAAGTTCAGGGCCATTGTGGTCATCTCTGCTGATTCCCCGGTCAATTCGGTTACGAACTCCTCGTGACAATAATGGGTCACGAGGCGGAGAGAGGAAGGGAGGCGCACGCGCTGACGGCCGACATCCGCGGCCACGCGTCGATCTTATCGTCTTGCGGGCAACCTGTCATCCCCACGGTCCCCCCTCCGCCAATTGCTTGCGTGGCGTATCTCGGCCCCACCTTATCCCTCTTCCCGACGGCTGGATTCGCTTTCCCAGTTTCGTGCGAGCAAAACTATGCTTACCTGGGAAATTCCAAGTACAGATGGACGTCTCACATCGCAAAGTATGAAAGGAAGATCGCGGCGGGGATTCCAGAAGCCACGTCACCCGGTACTCTAGAAGCGAAGACCGGGAAAGGCAATTGCAGAAAATGAAAAAAAGTGGGTCCCATTGTCCCGGCTGCTGACACTCTGCGTTTGGGCCGTCATGGCAGGCGGGCCCCCCAAAAGGAGCCGTCCACGTTGGGGTCCCGGAAAGAGAAAGACAGGGGCGTTGGAGATAGAGAGGGGTAGATCGTAACTGAACAAATGGTAATTAAAAATATAGAAGACTAATATTTAATTTTAGAAGAATATTATCAGAAGAGCCAAGTCTACGACACAAAGGAAATTGTGCGTTGCGGGCTTCCAAAGAACGGGCCCGGCCCGGGAGGGGATATTTTAAATGGCTCGCGTCCTCCTCTGGCCCCGGAAGAGAAGCTCGGAAAGTTCGACCTGCGGGACCGCGCCTGGGATCATGACGAGAGCCACGTCGGGTCGTCGAGAACGATAAAAGGTGGAGTATTTTGAAGAATAAAGTAAAATCCAAATAGTGGAAATCTGAGACTGGAATTTAATTTTCTCATTAATTTCTCGATGACGTGTCGCTATTCTGCCGCTCACACAAGGTTTCGAGAAAGGAAAATTGATTCCCCGCGGTCTGGGCGAGGACGAGCTCGCGAGATCCGCAGGGCTCGCCGCCGCAGCAGGAGCGGCAGCCGGAGGCTTGGACTTGGCCGCCGGCAGCGGGATCTGCGGCGGGTCTGGGCAGAACTTCCCCCAGACTGGTAGTCGGGAGCAATCGCCGTCGTGGGAAGGAGAAGATGGCGCCGGCGAATCAAATCTCCAAGCAGCAGGCCGTCTGGACATGGCCGGTGAGGCCTTCCGGGGGTGCCGGCTCTGGAACCCACCGTAGGAGGTCCTTCTCCCCCGCCAGATCCATCTCCAGTGTGTAGACCGAGGGGGGGCTGCCATGGCGGGAGGACCCGATGAGGGTAAGCTTGTTCTCGGCCCCCGGCCAGGCCACCAGGCAGGGGGCCACCGCCTTCTTGCCGTCGCCTGAATCGGGGAGCTCCGCCACCTTCCGCCAAGCCATCGCCGCCTCTTCCAGTACCTCCACATGGCCCTCCGCGCTCCTGAACAGCCGCCCGTCGGCGCCGGCGACGACGCCCTTGGAGGATGCGCCGGCGTCCCCCAATGTATCCTCCTCCACCGGACCCCACCGCCCGGTGGCCGGGTCGAAGGCCTCGGAGGTCTTCCCGAAGTGGCCCTGCATCTCGGTGGAGTACCCGCCGACGACGAGGAAGGTGCCGCGGCGGAACACGCCGCCGCACTCGTCGCGTTCCGTGGACATGTCCGGCAGGGGAGACCATGAGTCGGTCTCCACGTTGTAGGCTATGGCGGATCTGAGGGAGTTCTTCTCCTCGTCGTGGCCGCCGGCGATGTACACCGTGCGGCCGTCGGGGGCCGCCGCGCAGGCGAAGAAGGAGCGGCGGGGCCCCGGCATGCGGGACCCCACCCGCCACACGCCGGAAGCGAGGTCGTAGATGAAGACCTTGTTGGTGGCGATCCAGGTCGCCGGATCCCACCCGCCGAGCACCACCAGTTCCCTGCCCGCGGCGGTGATCTGGGAGAAGATGGGGAGGCGGCTGCCGGGGACGGGGGGGAGGGAGCTCCACTTGCCGGAGTGGGGCTCGAAGAGGACGAGCGAGTAGGATATGGCCTTGCCGGAGCCGGCACAGGGGCGGTCGATCTGGGCCAGCGCCACCAGGGGGCGGGACAGGCCGCTGGCCTGGCGGAGTCGGTAGAAGGAACGGGAATGGACCTCCTGCCGCCAGAGCTTGCAGACATCCCGGGCCGCCGGGAGGACCTCCCGGGGGACCCTCACTAAGCATTCTCGGGAGATCTCGTCCGGCAGCCCCGGGATCAGCGGCGCTTCCATTGAACCAGCTGTCGCCATGATTGTGAAATATAGAGAGAAATACAGAAAGAGAGAGGGAGAGAAGCAGATGGGTCTTTCTTGCCAGTTAGTGGTGAAGCGCAGAAGAGGAACTGCGCCCTTTTTATACAGTTCCCCCTCAGAAGGAAAGGAGGCACCTTCGTCACCTGTCTCTAGAAGCTTGCCTAAAGAAAGAGAGAGAAAGAGAGTCTGTGTGTGGATGTTGCGTTTCTGTGAGCGGCGCCTAGAGGAGGAAGGCCCACACGAAAGCTTAGATCGTCCGCGAGAGAAGACGACGTATAAAAACTCCCATTGAAGCGACCGGCGTCGGCCGCCGGGGCCGAGTAGCGGCGGCGGGCCCGCCACCACATATCGCCGGCGACTTTTCCCGATCGTCCCAAGCTGGCGCCTCCCCGTTGATTGAACTGATTTTGTCGTTTAGCTCCTGCCCCGTATTTCTCCCGACCCCGTGACCTGGCGCAGATTCGGCTTGATGCCCAGAACGTCGTCCTGAAATTATGAAAAACCCCGTGAGATTCAGTTCTCGTGTTCAAATACCGCGGGCCCCCGTCTTCTTCAGTGTGGGCTGGATTCGGGTAACCGTTATTTCTCAACCCTCCGATTTTTAATGAGTTTGACTTCCGCCTCGCAGAGGGGTTGACAAAGAGAGGAAGAGAGTTCCACATACGCTGCACCCATCGGTTCTGACCTCCTGGAACCCTTGAAAGAAGAGGCTGCGGCTGAACTCGTTCGTCTGCCTCCTTGCCCCCGTTGACCAGGCTTGCTTCGATTTTGTGGTGGTGAAACCTTGACCCCCAGCGATGACAGAGGTCAACGACCTCTCTCTCTCTTTTATCTCTTTGAAAGAAGAGTTGTGTCGGCCAGATTTAACCACGTCGCAGGAATTGGGTGAGCCGTTACGTCGGATGACAGCTTCGAGACGGTCCTATTCGTCCTCGGAGTCAACGCGTCGTGCTTCTGCCTCTTTCCTGCGTGCAAATGGGCACTCGGATGTGAAGAATGTGAAGAAAAATATGCTGTAGAGGATGGAAACGCAACCGTCTCCGTCCTTCCCTCGCGTCGCCGCACGACGGCCCGGCGTCTCCGACGACTTTTTATCCACTCCAGGCCGCCGCCGGGGAGGATAGTTCCGTTGACTTAGAGCGTCTGGTAAAAAGGGGGCCGGAGTGGGCGAGCCGAACCTCCGCCTCCTCTCCTTCGTTCCTTCCTTCCCAGGCAACGTCAAATATTTAGCCGGCTGACTTCCAGCTGGCGCGTCGGCAACGGCACGGAACCTTTTCGGGAGGAGCTGCCATGGAAGAACGGGGGCGAGGGATCGTGACGGTCAAAATTGTCCCCCACAGCTTCCTTCTTCCACGAGACATCGAGACCCGCCGACGCCGTCGATCATATGGTCAACGCCGGTCTCTGCCCATAAGAACAGTCTCGTCTGGCGTAACACTCCAGGACACAAGTTCTGTGATCTCCGAAGGCGGCGTCCACGGTGTCGAGGGCGTTGACCAGAGGTTTTTACGTCATACGGTAAACTCCCAGCTTTTTAGGGGTTTTCAGAGCTCGAATATTACGGCGAGGTATTATAAGGGAAGTCAATTTTCAGCTCTCCCGAACGGAACGAACGCCGAATTAAACTATACCACTATGATCACGAGTTATACTCATCCTAGTTCTGATTAATAGCTTAGTTAAATATTACCTTATTGTGGTCAACGGCATTACTAGCTAACATGAATACGCCAAGAACGGTAATCCGAGAGCATTATTAGTCCTTTTTTTGTCGTTAAAGTCGGTGACTTGTTTATGTGGGCAGCCGGACCCATCGAATTCAAAATCTGCTTCCGAAAATAATCGGCGGACGCCTCTGCATGGACTATGAAAAGTCGTCGGCCTTCTTCCCTTCTCATCTCTTCCTCCGACTAAGTCAGCGGTGACCAATGGAGAGAGCGGGAGAAAAGCAACACCGGTGATGTTTTTTCTTGTGTACACGGACAAAATGGGACTCAGATCTGTAGGCAGCAGCTGGCCTGAACATGGCCGGAGTACTCCTCCGGGACCGCCGCCCGCCTCCACGGGCGGGGCCGCTTCCCGTCCGCCGGCTCCAGGATGTAGCAGGAGTGGGGCCCGCCGTGGCAGGCCGACCCCACCACCATCAGCCGCCCCCCGGGCAACGCCACCGCGCACGGTGCCAGGCGGACTTCCTCCGGGAGCTCCGCCACCGGAAGCCACGTCGACTCGCCGGAGTCGCCGCGGAACTCGACGTGAGAGCTGGTGCACCGGTAGAGGCCCTCATCTCCGGCCACGCAGGTACGCGGGCAGAGCCCCGTCGCCAGCGCGTCTTCGTCGACGGGGCTCCACCGCCGTGCCGCCGCGTCGAAGGCCTCCGAGCACTTCCCGAACTGGCCCTGCGTCTCGGTGGAGTACCCGCCAACGACGAGGAAGGCGCCTCCCCGGAAAACCCCCTTGCACTCGTCCCGCTCCTTGGCCATGTCCGGTAGGGGAGCCCACTCGTCCCTCTCCACGTCGTAAGCCATGGCCGACCTCAGGGCGTTCTTCTCGTCGTCGTGGCCGCCGGCGACGTACACCGTCCGATGCGAGTCGGAGGCGCAGGCGAAGAAGGATCGGCGCGGGCCCGGCATGGGCGCCCCGCGCCGCCAGTCACCGGAGAGGAAGTCGTAGATGAATACCTCGTCGGAGGCTGCCCACGAGGAGGGGTCCCAGCCGCCAAGGACAACCAGGGTCCGTCCGGTGGCGGCGACTTGGCAGAAGAGGGGCAGGCCGTGGGGGAGATGGTCGGGGGCAGTGGGGAGATCGTCCCAGGTGCCGGAGTCGGGCTCAAAGAGCGCCATCCGGTAGGGCATGGTGCCGGAGGAGGCGCGGTGGTGGTTCTTGTGAAGGGGGCTCACGCTGGCCGCAGATGACGGCTGCTCGGACTGGGCGAGGGCGACGAGGGTCCGGTTCAGCCCACCGCCCCGACGGACCTCGTGGAAGGCCGGGGACTCGAGCTCCTCCCGCCACTGCTTGCAGACGGAGCGCACTGCGCGGAATCCAGGGTAAGGCACGCGGGTGAGGCACGCGCGGGCCACATCGTCGGGCAAGCCCGGTATCAGCGGATCCATGAGACTCTTCAATCAGTAGGATCGATGGAGGATGTAGAAGAACACTCTCTCTCTCACTCTCTCTGTCTTTCGCCGTTTACAGGTCCGGCGAGGAGATGGGGCTCCGGATTATATCGACAACGGTGGGGTCCTGCTCTGCAGCGGTTTTCCCTCACAACCACGGCGGACCGTGGCCGTCCATCAACGGATGTTCCTTACGCGCCAGCTGGTTCTCTCTCTCTCTTTATCCAGGAAAAAAAATCCTGATCTTCTATGGTTTCTTTTCCGCGTTTTGCGTCTGGCCCAAGCAAGAGAGGCAGGCTTTTCACGTCGGCAGACCCACAGGGAGAAGCTTCCAATCGGCGATGGCACGCGGTTCTAGAAAAACACCTCAGCGGGAGAGGAAAACCAGGAGCAAGGCGGCCCCACACCAGTGAGACGACGTGGCCCACGTGCCCCGTTCTAGAACTCACGCGTCAGCCGTTGGAGATGTTTTTCATCTTAAGAATCTCACGCCGTCGATAAGCTCCCCGCGCGGCCGGCCCCTTGACAGCGACAGCGGAGAAGACAACCCGATTGCAGCGACTCCGTAGGCTGACTCATTCAGTCCTCATCCACATCCCCCTCTCTCCCCCCCCATATCCACTCGGTCACTCGCCGTTAGGCGTCGTCTCGAGGAAGGGAACGTCTCCGCGACAAGTCGTCAAGCGGGGCCCACACTCTTCCTCCATTAAACTCATCGAGGGATCGTTTTACCATGCCAAATAATTATTTTAATCCCGACCGACAAGTCGTCTGCCTTTTCCTTGTAAAAGGGAATAATCCGGAAAGTATATCCGCCCGTTCCGGATAGGATATTATATCCACTTACAATAAAGGACGTTTTTATGGAGAAATTATCTACATGTCCCCCGCCCTTCTACTCTGCAGATGACGGAGACCGCAGGAGCGACTTTGGTCGGTTCCACTTCTATTGATGAGACTCGTAGCTGCAAGTCACAGTCTCTCTCCCTCTCCCTGACTGTCCACGTGCTCCCACGTCATCCCGGCGATCGGAGTCGCAGGATCGCGCGGGGGATGGGCCAAGAGTTGGTCTTTCCAGTGGGCTGACCCGTGGAGCACCTGGACTTTAGGTGGTCTTGATCAATCAAGTAAGCCCTTGTGGGACTTACACTGCGTCGAATAGGTATCGGGGAAGATGAAGTATTTACAGTCTCGGTTTACAGAGGATGTGGAGGGGGGTAGAAATGGGGGGAGATATCTATCTCGGTCACTTGCTACATCTCCAAGCAGCAGCCCGCCTGCACCTGGCCGGAGTACTCCTCCGGCACGGGCACCGGCGTCCACTGGTAGCACTTCCCGGCGGCGGCCTCCTCCAGTATGTACCCGACGTGAGACCCGCCGTGGGTGACCGACCCCAGGACCAGAATCCGGCTCCTGCAGGCGACGACGTGCGGCATTACGCGGGCATCCTTGGGAAGCTCCGCCACCTGCCGCCAGGCCCCCTTCTCCTCCGCCATCACCGCCACGTTCCCCACCCGGCACCTGTACATCCTGCCGTCGCCCCACGCCACGCAGGTCCTCGGGCAGGCGGCGGCCTCCAGCGCGTCCTCCTCCACCGGTCCCCACCGCCACGCCGCCACGTCGAACGCCTCCGAGCTCTTCCCGAACCGCCCCTGCATCTCCGTGCAGTACCCGCCGACGACGTGGAAGCCCCCTCGCCGGAACACCCCCTTGCACTCGTCCCGCTCTCTGGCCATGTCTGGCAGGGGGAGCCACTCGTCCCTCTCCACGTCGTACGCCATCGCCGACCTCAGCGCGTTCTTGTCCTCGTCGTGCCCGCCGGCCACGAACACCATTCGGCGCCCGTCGGACGCGCAGGCAAAGAAGGACCGCCGCGGGCCCGGCATGGGCGCCCCGCGCCGCCAGGACCCGGCCATGAAATCGTACACATGGACCTCGTCGGTGGCGACCCAGCTCTCCGGATTCCATCCTCCGATGACCACCAGGCGCCTGCCGGCGGCAGCCAGTTGGCAGAACAGAGGGAGCCCCCGCGGGAGGCCGGGGACGGGGGGGAGGGTGCTCCAGGTTCCCGATTCCGGTTCCAAGAGGGCAACCCGATAGGACGGCCCAAAGGCGCACTTCTTGGCTGGGTCGCCGGCGACGGCGACGGCCTCCGACTGGGAGAGGGCGACCACGGGCTGGGAGATGCCGGAGGTCCTGCGGAGGCGGTGGAAGTCCGCCGACTCGATCTCCTCGCGCCAGAGCTTGCAGACGCAGCGGGCGGCGTGCCACCACCCGTAGGGCAGCCGGATGAGGCACTCCCTCGCTATCTCATCCGGCAGGCCAGGTATTAGCTGCTCCATGCCACCAGAACAAACTTGATCGATCCTGAAGAAGAAGAAGAAGAAGCAGACGACTGAACTGTGCCAATCAGATGGATTTGGGTAGGATTGCTGAGATTCGCCGACGGGTCAGGGCGAGGTGGTGGTATTTATAGCCTTTCCAAATCACGGAGAATATCTATCCATCTCAGATTTCTGTACTATTTTTCTCCCTCACTTGGTGGCCATCGAGCTCGATTCTCCCCCCTGGGGAGAGGAAATCGATAACGCCGACTCGGTGGGGCCGTCTCCACGGTGGCGCCACCGAGCCGCCGTGTCCCTCGTCCAGTCCAATCCTGTTTGACGGGTTGCAGGAGGCGCGCGCGGAAGAAGATAAGGCGAGGGGCCGGCTGTAGGGAGAGAGGTGCGGGGTTTCTCTGGTCTTCTTCTAGAAGAAAACGAACGCGGAAAAAGGCCGTGAATCCATCTCATCCTGGGTTTTCTGTCTGGTTATTATTATTACCGCCGCCTCGGAGCCTGAAGGGCCGAGATAAGGACGACGCGTCTGAACGAGGCATCGCATTCGCTGTGGACGGATTCGGAGAATCGGTGGATGAGTCGGTCGGCCGATCCGAGCTAATGGGCGCAGACCCACAGGATATTTAAATATTAATTTACTAAGGGGGTGAATTGTCATCTCGTCTCTCTGCGTACACTTTTTTCGTGACCGTTAGCGGAAGTTAGTACCCGGCCGGCCCAACTTCCCTTGGACTCTACGTGGCCCATTTTTTTCTCTCCGCTGATATATTTTAAAAAAAAACTCGGCGTCTAAAATAGGATATTTTATTTTATTTTATTTTACTTTATCTCGACCAGTAATACCCACACGTGTCCTACGAGATCAATTCCGCTCTCACGTGCCGAGCTGTTGAGTCTCAGCTGGGGCGTAAATCCATTATTTTATTAATTATAGGATAATTTAGTGCGCGGCGTAAATAGACGACGACTCCCCGCAGTTCCATTAATGCGAGAAAAAAAGGAGCATTAAATAATTTAAGCTCGACGGACAGATCGGGTAGGAATTTATTTCAACGGTCAAAGTTAGTTTATTCGAAAATAAATAGAAAATAATTATTAAAAAAATTAGAAAACTGGAAAAAAACATTTTCTCAAATTAATAAATAAAAAATTCAAATTATATTTTAAATTCGAGGTGTGCGATAAATGTCGGCTTCACAAGAACGGCTTTCTCAATATCGGATTATTCCTGGTTCGGGTCTATCCGTTGGGTCGGAACCTGGCGACAGGGGAATCCGGGAAGATAGAGTAATTCATTGAAAACATGAGGATATTTTGGTCATTTACGTCGCCGAAAATTTTGGCGCAGAGAGAGAGAGAGAGATGTGTTGATGGTTTTGAGTGACGAACGAACGGAACAGGGAAATTTGAGGAGAAGAGAGTCGAGGTTTCCTTGGCGGGTCCTGTGCTCTCCTTCTCCTCCCGCTCCGGTCGGAGGATTGGCAGACTCCGGAAGAACGATTCTGCGAGGCCTAGCCTGAGGACTGCTCTCTCTCTCTCTCTCGGCAGCAGAGGTCAGGTTTCTGTTGCTCGCCGGGAGTCTGCTCTTTTACGCCGCGGGAGAAGCTCTATCGGAAATTCGTTCGGTTATTTTGTTTTGCTTTGCGCATTGTTATTTCTGTCAGTTATCTCGGAGAATAATTTCCTTGTTGGTTTTCAGTTTGCTTTCCCTTTGTTTTCCCGGGGCGACGCAGTCGGGGCAAATAGGAACTCAAGCGGGACTGTGAAAAGATACCATCGCGCGGTGCTCCATCTTGTTTTATTTTCTTCACGCTTAAGGGGGTTGGCTTCCGAGAACTCGTATATCGTCTTTTCTTTTCGTTGAGTCACCCTCGTCGAACACGTAAATTTACGTTCAGCGCAGAGGTTACAGTTTCACGGTCGGCCTTTTGAATCAGTCTTCGTATATTGTTTGATTTTTTTTTTTTTGACTTTTTTTTTTCAGGTTCCAAATGCTTGGTTACGTTTTTTCTTCCTGATGCGTAAGGGGGCTAAGACTCAGTTCTTGGTCCCCTGTAAATGAATGTAATTTGGGTGAAAAGGCAAAAACACTTGGAGAAAAATGAATATTGAACATCTCCGGAGCTCCTTGCTGGGTTTGCCACTCCCATCGTCTGCTAGTCGAAGAAGGAAAAGTGACAATGATTTTGTGGTCGGATGGGCTGCTACAGGAGCGTCCTATGGTTGCTCTTTTTTGTCGCAGAATCATGGGAGACAACGATGGTCTACGTTTTCTGGATCAAATTCGAGTAGGGCCAATTTCCTCTTGAGGAATTTATCACCACGCAGCTGGTCAAAAATAAACTGCACGCGGGAACCGTTCTCAAGAAGCAAGGCTTTAATAAGATCATTCGAACCTCTGTGGAAGGAGGGGCTACTGTTAATAAGATGCTCTGTATTTGTCGCTATACTTTCAGCTGCTGGCTTGTTGCTGTGGTATGGTCATTTTAAAACCAGGATTTTTGTTGAAACCCATCTTCTACCATCTGTTTGTTCTATCTTAACTGAATACCTTCAAAGGGAGATCAACTTTGGTAAGGTCAGGAGCATCTCCCCTCTTGGGATCACCTTGGAATCTTGCTCTATTGGTCCACATAATAGGGAGTTTTCTTGTGGGGAGCTACCGACCGTGAAAATTAGAGTTCGTCCTTTTGCAAGTTTGAGAAGAGGGAAGATTGTGATTGATGCTGTTTTGTCTGAGCCAAATGTGCTTGTTGCACAGAAGGAGGATTCTTCATGGTTGGGTATTCCACCAACTTCTGAACATAGCTCAAGGAGGCACTCATCTGAAGAAGGGATTGATTTTCGTACGAAGTCCAGGAGAGTGGTTAGGGAAAAAGCCGCTTCCAAGTGGGCTAAAGAAAGGGCTCAGTTAGCCTGGGAAGTTGCAAAGTTAGGGTATGTTATTCCTCAGAGGTATTCAAAATCGGCAACTGGTGATAGCCTCAAGGATGGTGTAAGCAATTCTTTCAGGTCGTTTAACCCTGGTTCATTCTTCTGTGCGGATGAGCATTTACACTGGGGGGATCATCATTCCATGGACATGGGGATTGAGTATGGCTTGAAACATGAAGAGCTCGAGAAGTCATTCGGTATAAAGAAGTCATCAAAGTCATGGTTTAGGTTTTGGCCTCGAACGGACTCAGGTCATTTAAGACACAAGTTTAAGAGAGAAGCCCAGAAGAAAGTTTTTACTGAAATTCTCTTTTCTTCTAAGCTGAGAATTCTTAAGCGCAGTGCAACTGCTGCACTTGCATATTTCAACCGTCTCAGTGGCGATGAGATCAATGAGTCTGTTGCTTTGTCTGTACAAGGTGCTTCATATATCGACTGTGGTGAAATTGGAGTCCACACATATGGTATAGAGGAGGAGAAGGAGGAGGAGACGGGTACAACTAAAAACTCTGTTGTGGACAGGATAAATGGGAATGCAGGGCTTGAAAATCAATTGGACTCCCCTTTTGTCGAAGGCGAAAAGTGCCTTGTGAAGGTGCCCGTTGAAATAGTTGCCAATCATGTTGGAGGTGAAGAAAATTCAAAGTCGGTAACTTTTGAAGGCAGCCTTGAAGGTGTGAGTCATTTAGGAGGAGAGAGCAATGCTGATGATCGCCAGAGGAGTAGCAGAGTAGATGTCTTCGGTTCAATATATCTTCCACTTCTAATGGTCGCAAAGAAACTCAACATATTGAATGTGCCAGGTAATGACTCATCATTTGGCGATAATATGATGAAAATTAGTAAGCCTGTGAATGGGAAAGTCAGTGCGTCCTCAACACAAGAAAGGGATCTCAAGGAGGTTCATGTAGAGGCAGGAGGCAGCTCTGCACTGACCTGTAAGCTTATAGAAGACTCACCAGTTGAAGACTTTGGAGACTTTTTCAGTGGGATAAAAATTTTTAAACCTCGTGGATCAAAATCTGGGGACTTATTTCCACTCTGGCCCTCGAACTTCAATTCTAAATTCCTTTCATTCTCTAGATCCATAGAGGAATTTCTGTCCGATTATTTTTCTGGTCAACTTCAGAAATTGAGGGAATCTATGAGTTTAAAAAGTGATGATATTGCGGCTGAACTTGCTGGAGGAGTTGATGTAATGTGCACCGAGGGCATTGAGAGGATGCTCCCAGTCACACTGGATTCTCTATATTTCAGCGGGGGGAGTCTCATGCTACTAGGATTTGGTGACCAGGAACCCAGGTGCGTCAGTATTCTCTAATAACTGCTTGAGCCATTTTAAGAAGAGAAAATATCTATGTGTGAATTCCATAGTAGTCCTGTACAGAAGGGACGAGTGACCACCTGGCTATGCTTCATTTTTATAGATTGTTCACAGTTATCTCTGGTGATGGAGTTAGAATGACTCTATCTTTGTCACGCATTTTCTTCTTCTGAAAAAATAGTGATATGATGTCATATCGTTTTTAATTAAAGAACATACACACGTGTCGGTGTTAAATAGGGGTCTGGAAACCCACAGTCCTCCTAAAGGAATGGTTGTCTTGCGGACTGCTCTAGACAATTCCAGTCCCTGAGTAACATCTTGGATACAATCTACTGACGTTTTTGTTGTTTGCTGCTTTGGGGGAGAGGCAGCTAGTCTAGCTGTGTTTTAAAATAGTTTGAGTGATTTAAGTGAATTCGGTAAATTATCTGAGAAAGTAATTTCATTTCTATTTGTTTCTTGTCATGGGGTGCATTTCAATTAACTTTTGGTTGGTTTGGTTTCCCTGTTGTCCTTTTTCATCCACTCAGCCACTGTAAAGGTCCTTAACTGCTTTCTGCTAGCATTTTAATATTGATAATCTAGATAGTTAATATTCATATACCTGCATTCTGTCCTCTGCAAATGCATCACCTAGTCTTTACCACATTAATACTTGTTCTACTTCCTCCTATCGCTGTTTCATTCATTGTCTTCTACTCATCACCATACCATGTTTCCCGGTGGTGGCCGTTGCAGTGAATCAGTTTTTGTAGCCAGAATTTCAACAATCATTGTTTCTAAGGGTAGCATGTGAAGCTAGTGATGCTATTCCAATTGGATATCTGCACTTCACCTACTCAACATCTACATCTCAGTTTCATAATTGTTGAAAACCTCCTGATCAAGGTTGTAGAAACGGATCATATCTTCTGAAAGTGTCTACCTAAAAAAAGAAAAAACCTTTTTTTTTAAGTGGCCGTGCTCCATTATATTATAGGAGAGTATGCAAGAATGGCCTATAGTTTAAAGGTCTAAACTCTATCCTCTAAAATGACATGACCTCGGAGAGAACACCATACGACCTCCCTAGGAAAGGAGACCATCTTGGACAGCTCCAAGGACCAGCACCCAACTTTCAATGGAGTTTGCAACTTTACTTTGGCAGTTCGTGGAGATTCTTTGACACCTTTCACCGAGTCGTGTGATTCTTCTTATATGGATCCCAGAGATCAATGAATGGATAGTTTGCAAAACACAGAATCAGTGCAAAATTGGGAGTGTCTATTCCACCTAGTGATAAGCTCCTTATTTATATCCAATTGGTGCCATCTAAGGCATGCCATTGCACCAAGTCCTTTCTATTTTGTTTCTCTTTCCTCAGATACACATCTTTGGTCAGGATTGCCAAGAAGATATTTTCGATCTCATATAATGGCGTAGCGTGTGGAAACGTTTTAGTGTCTCTGCATCTAGCTAATCTTACGGTAGGTAGTCTGAGTGCATCATCAAATGGCTGTCTCCTATGTTTGAGCAAGAAAAAATTGGTAAGCATTGTTCATGAAGTTTAGAGGGAAGAAGTGTGAAGATTGTGTTCGCCCATTTAAGATTCTGAGGTTACACACAGCAAATCATGACGTTTCAGTCTTGAATGTAACTATGATTGAATGAAGAGTACAAGTAAGATGCTTTTTAGGTATCAGTAGTTGTTCGTGCTAAACAGCTGTTCAATTTACATTATCTATATTATTTTGGTGTCTGCCATGATATAATTTTTTGATGTTCTATTTATTATATGATTTTTTAGTTTTATTTTCAATGCCATTTTGAGACATTGAAATTACTACTCCATTAAGAGTCATTTCCAAATCATTGCTTGACTTTAGATCCTCTCTACTGACGATACTTGGTATCAATTAAACGGACAGTGGGTGGGCTCCATCGGGTGGAACTCGGATAAGAGTCCTCAGAATGGGGAGGGTGTTAGAACCTGTTAGGTGAAAAGTGATTGAACTTGGTTAAGTGGATGGTGAGCTAGAATCTTCTAAGTGAAAACAAAATGGGTTAGATTCTTTGAAGAAGAAACTGGAATTGTGGCCAATGAAAACATTGATCTATTTTCTTGGATACGAAGTCCGATATCCCCGTGGACCATCATCTTAGTGACAATCCTATTTATGAAGGACCGTCTCCCCTAATAAAGGTTGTCTTCTCTCCAATATTTGTGCTCCTGTACACAAACAAGGCAAACTCACATTCATTCACATTTCATTCGGCTTATATTTTTGATCTCAAATATTTATGCTCTTATTTTTATCAGTTTCATTTTTTTTCTATTTTACTTAATCTTATGTTATATTTATTATAGCCATTTTTTATGCAACCTGAGGTTATGAATTTGGTCCTGAACCTTCAAGGTTTCTGATAAAGTCATTAACTAAGATGTTTAATTTAGCTGTTTCCTTCCCATCTTCATTAATCTCGGAGACTATTCTGCATGACCATACAGTTGCAAAAGTGAGTGACTAATAGATGGTGATAAGAACAGTACACTGTCTTTCTAACATTTTATTGTTTTTCACTTATAGAGAGATGGAGTATGTTGATGGACATGTGAAATTTCAAAATCACTATAGTCGCGTGCATGTGCAATTAAGTGGCAACTGTATGGAGTGGAGATCTGATCTTATGTCTAAAGATGGGGGCCTACTGTCCGCTGACATCTTTGTTGATACCATTGAACAGAACTGGCACGCCAATTTAAAGATAGCGAACCTTTTTGCACCGGTAATACATGATTTCTCCTATTTTCTTTGATAGTACATTTTTTCTTCTTAGCGCTTATCAGGTTTAAAATTATGTTATCTAGTTCAGGGATTTCAAGTGCTAAAAATATATTTTTTTGGTTTATGCAGCTTTTTGAGAGGATTCTTGATATTCCAGTGAAGTGGACCAGAGGGAGAGCAACAGGGGAGGTGCTTTTCCGTTATTTTACTTCTGGGTTGAACCAAATTTTGCTGATGTAGTTTTTTACTCTTTACTATCTACGGTTTTAGGAGCTCATAGATCCTGAACTGATGTCTCTGATATTTTATGCTTCAATCATCACTAAGCTGAATGCTAAAACCTTCACGAAAGCATAATGCTTTGGTGCAAAAGTCATGACTTGTTAATGTTAGGGTACGTGTGGCTGGATTGAATCCTGATCGTTTGTGTTGCCATTGCCCACTACACTCCAACCTAGGACCTGATCCAGTCCTGAAGGCTTATCCCCAACCAAAGAAAGCTTGGCTTCATCTTATCCTTGATACTTGCATGAGAGTTCGAATGTTAGAGGTATTTTTATGCAATTTGCCTCTCTGACTTGGTTAGCATAAAACTCTTTACATATTATGCAATGTCTTCTACGTGAATGAGTTATTTTTCTCACAGTTCATTAGCTGCCAAATAGCATTGCCTTTTCGCCTCCTTGAAGCCTTAGTGCATGGAAATAGGCTATGCTGACGCCCTTCCTTTATCTATCACTATTTTGATTCTCATTTTAGCATCACTCTTCCCTGAAGAGGATGTCATTCTTCTCGGAGTCCGAATTCTGTCCATGCAGTTTTTCCTCTCTATCTAGTTGTCCTGCTTGCCTATAGGTCCTGTACTAGTGTTTGAATTAGGGAAGCCATGGCAAACTACTGCGCACTTTGTCAACTCATTTCTTGACGAGGTCGTGATGCACTTCTGCCCCCAAGCAAAATTTTCCCTCTGAAAGCTCCTTTGTGCCTACCGCTAGTTCTCAGTAAATAGGTTTTAGCCAGATTGGTTGATAACCACGATGTTTCTGCCATAGAAGATAAGGTTTTCAGATCCCACAGAGACATAGAATTAACTCGCTACCTTCTCATAAGGAAGTAGTTTTCCCATCTTGTTGAGACCAAGAATATGTCTACGTCAGACAAAGAAGGGTTATCTCTGAATTTTGATTTTCCGAAAATGGAACTGAAGGTGCAAACATTAATAGGAGCTATCTCGTTAATGAATCTGAGGAGCCCTACCTTTAGCCATCTGATGTCTCTGCAGTGGTAACAGCTACATTGAAGTTTCATCTGTTGTCTCTGCAGTGGTAACAACTACCGTGAAGTTTTCTCTCACACACCAAGAGTGGTCTTATTTATCGTACTGTTCCGAAAACCTCTTACAAAGGTTTTTTTCTTTGCTTTTCTATGTAACTGTCCATAAGCGCCAGAGAAATCTCACACAGTCGTTTAACAGGTTCTTTAAATTTATTGATGTAGAGAATCCTCTCATTCATCAAAACTCGATCATCTCTTTAATCAAATACTTGTTCCTGAGGGCCATAATCCAGTTTGACGCAGTTACCCCTAGTAACACCCTTTAGTCACCTTGATGCCTCGAATATCCTTCATGATTGTCTCACCTCTCTCCTCACATTTAGTCTCCCACAAACGTAGAATGTTGACCGTACACCTTCTCATTAACGCTGCCAACATTCTTTTATTCTCCAACCCTCATACTCGCTTAACATTTTATGGGGCTGTACATAGTGTAGTAGAGATTTCAGCTTCCCTCTCGCTACTCACGGAAGCAATTTTAAGAAGCGCAAGCCTCTTCTTAAAGTCTGAGGTATCCTTTTTGTTTCATTTTATTGTGTCATTTACCAAAAGACATGTACCGTCCACCTTAAAAAAAGAAAAGAAAAAAACGAAAATAGATGTTTGGATTTAGGCTGGAGCTAGATACAATGTTAAGATGAGATCATTTCCTCTTCACTGCTTTTAAAATTTCTTTTACATTCCTCCGTTTCTAGAGCTCTAAAACTTGAAAATTCTGTTTCAGCCAGACCTGTCGTATGGTTTCTCAGGCGGTCCAATTGAGACTGTCAAAAATTTCCAGTTAGAGTTCCCGATTGATTCGAGTGCCTTTATCCTATTTTAGTATAGTATCACTTTTCATGTATTCTTCGACTTCATCACGTTACTCCTGGAGAACTTGGCATGCCATATAGTTTTACAGAGTAGCATAATTTTTTGATGCAAGTGTTTTCCAGCTTTAGCAGGATCTTTTGTAGGTTCATCTTTTTAATGTGACTTCACAACTTTATGTATTTTTATCTTCCCCAAAGGAATTATTTTTCACGATTTATAACACTAAATATTCTCTCATTTTATTTCCTTAGCTTTCACTTAAGTGTTGCCTCCATTTCATTTTAGGTTCATATATGCATGTCGCGAGGGGAAACTTTTCCTGACCTTCATGGGCAACTTGACGTGAATGAATTGGCTTTTCAGATTGTGGATGCCCCGTCATCTTTTACGGTATGCTTGTCAATTTTTAATCCAGCGATTTACGGTTTTCATAATCTTCATCAAGGTCATCTCATAAAATAAATGTTTATAACTCCCTAAATGGTTGGTGGAAGAAATATAAGATAAGGAGCTGAAAATCAACTGAGAGGCTACGTTGTAAATGCAAAATATGGATACAGACGAGATGCAGAGGCCTCGATGCGAGTTATAGGATCAGAGATCAGTGGATTTTTCTTGGAGAGAGAATTTGTGATAGTGCATTGAAAAAAAAAATTCTGATGAAAATGGACTGGAACTAGCTGGAGTTGACGAACGTTGGTTGGACCGTTCTAGTTTGTGGGATTAAACCTGAGATTGGCATATGATATCAATTTTACACGTAACTCGCTGGAACTGAACGTCAATGCGGGTTGTTGTTTCATATCAGAATTTGACACAATACTTCAAGATAGGAAAAAAAAGGTTTGATTTATTTAGATTAATGGTTGCTCTGCAATGTAATCAAGGCTTGTCGCTTATATCAAATCTAGCTTCATGTGCTAAATATGTGACTGTTTCAGACCTGGTTCAGATTGTAGAGCTGGCGCTGCTTTTCTTTTGAGAAAAAGCATTCCATAGATTTGGGATCACGAGCTTGTTCAACCCGAATTGATGGGTTTATTTCAGTTGTTCAGATTCTGTTGAATAGTATGATCAACCAGGCTATTGTTTATGACGATAAGAGAATTACAACCTTGACTTATTCTAATGGTGTGCCAGGAACACCTTTAAAATGTAACACGAATATCTTGGAATTCATATTCTGCATTAGTGGGCCTGTGTTAGATCATCTGATCCTATTTAATCAAGTCACTGAATTGGTGGGTCTGTTTGCCAGTATTGTACAAATTGCATTGCTTTTGTGGAGAAATTTTGTGGTTCAGTGCATCATTCTCTGTGTGGTTCCGGATTGTTTGAGTGAATATTTCTCTTATTGTTCAGTTGTTCACATAATTTATTACGGAATTCTGTCCTAAATCCCTTCTCAAATTAATTTCTCTGATCCTTCTTGGAATTAGAGGTCGTCTTATCAAGGTATAGTCTTCGTCTCGATCAACATTTCTTTGAAATTATTTTTGCGTTCCAAGTTTCTTGTGCGCTCAATGCGGAAGGATTCAAATGATGTGTATTGATGTCAAGCTTAGAACGCATTTTCGTTAAACGTATCCGTGTTCCACGGTGTAGCGTTTGTTACTTTCTGTCTTGAGTTAGCTCCTGAATTTTATAGATGGATTTCAGTCAAATAATGATGAATATGTCAAGAGGGAAGACAAAAAGCACCGACTGGATCTACTAGAATGTTCCTTTGATGTAAACCATGAGATTTAACTTGGTTTTGTACAGGGCGTAAACGCAAGTTTGTGTTTTCGAGGTCAAAGGATATTTTTGCACAATGCTAGTGGCATGTTTGGTCACGCTCCTTTGGAAGCTTCAGGGGACTTTGGCATTAACCCTGACGATGGGGAGTTTCATCTGATGTGCCAGGTAATTATTTGTCATTACCAAATACATCTGCATTGAATATTTTCTCCTTCCTTGTTTATTTCTAGTTGTTTTAAATTGAAATGGCCTCAAGCCAAAATTGACGAAGTTAGATTCATAATAGTTTATGTTTATTTGAACAGGTAGGTTAATGCTTTTGTGTAATTGTGGATATTCTTATAATCTAAATTTTTATTTTGATGCTGGGTATTGATGAAAATTTTGATGACCTTCTCCCATATTTAATTGACATTGACGTTTCCTGGCCTGAATGCTTCCAGTGGTAGGCCTTTGAGTGTTAGTCAATTTCTGAACTTAAGACTGTTGTTGATATTTGGTCCACACTGGAATTTGTCGGGGTGGACCTCTAGGGTTTGTTTATTTTTAATTTAGGGACTAAATTTTGTCTGGTTTCCCTCGGTGATTTCTCAGTGATACAAATCATACAAGGATAAAGAGTCGCGAAAAATGGCACTAGAACATTGGTTACCTTGGCCACAAAAACGGAAACTACCTAGGTTAAGGAAACTGACCAACTTGGAAACTAACAAACTAGGAAACTAACGAACTAGGAAACTAATAAACTAGGAAACTGACAAACTAGGAAGCTAACCAACAGAAAATAATTCCTAATTACATATTTTTCCCACGCTCAATAGTTATTTCCAGTGGGTTACTTCCAGTGGTGATCCCTGTGATCCTAAAGAAGTTTTTGATGTAGGAAATCCACAGAAATTAAATCTCACTTAGTCCGTCAAATACCGTATGTTGGTGGGAAAGGCCCTCAGTGGCCTTGGAGGCCAAAAGTGGGCTACTCGTTGGGGCCCTCTTTGGACCCCTATGAGGCAAAGATCAACAGTGGTTGTCCCATTTATGTTCCTTTTTTTAACCCTCATTGTGGTCATTGCTACATCACTAGTGGTTTTGGAGGCCATCGGTATGTGCCCTCTTAGGGAAAATCTGGCAACTCTTTTATTCCCTCCACTAATGCAACCACCACAAATATCAAGATGCAAGATCCACCCACAGATTTCTCGAAATGCCCTTTGTTCCCAAGAGGATTTGTTATCCATCTGACAATACTGGTGGATACTTAAATGTCCTGGACCATGCCAATCCGTCTGCATCAACTTTTCAACACTTTCTTCTGAGAAATTCCTGTTTGTCGAGGGGATTACCGTCTTTCCAGTATTAAAAGAAGGGAATTGTTTTTGTAATCGAGCTGTGCTGCATGTGGTTCAACTCTGTGTTGGATGTTGATACTTGCATGCTTAAAAGTAGTGACTTGGAGCAGTTATTGGTTATGGAACTAGCAGCCTTTTGTATCACTGTACTTGGTGAAAAATATCATAGTTGTATGGTATGCATGTGGACTTCCCACAATCTTCAACTTTTTGATTTAATTCGTCGTCATATTTTCTTGAATATTTATTCAGTAAGCATATGTACATGCATCTATATATATTTGCAGGCTGATAGTGTACACACCCATTAAATGTACTCAGTATGACATTTCCGTGAAAGCAATGTCATGGAGAATAATAGCTGAACTTTTTCTTTTCAGGTCCCGTGTGTTGAGGTGAACGACCTTATGAAGACTTTGAAGATGAAACCTTTATTATTTTCGGTAGGTTTGGACTACTACAAGATGTGTCATTTGAAGTTTTTTCCTGACCATGCCAATCCGGAGGTTTTGGAAGATGATACACTTGGGAAGTCATTGACATATTTCAAGATGGCATTGATTTGCTTATTATATGTTCTGATTCGATGTTTCATAATTGAGATTGATCTATTGAGGACCATCTCAGTTATTCTATTCGATAATTGTGAATGATTTATGAATATCTGAAGTTGATTGTGTGATGGAAAGTCATTCGGATTTCAATGGTTTAGCCCATATCCAGAATTTGAGTTATTCCTCTAATCAGAATTGCTGTGGCAGTTTTCACTTGCTTCTTCATCTTGTGATAAATAATTTCAGTATTCCTTGTTTGGCCTAAGTTTCTGGTTTTGATGAATGAAGTTTTCCATATTTACTTCCATTCATTGCAGTTGGCTGGCTCGGTAACTGCTGTATTCAACTGTCAAGGACCCTTGGATGCCCCTGTTTTCGTGGGAAGTGGAATGATCTCAAGAAAAACTCCTTATTCAGATGCTAATTTCCTGCTGTCTCCTGCATCTGAGGCTGTGCAGAAGAATAAAGAGGCTGGTGCTGTTGCAGCATTTGATCGTATTCCATTTTCTCATGTATCTGCCAATTTCACTTTTAATACTGATAACTGTGTAAGTTTCAATGCCGGATTATGTAGTTGTGTCAGCCAATAAACCCGTCTTTCAAACTCAATTCTATCTGCTTATTTTTGTGGCAAGTTAGTATTGAACAAAATGTCTAAACACAGGTTGCTGACCTGTATGGCATCAGAGGGATGCTTTTGGATGGTGGAGAAATTCGAGGAGCCGGAAATGCTTGGATTTGCCCAGAGGTATAACAAACTCAAATCCTTTATATTTTTTGTGCATGACATGGGTTCATAGTTTAAATTTTGTCCTCCCGATAAAGGAGTAGTTTCCCTGTTTTTTCTGGTCTTTATTTCATTGATTATGAAATATAAAATTAATTAACCTCTGAAGGTCGTCTGTTGAACTAGACATTGATCTCGACTATCTCAGAAACCGTACCATACCCTTGTATATGTGTCACTAAAAAGTTCTGTTATCACATGATGATTGAGATTGTCAACATTTTATTGGTTTTCAGTGGGTATGGTTGGTTTGTCATGAGTTTTTTTACAAAGATTAAACTAATCAACCTTGTATATGAGTTTTTTGATTAATTTTAATGGCATTATAAGGGCAGTAAAACTATGGTTGTCGAAGCACATTTGTTGCATTATTTTAAGCAAGGTTGACTTACTCAATGTTGTAATTCGACTCGGAAGTTAGAATTTGGAATTATATTTTATTGATTGTTGGAATGAATCGGACCCATTTGGGTTCAACTTTCTCGAGCCTACACAGATCAAGGGTTCAAATACTGTCATCTTTCAAGATTTTGATCTTCAGTATGGATTATGACCGCGCAACTCCAATAGTTGAAGGTTTTGGAAATAATCTATCGTTTATAACGAAGGTACAATTAAGGGATTACGAACCTGGAATTGCGTGTCTCAAGTTTTAGAAAAGATCCAGTTGGATCCGTGGCCTACGGAGTCAACAGGTCCGGAGGTCCAGTGGCTCAATTGAATCAATGGGCTGAATCATATCTACCGATTCAGCTAATCTAGATAAAATATCTTATTTGCTTAAAAAACTACAAAATACAATAGATGGTTTTGTGCAGTTTATAATTGTTATTTAACTAAAGGAGATATGTTAGAAGAAAGTTTATTTGGTTTCTGTGAAAAGAATACCATTTTACTCGACACCCATGGTTGCCCCCTTCCATTTTGTTTAGCTTTTGGGCTTCGCAGGTTTTATGGTAATAGGATAGTGGTGGCAGAGTTGATATCAACAATGAAGATGAAGGAGAAAATAAAGAACAAAAAGAAAGGAGTGGTGGCAGGAAAATTAAGTATCTTCTATATTTCTTGTATTCCTCCAAGGCCCTCTCATCTGATTTTCCCAGTTACGAGAAACCTACGTAACATTTGGAAGGCCTCGGGTTGTGTTAGGGACGTCCAATTCTAGGTCTATTCTTATACATAATCAGACAATCTAGGATTTTTTCCGTCTTTTAAATTTTTTTCGGGCTAATTTCAAGTGCTGATCAACATGAAATTATTTATGCGGTGAATGTTTAATCTATGCTCTACTACAGAATAAGTTCTGAGACCAACAACAAGCAAGTTTTATCGTTAAAGTTGATTACCTTAAATAAATGAATCAATTTGCTAGTTTAGAGGATCTTATCAATCGATTGCATTTATGTGCAAGATTTAGAAATGATCACGGTTGCTTTCGACTTCTTGCATATGAACGTTTATGCTACCATTGACAGAGCTAACCTAACCTTATCAATCCGTCAACTCAGCTCAGAATTGATGCTTGACATTTCCAATTCAAGGGTATGTTATGGGTTTTTCAGTCGCAATGTATATATATATATATCTATATATATATATATATATATAGATATATATGTACATATGTAACAAACAAACTGTTCTTCGCTCACAGGAGTCTACCAATTTCAAGGTGACTTGCTATATTGATTCATGAAACCAGCAACGATATTGGTCTCCACCTCTCATCCTTCCCCTTCCTGTTTTGTAGTTGATGGGTTCGAGTGTGATGCCTAAAATTTATGCAGTACTGGAATATTGTAGAAGGCCCTCTGACTCCAGTTAACACTTATGAGACCTTTCAGTCGATAGAAGACCAATAGAATGACTAATAACCTCTGTTATTCGCAAAATGATCCCTTAAAGACCTAAATAAGTCCCGAAGCAAACTTCATACTTTTAAGCTAGACTTCTTTTACTGGACTCATATCTTGTTTGAATGATCCTCATTAAAGGTAGCTTGTTTTTAAGCCATATTTTCGTCAGCTAAGACTTGTAGAAGGATGCTCGTACTTAATATTATAAATAAAAGTTTCATTAAAATCCGTATAATTTTTTTTGTCCAAGGTATTTGTATTGTTTGACATTGCAAGAAAGGCATTCTTTACCGCGTCTCAGTTTTCTTTAGGCTGATTGAAAGTGACTCTTTGGGTAGCGTCGAAATTAGTAATAAAAAATAATATTTTTATTGAATGACTACGTCATCTTTTGCTTCCTCTGTCAGTGAACCGCATCGACTCTTGTTTATTTTTCTGTGAATGTAATGTGTAACAGGGGGAGGAGGATGATTCAGCTATGGATGTAAATCTATCAGGTACCATACTCTTTGATAAGGTTATCCACCGCTATCTGCAAAGCACTCATCCGATTCCCTTGAAGATTGGGGAACTACATGGGGAGACAAAACTATCAGGATCCCTTTTGAAACCGTAAGCCTGCCATTTTTGTGTTGAAGTTTAGTGCTCAGTATCCATACATTTTCCCATTGTTTGACCTAACTACTTGCCTTTGGTATATGGAATATGCCTGCTCAATGGTGTTCAGGAGGTTTGATATAAAGTGGTCTGCACCAAAAGCTGAAGATTCATTCTCTGATGCACGTGGGAATATCATCATTGCCCATGAGCATATCATAGTCAATTCCTCTTCAGTTGCATTCGACTTGTACATGAAAGTTCAAACTGTTTATGCTAATGATCATTTGCTGGAAAGAGGCCATCTAGACTTTAGGAGAGCCATGCCTTTGATTGTTGAGGGAGTTGATTTGGATTTGAAGATGCGCGGGTTTGAATTTGCCAATTTCATTTCTTCCATTTCCTTTGATTCTCCAAGACCTATGCACTTGAAAGCAACTGGGAGAGTTAAATTTCAGGGACGGGTTACAAAACCCGATAATCTTTCTGATGAAAAGGAATTTGTCGCTGAGAGTAATGCAGCAGATGGTCAGGTTGATCTAGAAAAAGCTAGAAGTCTAGTTGGTGAAATATCTATGTCAGGAATAAAGCTGAACCAGCTTATGCTGGCTCCACAATTGGCTGGATCTTTAAGTGTTTCGAGTGCAAGAATGAAGGTAGATTCTCTCTCTCCTCACTCTTTTGACTCTGAAATGTCGTTTAAGGTGATTCGCAGACCCATGGAATTATTCAATCTTGTGCAGTACTTTAAGCTTTCTTATTTCCATGTACATGTAATAGCAAGATTTAGTGTTTTCTTTTGATACATTTGCAGCTAGATGCTGTGGGTAGGCCTGATGAGAATTTCTCAATATTGGTTCTTGGACCTTTTTGGCCTGGGGCAGGAGAGATCTCTCAAAGCAGAAAATTGATTTCTCTTTCACTCCAGAAAGGTCAATTGAGAGCTAGCATTTGCTATCAACCAGAACATTCTGCTAACATAGAGGTAATCTTTCTCTTTCTTTCTGTGTTTCTTTCTCAATCCTCCCTCGGCTCTATTATATACTTAAATGTGCACATTTGCCACAATGTATAGCATGTTTAAACTTTGAATTCTTCTATTTGAATCAATTTTCAAGTTGCACTGAAATGCCCTTTTTACTGCTTGGTAAAAGGTGAGACATTTACCACTTGATGAGTTGGAGCTTGCGTCTCTACGTGGAACAATCCAAAGGGTATGTTTCTGTTTTAGTGTAATTCTTAAACACTGCTTTTCTTGGATAATTTGGCTAAGAGTTTATTTCAAGAAATTTTGTCATATACTACAGAAAATAGTCGAACTTTAAGACGTCTTTTTATCTGGAACCACACATTTGCTGCATGGTGTGATTTTCTAGTTCAAATGGTCAGGATCTCATGCAATTAGAATAGTAATCACAACATAGTACCGACTGTTGGAAAACTCACTGGTCTTTGGGCAGATGCGTTTCCTTCCTTGATGATATGTTTGTTTTAATATGAAAAAAATGCCCTCCGGAGTGAGAAAATTTTAATAGAATGACTGGTCTTCAATGACGTGTCAAATTTGGATTGACGGTGAACCTTTTTCCTTTGCCTTCTAGTTTTTTTTTGAAGTATTGAATTGCACCATTCGGCAATACACCATTTAGCTCTGATCAATCGACCTAAGAATATTCCTGCATGGACATATCGTTTCCTGAACTGCAGGCAGAGCTCCAGCTTAATTTTCAGAAAAGAAGAGGGCATGGACTTCTTTCAGTACTTCAACCAAAATTCAGTGGTGTACTTGGGGAGGCTCTTGATGTGGCTGCACGATGGAGTGGGGATGTTGTCAGTACTTTCTTGCTTTATCTTATTATGTATTTTAAATTACATACTAAATTTTTTGGTATTGTGTTGTCAGTAGAATGTTGGTGTCAGACCATCTTAAACTTCATTATGATCGCCCTAATATTGAGTCTAATGAATAGAGTTCTGACTCATCTATCGCGGTGACTATATTGCTTGGTTATCAGATCACTGTTGAGAAAGCTGTACTAGAGCAAGCTATTAGTCACTATGAACTTCAAGGAGAATATGTATTACCTGGAACACGTGATCGCTATCCTGCTAGCAAGGAAAGTGGCAGGATTTTTGGGAAAGCAGTCGCTGGGCAGCTTAGTAGTATAATTTCTTCAATGGGAAGATGGCGTTTAAGACTTGAAGTTCCTCATGCTGAGGTTGCTGAGATGCTTCCCCTCGCAAGGCTTCTTTCTCGGAGTACTGATCCTGCTGTTCGGTCAAGATCAAAGGTTATCTCCTGTAGTTTTGCTTACTTTAGCTTTGGATTGCATGTACAGATAATTTCATTTAGGACGTGCTCCTGTTATCAAGTCAAGATGGAAAATATTGTTCCAGACGTTGTATGTCTCACATACAGTTCAACAGTTGGTGTTATGGCCCCCTTCTATTCAGAATAAGAGAAAAATCGAATCCTTCTTGCTCAAATTATGCTCCCTTGTAAGTTCCGTTTATTTTGAGTTTAAAAGTGTCCACCCCAGAAAAGGGTTGCTCAGTGTGAAAAATGATCCTTGTTATCGCTGATATGGGATTAAACTCAACTAGTCTAGCTATGTTCTTGTGCGTACTACATGTTAATGGAAGTCAGTTGCCCCTGAAAAGTTGATTTGCCTTGTTCTTCTTAATAACAAGTCAAGGCTGCAGAAGACCTCTTAGTGTGTCCATCTGTACGGAAATGGTCAATTTTGACTTGATCCGGTTTTTTTTTAAGAAAGTAATTAAAGAACTCTGTATTTATAATTTGTCAGTTGGTCCATGTTTATCTGAAACCTGTGTTATCTGTTTGGATAAAAGAACATGTTTGGATATGCCATGTCACTAAATATATGCTTTTTTTACTCTTCACTTGTCGGCGATGCAGGATTACTTCATCCAAAACTTGCAACAAATGGGATTTTCTGCTGAAAGCCTTCATGATTTGTTTGAGGTAGTTGGTTAAATAGTTTTACATCCTATTAAATGTTTTCAGCAGAAAACAAAAATGTTTAACTTTGAAAGCTTCTGCTCAACAACAAACCTTTTACTGATATTGTTCTTTATTTTGTAGTCATTGACATTTTCCTTGCAGAGCTCTCTTGACGTTTATTTTGTGTTTAGGAAATTCAAAACGATTATTGGTCCGATGATGTTACTTCTGAGGATATTCCTGGATTAGCCGAACTTCAAGGTTCCTGGCATGGATCACTTGATGCCAGTGGTGGCGGCAATGGTGATACGATGGTGAGTTAGTATATACATTTTTTTTAGGAAGTATTTTTTTCTTGAAGTGGTATTGGTTATTTTTTCTTGAAACAGTCTTTTGGGCAACCTTACAAAACTCATCGTGATACAATGGGAAGAGATACATGTCTGTGATAATCAGTGCAGTCTTTTGTTTCGATGAAAGGCTAAAATACAGAATGTAAACAATTGATTACATGCTACGTTAACATGCCGTAGTTTATGTCAGAGTTTATGATAAACCAATGTTAAATATCTTGACGGCCATCCTCCAATGTACATATATTTTAAATCTACGGTACCAAATTGTTGGCAAGTGTCTACATTTTGCTGAATTCACGTATAAAAGTGTCTAGATCTCAGTAAATCTCTGTTAGGATCCCAGAACTGGGGCCAAAACAAGGGTAGAGACAGGGGGAAACACTTGAAAGAGATAAGGGAAGGATCGTAACTGAGATAGGAAAAGGAAAAGAACAGAAGGGGGTTTCTGGAGGAAACCCTAGAATAATTTGGGCACGAGTTCGAGAGCGCCCCCACTCTCCCACTAACTTCTTCCAAAAGTACCTCACAGAGAGGACTCCTAAGGCTCCTTATACCCATACTCCTTAATGACCCCTTGGTTCAGCTTCCCTTGACCCACCTACATCTCAACCTTGACTCTCCAGACTTAAGTAACCCGAACAGTGGTCCTATTATTGGGCCCAACACTTCCGGACCTAACAGTCTCCCTCATGGACCTCGTCGTTATTTTGGTTGTTCAAGTTCTGTAACTCAAATTATAAAGCCTGGGCGCCGCTCTATCGTCATTGGTTACCTTTATGTGTTTTTTGCTATTGGATTGTTGATGTCCATTTCCCTCCTGTTATCTGGCCAGTTGGTGCCCCTCCCTTCTCCACCATTTCCTACATTCTCCCATCATGCTTCAAATATTCTCCTAAACTATGCACTAGTATATTGATAAGTTTACCTGCAGTGTTTTTTCCTTTGCTTCATTCTCTGCTCTCCATTTCAACATTATCCTGATGACATAGTTGTCCACATTTTGATGATCTTTACCTCAGACACTAATTTCCCTTGATCTGATTCTCCTACTGTAGCACGTGGTGTGATTATGATCCTTTGCACTCTTCTTGACACCCCTTTCAAACACTGCCAGCCTCATAAAATGGATAATAGTAACCTTTCATATTTTCATCCCTTGGACGTTCATTGGGCACGAGCTTTATTTTTTCATTATCGATAGGTGGACTAACATAGTCCACCTTGTAAATGGCAACAGTGTGGTCTTGTTTCCCCCTTGGCATTATACTTCTTGACAGCAGTAGGCATTATACTACAAGAAATTAAAATTTAAAATTTGAAGATGGCTTATCTTATTATTAATGGTCTGTGAAAATATTAGATTCTATTTTAAATTGACAAAAAAGATGGAACTTGATCCGCCCTTGAAAGTTTGAAAGAATAAAAAGCGAAAAAAGGCCATCTATAAAAGGACCTGAATTAAAAATAAAATAAAATAAAGTATTTGAAGACAGCAGCTGATTCTGTGCTGGGCTGCTATGTCAGTTCTCTTCCAGACTAAGAGATGAATATGGTGGAACCATATTTATCCTGGTCAATCCTGGCGCTCAGAAATTTCTTGTCCAAGCGGGAATGGTAATTTTATCTCCGAGCTTATTCAGCATGGATATTTGCCAAAAAAAATAATCCCATTTGGGGCTAGAATGAAAATAGAGAAAAGCACAACTTTGGTTTGGTTTTCAACAATAAAACATTGAGAATAAGAGATTGCTTTCAAGCAGAAAAAAAATATTTGCATTCATCCGGTTAGATATTTGTTGTCACCTGGTCTGCTTGTTAAAAAAATTAATTTAATATATAGATTATTGACGAGGTGTTTCATTTTCTTCATGCTAGTTAACTTATCAATTGCAGTATTATTATACGAGTTTCATATATCTTCCTTAATTTTATTCCCATGGTGTTCATTAACCACTGGACACCTGAACCTGAAAGGAAAAATCTTTCATGTGTCTCCTTTCTCTAAGACTGAAGTGTTGCATTTCAGGCAGAATTCGATTTCCATGGAGAGGATTGGGAGTGGGGAACCTATAAGACCCAGCGAGTCCTTGCAGTGGGCGCATATAGCAACAATGATGGCCTGCGCCTTGAGAAAATTTTCATTCAGAAAGATAATGCCACTCTTCATGCTGACGGAACCTTGCTGGGACCGATAACGAATCTTCATTTTGCTGTTCTGAATTTCCCGATTGGTGTAGTACCTACGGTGCTTCAAATCATAGAAGTGGCTGCCACAGATTCTGTACGATCTTTGTGCCAACTATTGGCACCTATAAAAGGTGTTTTGCACATGGAAGGAGATCTCAGGGGAAGCCTTGGAAAACCAGAATGTGATGTGCAAGTAAGGCTACTTGACGGTGTTGTTGGAGGGATTGATCTTGGGCGAGCTGAAATTGTTGCTTCCCTGACCCCGACAAGTCGTTTTCTTTTCAATGCGAAGTTTGAACCTGTTATCCAAAGTGGTCACGTGCACATCCAGGGAAGTGTGCCTTTGACATATAGCTATATCCAAAATGACGGTGTGGACGAAGATGAGAAAGAAAGTGAAACAGGAAGAGCGTTTTCTAGTTGGATGCAAGATAACGTAAGGGGATTGGTTGATAAAGCTACTGAGAGAAACATTGTGAGAGAGAGAACTGAAGAAGGTTGGGATGTTCAATTAGCAGAAAGTCTCAAAGGTTTGAACTGGAACTTACTAGATGATGGAGAGGTAAGGATTGATGCGGATGTCAAAGATGGGGGCATGATGCTGATAACAGCTTTGTCTCCTCATGCCACTTGGCTTCATGGCTATGCTGATGTTACCCTTCAGGTAGGAACTTAATTGTTTTTTTCTTTTCACGTGTAACATCTCATGGTTGAAATTTAGTACGAATTTCTGAATAATTTACATTTATTTAACTTAGATTTGTTTGACATATCTCCTTCTTTTTAGAATTTCTTTACCACTAAATGAGGATTTCTAAGCTAACTAGGTGTTATCTGGAATGCAATCTATTCTAAATAGGTCAGAGGTACCATTGAGCAACCAGTGCTAGATGGTTCTGCATCATTTCACAGAGCATCTGTCTCTTCACCGGTACTTCCACAGCCTCTTACAAATTTAGGGGGAACAATTCTCATTGAATCAAATAGGCTGTGCATCAGCTCTATGGAAAGCAGAGTAAGCGGAAAAGGGAAGCTGATTGTGAAAGGAAACCTACCTCTCAATGCCAGTGAATCATTTAGCACCGATAGAATTGATTTGAAATGTGAAAAGCTGAAAGTGCAGGCCAAGAATGTCATGAGGTTATCTTCATTTCTGTCTCAGAGTTGCAGTACTTATTTTTTTTCCAGACATCATTTCTCTCAGAATATCTTGTCTTTTTGAGATTACGGATACTCATTCTGAATCCTTAATATCCCTTCTTCATATTTTTCAAATGTGGAAACAGATCATTACTAAAGCTATTCTCTACTTGGGGATCTTTTTTTTGGTGCTTGAACATGTAATATCTGCTTCTACTTTCATGTATTGAATTTCTCAGATACAATTTGTGATTTGCAGTGGCCGAGTTGATTGTCAGATGCAGATAAGTGGGTCCATTTTGCAACCAAATATCTCTGGCAAAATCCAGCTGAGTCATGGGGAGGCATATCTACCTCATGATAAGCGTGATGGTGAGACGTTGAAGAGAGTGGCATCAAAACGATCAGGCTTCCCTGCTGGCGGTTACAGTATACTGACTGCTTCTGGGAACGTTTCACGATTTTTTGGATCAGAATCTGCTTCTTCGTCCAAGAAATTACCTCAGTCCTTAGGTACTAGGGGTCTTTATGATGACACTTATGTCATCAATCTTGCGGGTTGATTTTTCGGTCATTAAAAACTCTGAAATGCCTTGACAGGATGACTTCTGTTTCCTCCAGTTTGTTACATTTTGATTCTTTTACTGTAACCTAGCTTTGCGTAAAAATGAAGTTTCTAAAATTCTGAAATGCATCGATTTTGTCCTTGGATGTGATACGGTTTTTGATTGGAAGTGGCATTCAGGATTGATTGAATATAAAAGTTTGTGCATGGAAGAGATGATTTTTTTAGCGATTAGACCTCCGTATTTTTATAATGCAATTCCTCGATGAAGTTTGGATGTCTTCAAAATTCAATATTTTCAAGACCTTTTTTATGTAATATAGTCTATTCCTGATCTTTATTTCTCCAATATATAGTTGCCAAATAAACAGGTCAGCTGCTCTGGTGACAGAAATAGAACTTAAAAGAAGCCTTCTTTGCTCTCTTCTGTTATTTCTCGTGTTTGAAGTCATTGATACTTTTTCTTTGTATTAAAAAATGTCAAAGATATATTTTCATGGAAAATATACAGTGCATTCTAATATTCTTACCGATCAATTACATGTGATATAATACATGTCTTCCGTCTATTCTCTTACTAGTTTTATTTTTCTTCATAAATGGTTTCAGAAGAGCTCCTCAATTCATGCTAGCCGGGGATATATGTTGTGCAAACTTTCACTGTTGGTATTTAATCTTATTTAGGAACTATCATGATATCTTAATGGGGAATTCAATTTCTTGGTAGGTAAAAAGGTTGAGTCTGAAAAGAGAATCGAGCAAGTGCACACCAACCCAGGAGTTGATGTTCGCCTCACTGACCTCAAGCTACTTCTTGGACCGTACTTGAAGATTGTTTATCCTTTGTTTCTCAACTTTGCTGTCAGTGGTGAAGTGGAGCTTAATGGAATGGCTAATCCGAAGTGGATAAGACCGAAGGGAACTTTGACATTTGAAAATGGAGAAGTTGACCTTGTTGCCACCCAGGTACCTTTCTTGACAGCTTCAAACACTGGGTGATCTTATTCTTTTTCAGTTTATTCATATTGTTTTTTGTATTACAGGTGAGGCTTAAACGCGAGCATCTGAATATCGCTAAGTTTGAGCCTGATCTTGGCCTCGATCCCATTCTAGATTTGGCCTTAGTTGGATCTGAATGGCAATTTAAGGTCCAAAGTCGGGCAAGTAACTGGCAGGACAGTCTGGTAGTGTCCTCTACGCGTTCTGTCGATCAGGATGCCCTCTCACCTACCGAGGTAGAACTCATAATTCTGCATTGTTCTCTATTTTCTCTCACGATCCTTACAGTCTGTCAGCACATCCGTGCATGCACATATGCACAGAAGGACTTGCACACCCACACCGGGTTGGGCCATGGGAGAATCCCTATGCCTGTAGTCTTGTGAATAAACATGTACTTGTACATCAACTTAATAATTGAACGTCCCGCGAGTGAGTCTGCTCTAGCACGTGCCAGAAGCTCACTTCATCCTGCCCAGATTGTGTGTTACAAACCGCTGTACTGGTTGGTTGGCATGCAGGGCATGATCAACTCGGCCTGAGTTGCTTGTTGTGATGATTCCACAGGCCTGCTGGTTGAATCATGATTTCCTATCGTTGTAGCAGCCACTGGGCTCCCTGCTGCTAGAGAGATGATTGTCTGGAAGTGCATACACGAGTGAAAAACCTGTGGACCGCATTTAACAGAGAAAAATTGGACCTTTAGGAAATATTAAATTTGGAAGCATGAGTGGGGAATACAGACCGAATTGTCACAGAAACAATCATGTTGAACCTTTGACTACAAGGATTTGATGCCTATTCTGACCTTCATCTGATATGAAATTGGCTGAGTGTTGTCTCGCTTTACTTTACTTGAATCATTATTTTCTCTCTTTTAACATCTCTTTTCCTAAAATTTAGTTCAAAATCAGATAAGCCGTTTCAGTAGTATTTTTCTTCGTATTGAGAATTTTATGTGGGTTTTTTATTTGGTAGGTTATCATTAAGGTGGGTTTTTGATTGGTGCAGGCTGCAAGAGTCTTTGAGAGTGAATTAGCTGAATCTTTACTTGAAGGTGATGGTCAGCTTGCTTTTGAGAAACTTGCTACTGCAGCCCTGGGGAAATTGATGCCGAGAATAGAAGGGAAGGGGGAGTTTGGTCACGCACGGTGGAGACTTGTATATGCTCCTCAGATCCCAAGCATGCTTTCTGTTGAGCCCACTGCCGACCCTCTCAAATCAATTGCAAATAATATTTCTTTTGGGGCAGAAGTTGAAGTTCAACTTGGGAAACACCTACAGGTATTTACTCGATATTTTACATTCAGCAACATTATTATCATCCCACATTATCGAAGCCTCTCGTTCGTTCATCTTCCAAACATATGCTCAATAATACACCCATGTCTTTAGGTGTAATCTTTAGGATGTGAAGATTCCCGATCAATAGTTGATGGATCATAGTCAGCAATGTATTTTTCCAATATCTTGAGGCACCCGATTTTGCCCATTATATTGTGAATTAATTCATCAGAAGAGAAAATTAGTCCGCTCAAGAACTAGTTAAGAACTAGTTCGCGCTTAGGTTCACAAATTGAACGAGTGGAACTAGTTCTTAAATGGTCAATTCTCCAGCAAAAAACAGGTTCTACGGATGTTCCACTTCTCTATTTTGACATGAGAACCCTGTGATTGCCCACTTCCAGGCTTCGTTCTTGAGACAGATGAAGGATTCAGAGATGGCCATGCAGTGTACGCTGATCTATAAGCTCACAAGCCGCCTGCGGGTCCTTTTCCAGTCCTCTCCATCTCATCGTCTCCTATTCGAATACTCCGCCTCATCGCAGGACTGACTGGCCTGCTGATTCTTGGGACGAAGCTACCAATGGGTTCAGGCACAGAGGTGTGCCGTGTATTGTGGAAGCCTGATATTTTCCCTACCGCTGTAAATTGTAAATTATCATTGTATATAGGATTAATGGCAGCATTCCTCATTCTTTGGGTCTTTGAGAAAAAAAGACGGACTTCTCTCCGAGCTATGCAGCATGTAAATCCATCTGTCATGGACCTTATTAACTTGAAAATAATGCACTCCTAGTTGCTGTCTTCTGTACAACCTGGCCAACTTTCAACCAGATGTTCATCTTCGGAGGTCAACGGCCATCCGACTCAGAAACAATTGGGAATGAGCGGTAGAGTCAATACGTTTTCTGTAATCACCTGTTTTGTACAGAAATCATCTCAGGATTTTTATGAATAGAATCCACATACAAGACGATCTTTTGCCCAAGAGCAGCCGTCACCCGGCTCAAGAATTAGTTGCCAATGAGTGGAGAAAGCCTATCTTCATCATCACAGTTTTTTTTTTTTTTTGCAGTATTAATCTTAATAATGTTTACGGTAACTTGTTCTGGGTGTTCTCGTTTTGAGTTCCATGGTTTGCCCAAAAAGTCAACGGGGATGACCACTTTCATGTATCTCACTCTGTTCATCCCTGCAATGTTCCTGTTGGGAGACGCCGCGTGTAAATAAATGGCAGATCTTCCGACCCAGCAGATTCAGCCACATTCTCTTGCTTAGATTTTCAGGGGAGCCCTCATCGGATGACCTCGAACATGTGGAATCGGACGTCATCCACGAAGCAGACCCCCTGCATCTTCGGCAGCTACCTGTTGTGCCATGGAGAAGCCTGGGAGGGAGCTCCGCGCTGTGGAATGCTGCCCAGGTGGGCGACGACTACTACGCTTCAGGCTTCTCAGCACCGCTTCGTGGTCGCTTGTTCTCTACCGTACTCGCCGTCCGAAAGCACCTCCGTCGCCTTCCGGCGCTCCCGGAATCTTCCAAGCCAGCGGGCGGGCGAGGTGCCGCCAATTTTAGATCCCTTCTCATCGAACTCCATCCTTCCATCGCGCCTCTAAGATGCTGAACAGAGGGGAGAGAGAGAGAGAGAGAGAGAGAGAGAGAGAGAGAGAGAGAGAGAGAGAGAGAGAGAGAGAGAGAGAGAGAGAGAGAGAGAGAGAGAGAGAGGGTGGTAGGAATAGACAGCTACGGCCTCCATGAGCGAACTAATAGAATAAAAACATTTAAATGGCCTGATGTTGGCAGTAATTTTGCCGAGTGATTCTTCCCAAGCTGATGAGAATTATTATTAATCTCGGAGAACATCATATCATCCACATCCGCTGCCGTCCAGCTCCCTCGCAGGTTTTGAGATAATTTATTCATCGCAGACATAAAGATTGGATGCGGCCAAAGGAAAAGGGTAAACATCAGACGTTCAGTTCCTCGCCCGGCGGCAGTGGATCAAAGACAGAGGACACCTCCTGCATGTCGACGTCCTCCAGCTTTGCAGGGTTCCACCGGGGGCTCTGCAAATAGTCAAGCAAATCAGTTTGATAACATCATTTCAGGCCACGTAATAGAGAATTACGCCCATAACACATGAGAAACAGACACAAAGATCACACTGCAAGCAACCACAAGAAATCATGCTTAAAAATCATCCCTATATCAACCAATCTGATTCTACAATGCCTCCATCAAATCTTCTCCAGCTACCCACCAATTACATACCCAATCTTATTCACAATATCACATCATAATTAAGTTAATCTCACTGAAAGTGATTCAGTAAAGTTTCAATATTTGAGATTACGGCATCTCATGTAAGTATAGGCATAAATATAAATATGTGTAAAGACTAAGTCCTATTCTGACAAGATATATAGGTCACATCTTCTCCAGGCCAGAATCTCACAAGATATTAAAAAATGCAATATATAAGGAAGCTGTTCATATAGATAATCTCACACTGTTCATCCATCAATCAAACAAGTACATCCTTCATGCCGCATATTCTTGAACAGTGTCACATGTGGCGCAGGGCATGAGCATTGGCATAGGCCCCCAGTGGATATGGAATCAGATCATTACACACCGGCCCTAGTACTAGGAGGGTACTGCAGCCCAAAACAGACAGCGAAAAAAATGATTCAGTCCTCTTCATATGCTATAATGCCGAAGATAGATTCTTTTCACCATAGAAGTATTCTTGCGCCTCATCTTAGGACTGTATGCTTCTTTTCTACATCCATTCCCAGTAAAATGTCTGTTAACTCTCTCTCTCTCTCTCTCTCTCTCTCTCTCTCTCTCTCTCTCTCTCTCTCTCTCTCTCCAAATGCTACGCATCTCTGTTGATTGTCACAATCATCCGTTACAGTTTGTCTTTATGATCCCCAAAGTAGCGTTCCATCTGATATCCATGATGAGCGGTTGATTTCCAAGCCTCTGCTCAGCTAACAGAAGCATGACAATACTCTCAAGTGATAACATATAAATCATAGAAAAAGATAGGGAAGACACAGAATTTAGAATTCTATTTGGGGTTTTATCTATAGATTCTAGCCCAACTTTTCTCCAATCAATAACGCGATTGATGGGCACTAAAGGCAATTATCTTCAGTTTTATGATGTTTTGTTGATCAAAACATAAATGGGAAATCTTGTAATTTTTTAAGCCTAATTGAGATCCTTAGATCTGAGATGGCGATTCTTGATAGAGCTAAAAGAAATTTGATTCATTAAAATTAAACTCCAGCACTTTCTGCAAGGAGATCATAAGATGTAAACGTTGGGAATTTTTCCCTAGTGTTGACGTGCCATTAGTTCACAACACAGAGGCTAAGTCATTAAGGCACGAACTTCCGGAAAAAAAAGATTGAGCAAATCATAAACCGAGAACTTACGCAGGTAGCTAATACTTAACAAGAATAAAAAAATTCTGGATATTAAAAAAAATGCAAAAACGAGAAAGAAAACACAGTTGAAGAAGTCACAAGACCTGATCCTTATCCACAAGAACTGCCCTTACACCTTCAGCAAAATCACTTCGCAGGGACGACCGAAGAGCTATGCGATATTCAGCCTTCACGACTCCATTCAACTGGAGGGCGGCAATGAAAAGGTCAACACAAGTTATTGCTCTGAAATTGCAAGTATATCCACCAAAAGAAAACAAGTCAAGTCTATCCGACTTACATCGGACAGGTGATTTTCATTATCTCCATAGGCAGATGCCACTTGAGAAAAATGCTTCTCAGTTAAGCACAGAGAAAAGGGAGCACCTTTCCCAAGCCCCACGAGGGCATCACTTGCCCACTCCGCCACTGCACCATGGTAAGAAATTGTGAATAATTAAATAGCAGAAGTTTTATTTTCAATACTGTCCCAAAGGATTGCCACTGTTAATAGCGATAGATTACCATACTGCTCAGTGAGAAACATAGGAACGACAGCAACTTGGCATTTTACAATGCATACACTTCTCGCCATTTCATCAGGCTTCTTTTGTCAAAGGAAAATAAGATATACATGGTGGATAAGCGCAGCCCTGTAGAGCATTTCACTAATGTATACACACAGACACACACAAATGGCACCGATCTTCTAGGTCCTAAACCATCCCTGATTATTTTTCCTCTGCTTCTCAATTTTTTTCCTCTTTATTATTTTGAGATATTATTACTTTTTTCATCTTCCCCTATTGTTTCTCACTTTTCCTTATCTCCCCTAGAATTAATGGTTCTCCAAACGATCGCAATTATGCCATGCATGTCAACAAGGGCAGGATATACTGCCGTTTAAAAGATTCTTAGAAGGATAGTCGGGTTCTGAACCAATAAAAACTTTTATTCTGTCCTCCATTAAAGCCCTTTCCAACTCTAGGGAAGTTTTTATGTAGTTTTAAAATTTATCAAAAAAGGACACTACGCATCTCTGAGGCAGTTTACATGAATGCTAGTACGAGGGGTATGACGAACATCTTTGAGTGTCTAAATCGTTCAATAGGATCTTTGAAGTAAAATTGGAAGCCTCCTGTTAGATAGGATCTTCAATCCCTTTCAATACAAAATGCAATGTAAAAAGCCCTAGAAATCATGGAAGATATGGCATTAAGAGTGCAAAAAAGACACTATATTATCCAGTAGTGACCAATTCAATCAACCACTCTGTAACTGAAATGGCAAAACCTCATACCTGCACTGTCGGAACTCTGCTGATGTTTTTTCAAGTCTTCAATTGTTTCTGCTACTGGTTTATATGCTTTGAAAGATGAAGCAATTTGTGGCAAAAGCAACTTTAGTTGGGACTCTGATTCTGGCTGCCTGCTGTAAGCTGCTAGTGTAGCCTGTACATCCTTGTGGGGATCATCAGAGCTGTGCACAAAAACAACATTAAGTTAGAAAATTCAACCATTAGATAAGTTCGCCAAATAATGTCTACACCTACCAAACCGCAGTGCATAGCATGCTTATGTGCCTGGAAATCAACAGGTACATTGACAATTGTTCTATCCAATGCCTAATACAATTAATCTCACAGATTAATGGATAAAAAATAATTCCTACATTTCATACAATAATATCTTGAGTACATGCATATCAGTTACATTGTCTTCAATCCAAATGGGAATGGTTAAGATTATTGAAAACTTTCAATCAACTAAGTAAATGCTCACAAATCAATTCATTTTCTGCTTGTATACAAACGTCACACCAAAACAATGAAAATCATGTTTTTCTCCAGAAGCAACCATATACTACAATAAAAGCTCCAAAATCAGAATTTGCAATATGCGGATATCCCTAATGAAAACCAGGTTCCTAGATTTGTTAGAAAAAAGACAAAAACAACCCAGCCACTGAAATAAGGCAAAAACGAGAAATAAAGCGATTATTTAATGATAAGAAAATACAAGTTCACTCCAAGAAGTCCCTCCTTCAGAGAAACTAAGTCTCCAGCGGGCACATAATCAGTTCCAAGGCCCACATATAGTGCATCAGCAGGTGAAGAAACCCTTTTTCCAGTCAAACCGAGATAAGCACCTGTAATAATTTAAATAGCAGATTCATTAAAAAAAGTGGGGAGAAAAATCAATATCTATTGAACATGTTCCCTTGAAAAACACTGCAAATAAAATTATGTAAAAAAGAAAATGACACAGGCGGTATATTATGAATATGAATATTCTAAGAGCACTCTAGACCGTCCACCAGTCAACTTGAGAAACAAGACAAGAATATTAGATAGGACAGTTCTCACACACAAAAACAAATACATTAATGTACATGCATATTATGATGAGCAGCTGGGCCCATTTACCACAAACAGAAGAAACAGTAAACAGCATCTTTTTTTATGTTATTCCTACTGTTATTGTTATTCAGGTTGGAGAACTTGTATTCTTCTTAACGAAGACGAATTATAGACTAACGTGTAGATACTGTGAGATTATTCCTGGTCAGCATATTGAATATTGCGCATGATGATTAAAAGTATTAGTTAAATAAAAATCATGAGAAGAGGATCTGAAATACTGAGATCAAGAGAGGGAGGGAGAAGCGGTGAAGGTTTAAGAAGATATCAATTGCTATGGCAAGTGCATAAAGTATAGGAAACCAGGTCTTCAGAGGCCGCAAGTGATGCGGAGAAGGCACAGGAGCCTAGAAACTATAAATAAAGATAAATTTAAAAACTAACCTCATTTTTAACAAATTAAGCAAAAAGAGAAAGTACAGAATATATATGACCCCAAAAATGAGAGTAAAAAAAGGACACAGAATGTATTGGACCGATTAAAAGAGTTCTAAATGTATTTAAACCAGATGACTTCTGATAAATAATCATTGTCATGCTGATCATTATATTTTCTTTAGATTGAAAAGCAAGTCCCAGAAGCGTGATCAATATACATTTCTGATTATAAGCTAACAAGGAGTCTTAACGACTATATTTTAATGAAAAAAAAAACTGCATTACAGGTTTGCCCCCTTAATAACATTTCATTGAAATTAAATATAAAAAATAAAATGAAAAAAAAACTAAGAGGAGGATAAAAAGAAGAAAACGAAAGGGAAGAAAGAGGAAAGTTAACAAGAAGATAAACAACAGTAGAAAGAAAAGAATGAGAATGAAATGTAATGAAGAGAAAAAAAATATAGAGATAAAATTTAACGTTTTTTGTCTTTTGTTGGCATCGACATGTTAAATAAAGCACACTAGCACAAAAAGTAATACCATTTTTTTAGGGACCGTTGAGTGAACAATTAAGTGACCATTTTCGACCTGTAACCCACATACTTTGAAGATCAGATCACATGAATGAAGCAAAAAAAATCAATGTTTCCACTTTGTTAAAAAAATGTATCACAGCAGTAAACTCAAGGAACTAATCTCTGATGACTAGACCATCCCTCAAGTCAAAGTTATCAGCAAAGGAAATGGCCATACATCATAGATGGCAAAATCGTAAAGACAAGAAAATTCCAAGTTGACCCTTTCTCTTACCCATAAACTAAAGAGCATTAAACTCCAAAAGAAACTTTTTTGGATACTTTTTTATGGATAAAAAGTCTTTTTGTTTCTTGTGATGGGCTGTATGCCACATTGGACATTGATTCACAATTAATAAAGGTGTGATCTGTCATAAGAAAGTGCGACAAGAGTTATCTGGTCGTGAAAGACCACGTGCACACCCCAAATGCAGGAATGTTTCTATTTAAGAACTCTATACGAAAATAACTTATTTTTGCGAAAGGACAAACCAACAGCTCCATCTCCGGGACTCTGTGCAGCTATATAAGCAAAGCCTACATCTGGGAATAAACCAATTCCATTTTCTGGCATAGCGAGAATAGTTTTCTGACATTAAAAAGGTTAATAAAATGCAAGTTAGATCAGAAATCTTGGAATATAATGAATTAACAGAGAAATACTATTTCCTTGACCACTGTTACCTCAGTAATAATCCGATAACGGCCATGACCAGATAAGCCAATTCCAAAACCCATGGTAACACCATCCATTAAGCAAATATAAGGCTTCTTATATGCGGCTATTTTACATATAAGAGAATATTCTGCACCAAAAACCTGCAAGACAAGTAACACAGATGTCAAGGATGGTTATACCGAAAATCAAGCGAAAAGGATGAAGCAAGTAGAAACTATATTTACTTCCAGATGCACAAAGGAAGCACCGATAAACGTTTCTATCATATCTATCTCGAGGATCAAAGTATCTGCAACAACTGCATACTACACCTTCGGTATGTATCAAAGAGGAACCCAAAAGGCACCAACAAAAGGATCCTTTGTGTTCCGAAATTCTAGGATCCTTTGGTTGTCACCAGACTGAAGACACTAATTTATGAAATTGAGAGCAATTTCCCAACAAAAGCAGTAGGAAGAAAACTAACATTATTTATAATAACCATATGACTTGAAAACCTACTTTGCAACACGCTTTGAAACATATCCATGTGAAGGATACTGTCGTATGTATATCCCAGAAGAGCAACCTATGATCGACTAATGATATTTCCATCCACCCAAAACAAACACTCAACACCTGGTGGTCAAGCTTGATTACACGTTGTTTACTTGTTTGAATCCGTGTCGAAAATGGTGTCTGTATCTAAGCATTAACAGGCACAGAGAAGGCTGCAGTGAAGAAGCACATGCTTGCATGAGTGTGGTAAGTTATATAAATAAGAAATAAAACTAATGCAGAAAAAATGTCCATAAAAATATGCAAACTGGAATACCGCCCAGACCAGCGAATTTATTTTGTTACACTTGCCTTCAATTGCAATAGTCCAAACCATCGATGATAGATATTAAAGTTGGATAGATAGAAGGCATCGGCCTCTACGTCCCTTGACATGGAAATAATTTCCTGATTTGTTCATGATGTGAATATGCATCGTGATAGGGACTCAAGCCAGTTATGTGTTACGTGTAGCAGAAGAAGAGAAAACTTTTTGACATAAAAGATATGCTTAAAAATGATTATGTAAAAAATATGTACTTTTCTATACCTGAAAGAACAAAAAATATATATACATAAGTATCATACATTTGCTGATGCATTCATTAAGAGCACTGTAACTCTTTGCTGTGAGAAAACCAATATCTTTGTGGATAGGTACATAGATCAAGGCAGGGAAGGGCGTGTAATCCACATGCTTATAATCAAGTTCAAGAGAGATGAGACCTGAATCTATTGCAGTATGATATAGAGGAAAAAATAAGACCTTAATCGTATCACTTAGTTCACGACTGATTGTAATCTGTTTCACATCACCACCTGAACAATTACACTATCTGTCTAGTTATTAGATGACTGAGGGGAAAATAAATATTCATATCGCGAAAGCATACAAGATTGGGGGAAAAAAGACAGACAAGAGACAAGATGTACACACGTTTCATGTCGTAAGCAGTCATAAAAATCCTTTTACTTCATAAAAAGGACAAAAAAGACTGACAAACAGGACCTTCTGCGCAAGAGGTGTGTTTTTGTCCTTTTGAATTTCAGCAACAACACCCTTAATATCCATTCCTGCATTGGACATGGATTGCACCCTCAAATCATGTGCCAAGCCCCCGAAGGTGAAATACATCGGTATAAAGCAAGAATCGCCAAGAAAAGGACCCCAACAATCGAACAAATAGAAACACTTGCCCAGTGACTGAAAAGAGAAGTCGTCACCTGCACAAAAGGCACGAGAAGAGCTGCTCTCCACTAATACACATTTGACACTGGGATTTGTTTCCCATTCATCAAGATAATTCTCGTACCTTATGTCCATATCTGCAAGTGTAACACATAAAAAAACGTCATCATCAGAAATCACTGCATAGTGTTGCACGAAACAAACGTGAAAAGGATACGTTTTCAACGGAGTCATCATGCTGTAAGTGAAAGCAGGAAGATTGGGGGCATTAGACCAGCAATTTCGGCAAAAGTACTAAGGAGAAAGGAGAAGGGCCTTTTCAAAAATGTTGAAAAACCATTATTCATAAAATGAAAAAAGAAGAAGAAAAGAGGTTACAACCAGCCAATCAAAATCCCCAACGAGATAGTGAGAATATAGATAGGGGAGAGAATCATATAAAGAACACATAAAAGCTGGTAGGAATCTTCAAGGTCGATCACTATCTCAACTATTTTCTTTCTTCCCAAGATAATGCAAATTCCCTAATCATTTATTGATCGAGGGAGCCCATAGACTCAACTATCATCAGGTTATACAAGTTTGCAACTCTCCCACTCTTCTGTACGGGTGTCAGTCGCCCATCTAGTCTCCAGACACCAAAAGTCTGCAGGAAGCATTGCTTTCTCTACTGTGTTGGATGGCTTCTTAAATTTCTCTTCAAATCCCCTCTTGTTTCCATTTTTCCAATGGACTGACAGTGCTCTTACCAACCCCATCCATCACACATTACCTTGAACACACACTGGAATTGATCCATAGTTCCACTGATTGGGACATGCCACTGAAACTTGGGAAATTTAAGTTCTCCACTGCTAGTATGACACACCAGATAGCTAACACGACTCCTTGGGATCCACCTCCCACTCAAACTTGGCAAGGGCGCAGCAACGCCTTCATTGTAACTCGGGATGCCCTCGAGCCGAAAAGAACGATGACATCAGGAAGGAAAAATAACAAGAGTGAAAGCGGAGAAAGACCCAAATTCATGGCATTGAGAGCCCTGGGCCGGTCGAGCGTGATGACGGCGACGCCGTTGGGGGAGACATTCCCTCTGACGAACTCTTCCGCGGAGCCCGCCATGACCGCGAACGACCGACGGTAACCCGATCCAAGACTCGCACGGAGGAAGGAGCCGAGGACGCTAGGGTTCCTCCCGGCGGAGGATCTGGACCCTGATGCAGTGAAATCACAGAGACGAGGCGGGAGAGGAGGCCGGAGGTGGGGGAACCGAGACAGGAGACGCATGCTTCGATGGCGACAGCAGCCTCCTAAGAGCACCCCCTCCGGACGGCGAGCAGGTAGACAAATCAGTCATTTTAACGAATCACCCCCCAGCTCCGCCATTGGAGCGGATCCACGAACGGTAAACGAGGATGACGATCTCATTCAGCAGAGGATTTTATTTTATGGAAAAAAAATAAGAGAGAAGTTCCCCGCACGAACTGTTCTTGGTGCGCCGACAAAACCCCCACTCGGATTGGCCAAAATAAAAAAAGATATATAAATAAAAGATGTGTTCGGGGAAATATTTGACTCGGATGTCACATTATTAATTAGACTGAGAAAGCCGGATGATATAAAGTATATATGTTATTATCATTATTTAACGGGGGCTGGATAAGTGTTACATAAAACAGTGGATTTCTATGTAATATATAAAGCAGACAGCTGCGGCCCAATGGGTCAAAATGTGGGTCAAAATTGAATGAGGACCGTCCGATTCCTTGTCCTCCCTATGGTGTGGGGACGATAGGCGGCTGAGATGAGGCGAGGCCCCGGAGAGCGGGAAGGAGCCGGCGGACGTTCGAGAAGGTTCCGGGGAGCAAACGAATTTCTCGATTGCAGTCCAATTGAACCGAACTGGGCTAATAACCAGCATTCAAAGGACGGAGGGATGGAGGGAGGGAGGGAGAGAGAGAGGGAGGGGGAAGAGAGTTCCTCAGAAACCAGAGGCCATGAGGGAGACGGCCGGCGCCGTCGACCGGCTTCATCTTCTCTCCGCCGGCGGGCTTTATTCCGGCGGCCGCAGGGAGCTCCGGCGAGAAGGCGGCGGCGGGGAGATGGCGAGGGTTTACTTGGGCTTCATGCACTTGCTGAGGATGGCGGCGAGCTTGGAGTACAAATGGCGCTTCAGGTACGTCTGAGCCACCCTGAACCTGCCGTTCTGGCCGAGCTGCTTCCTGGCGGTGGCGTTTCTCAGGAGGAAGTGGAGGTTCTCGGCGAGGGCCTTCTCGCCTTCGCGTCCCACGGGGTGCAGCAACCCCGTTACTTTGTCCTCGACGATCTCCTTCGTTCCCCCTGCGTCTGTTCCGAGCACCTGTCCCATGGAAGCCGATGTCAGAATCTCTCTCCCTCTCTCCCTCTCTCTCTCTCTCTCTCTCTCTTTGTGATGGCAACAAAGAGGGGTAGGGAGAGCCTACCGGCAGACCAAACGCCATGGCTTCAATGGTCACTCGTCCAAATGTTTCCCCGAGTCCCTGAGAATCAGACAGAAGCATAATAAGGCGGAGATAACTGGTCCAGATCACGAGCTTTGAGAAATAATGCTGAAACCCCAGGTCTCTTCTAAAACTGAAACTAAAATTGGGAGTAGCCCCAGGTCTGTGGCAATGGCAGGGGGTAGGAGCAAGTTCCATATCCGAGTACGAGTTAACAATCTTCACTGAATTTCCAAGGAACTGATGGCTTTCATGAGCATTGCAGCGGACAGTTCTTGTGATTCCCGTAGCGGACAGAAAAAGTTGAGGATGTATTCATCCGCATTTAGTTAACACGTCGAAAGGTTGTAATTCCCGTAGACAAAAGTATTTGCTAGATTATTTCAAGAAATATGTTATGTGAATGCAAGCATATTCTCTCCAAACCCAATCTACTGGGAGTTCATGAGCATGGCTCTGGCAACCAAAGGAACGCTTTCTTGTCATGATTCTCATTTACTTTCTGTAGAATTTTTTTTAAGAAAAAATTAAAAGCCCATCCAACGACGATTCTCATGCACCATGGTATGTATGAACTGCAGAATGGTCAAATTGGTCAAATTGGATGAAGATATCAGCACTGACCTGGGCATTTATCACGTAAACATCTGCTGCAGAGTAGAGAGAGGAGACGCGGGTGGTTGCCGGGGTCCACAAGACTGATTCTGACAGGTTTTTGTGTTGGGAGAGAAAGCTCAGAATTCCTTTGATGTATGGTGTTTTGTTGCTCTTTGATCCAATGGAGCCAATCAGGACTTTGAGAGCAGGTTCTTGAGCAGTCCCACCGTCCGACAGCAAGCCTCTCCCTATCTTTCTTGACCTCGAGCGCCTCCTCTTTCTTTTCTGCGGCTTTGGGGTAGAAGTGACATTTCTGTTGGCACCATCCGCTAGCTGGGTCTGGTTCAGATGGGTTTCAAGAATGACGGCAGTGAGGTTCTTCCCTTCAAACAAGCTGTTGATTCTGATGTCTAAAGGCGCCACATTGTGCTCCTCCATTAAAAGTATGGATTCCAGTAGCAGCAGCTGGCCCTTCGCGGGGTTGATGCTGCTGAGGGTCATGACCAGCATGTCGCTATCACCTAGACCCATCTCCTTCCGAACTGCTTCTCTCAGGAGATGCCTCTTCTCTTCCATACTCTCCACGTTGAATGATGGGGTGTTTAAAGAGGAGGGAATGCCGGCCACGAAGGCGAGCTCGTCGCTGACAGAGAGAGGAACCACACCAGGCTCTGATCTCAGATGAATGCGTTCTTCCTCGCACCACGTCAGCCATTGTTTAGACTGTGATTCTGACAGGAAGATCAGCGTCTTCACCTGGTCAAGCAGGGTCTTTGATCTGTCAAAGTATTCCCTGCGGTTCTCCATGATCCACCAGACAATCTGACTTGAACCAGGGCCGTAGTATTTGAGGTACTGATCTGAAAACAAGAGCTGACAGGTATGAGCCTAACATGTATTTAATACAAGTACTCTACTTCAATCAATTTCATCAAAAAATCGGATAGAAAAATATGTTTCATCATTCTGACATGAGCAAAACAGTAAATCCATGTGGGCTATGTTCATAGATCGTGTCACTTTAGCTTCTTTTTTTTTTTTTTTAATACCCTAATCTTCATACTGACGTGCAGAACTCTTACAGATTGTACCCCGAACAACAGCGGACCCATCAAACATACTCTGCTAACTTCTTCCAGGTCGCAGAGTCACACCAGAGCAAACAATGTAATACACAAATCCAGACAAGGTGAAAACCATCAGGTGCCACAAGTATATGTGGATAAATCAGATACAGAAGATAGAGAGAGAGAAAGAAAAAAATCATGGTAATCTGTATCAGATGATAATCTGCAGTGAAATCTGTTGGGAGCAATCAGTGCCCCACGGCAGAGGGTAATCGACAAAAAAGGTACATGCTCAATCACTGAATATTCTGGAGATGACAAGAATATCTGAAACTAGGCGTCACATATGAACTGTCATCTAAGAATATTCCTTAATAAGAATAAATGTAAGCTGTATAGTATAGCAGGGGGGGGGGGGAACATATGCTAGCCTCTAGCAAAAAATTGTTTGATAATCTAACACAAAACCTGAGAAAGTGAAAATAAGAATGTAGATCATCGGAAGAAAAGAGTTTGAGATTACCAAAAAAGAAAGGTCAAATCTTGCCTCTTTTTTTTTTTTTACATTATTTAGTAGATTTAACTATCAATTTATAGACGTTTTGCCCGAAGAAAAAATATGTTGAATGACTCGCATGAAACACAATTATTTCCAGAGGTCGATGTCAAAATACATCTAGGTTATTTCTTATTGTTGAGAAGACATTTCAAGAAAGATGAGGATTTGCATGTTTTTAGAGGAATGTTAAGAAAATCCAAGTCTCTAAAGGCTTCCGGAGCATCTTTACACACCTATCCATGAAGAACAGACAGCCGATCCTGCGATGATGAGATCCTTTTTCATGGCAGTCTTGAAGCTTGGTTCTCCCTTGTCCTTGAGCACCTTGATGCCTCTCCTGTTCAGCTCGGGCATCAGCCCACCTTGCCTGCTCACCGCAACCACTGATACGGTAGCACCACAGCTCAAAAGCTCGGTCGCCAGCTCCATCATTGTAAGGGGAGCCCCAGTCATTGACAGCTCGTGAAATATCAGGATAAAAGACCTGGACCAGACGAGGTGAGCGAATCTGCTTTTTCTGTCACAGGTGCCCCTTCTTTTCTCCGCACTCCACTCCAGAATACTATCCTCCGTCTTGGCAAAGGGCCCAAGAAGCATTCCATACGTAGTGTTCCTTCTCGGTATGCTGTCCTCTGCAGGGATCTCAGCCTTGATATTTGCACGTATCTTGCTCTCCAACCTGCGTTCGGCGGTAGAACGAGCACGCTTCCGATTGTTTGGGTTTCCACGGGACGATGCGTTCCTCTTTCTCCTGTGTGAGCCGGCACTGGACTTCTTCGGTCCGGACACGCCGATCTTCTCCAGCAGGATCTTCTCCGGACCAGAAGTGATCTCATCGTCTGCCAGTATGCGCTCTAATCTGCTAGGGCTGCTCCTGTCCACGAAGTCCTTTCCATGGGCGTCGTGAGCCCATTTAGACTGGACGGCGAAACCGATATATGTCCATAGAGTAATCAGGATCAGCCAGAAGACAACACGGTTGCCGCGGATCCACTGGAGCCTGCCTGGTACGGCCTTGGAGTCTCTGCGGGAAGCTCTGCCGGAGTAGCCCCTCCGGAAGGAAGGAGAACCTCTGGGGGTGGATCTGCCGGACATGGAAGACTTGAAGCTCCCGCCCGAGCGCAGGGAGTTCTGGCGCACTACATTCACCAGCAGATCATCCATTTCGGTTTCCTCCATGATTTCTCCTGCATAATGTTCTACTTGGATTCTACATCTGGCTGCAGAACGGCGGCAGGCGACATTCCGACTTACCTGATAGGTTGCGTGGCTGCAAGACCCTCGCCGATAGCTTCTTCTGGATCTTCCCGTCGGCCACCTACTTGCTCCGGACGAGACAGAGGAAACGCGAGATCAGGGCCGACTTGGCGGGAGTGAAGAGCAGAGTCGGCGGGCCACAGTTCAACGCCTGGAGGACGCCGGAGCCAGATCGAATGGTAATCAGGCCAGAGCTCTCGAGGCGGCTGCTGATGGACCGCTCTCGTCCACACTGAAACAATCCTCGGAAGAAGCTAGATTGGCCTCGACAATGGGGAGGGGAGCAATTAGTCGGTGGAAAGCGTCCTAGGGATTAGGGTTTCGAGAGCCTGCACTCGAGATCTGAGCACTCTTCTCCACTCCCTCTCTCTCTCTCACCGCCGTCTCGCCGCGGGTTCTCCGACATGACTCACAGAAAGAGAGAGAGAGAGAGAGAGACAGTGAAACCACCGTGACGGCTAGTCAAGCGAATAGCGGGAGAGAGAGAGAGAGGATTCTTTCTTCACGCGTAGTAAGAGATTTGAAAAGTCGGCAGTAGCTTGCGCACGTGGCGCGTTTTCAGAGGGTTTGGGGCAGGTGAGTTATCTCCGATCCGTCTCTACCGTCAGATCCATGGAGTTATGACATAAGCTACCAACCTAGTGTCGGTACCACGCGCGCCGTGAGCTGTCCACGGTCCCACGTGGCCATCGCGGTCTCCGAATTGGGGCCCATCGGACTTCAAACCGGCCCATAATTCTAAAACAGGCTCCGACTCTCCTAGGTCCAATTTCTTCTACTTCATCCCTTCTTGAAAACCATTCCCAGGCCCAATTTTTTTATGGGCCTGGCTATGCGTATCAGATCTGCTGCCCTCTTACGTTAAATATTTTTGTTGCACGGAGAGAGAGAGAGAGAGAGAGAGAGAGAGAGAGAGAGAGAGAGAGAGAGAGAGAGAGAGAGAGAGAGAGTTGATCTTGGCAAACCATGCGAATAAAAAATGCTACTCAGGGGGGAATTATCTCATCAATATATATTTTTACGATTTTTATTGCATGATAATTAATATATTGTAGTATTATTATTTATATTCCAAGAGACTTTCATGGGGGATTATTTATAAAAACAGATTATTTTATCAAAGCACGTTGTTTTACATAAAGTGGGCGCATTTATTTGTCTTAAATTGGGGGTCGCGGGCATCCTTGTCTTCTACGTGAAGAACCCCACAACGAAAACAGACTGGTTTTTAGGGTTTCACAGGCCCAGAGCGCTGTAGAGGGTGTGGAGGAGGATATGGTGGGCGGTCAGCTGGGGGAAATGGCCATCGAAGTCGAGCGCCACCAGCGAGGCCTCGCCGCCGAGCTTCCGCTGCACGTATTCTGCCGCGGCCATCGGCACGACGGCGTCTCGGGTGCCGTTGATGACGGTGCAGGGGACATTCACGGCGCTCAGGACGGCACGCAGGTCGCTCAGGAAGACCTCCTTCGCCAGGGCCAGCGCTACGCCGGGGCTCATCCTCCGCAGGCTCTCGCCGAATCTCTCCGCCGCGGCCGGCGCCGCCGCTGCTCCCACCACCACCCCCGCGAAGGTCCTGGCCCAAGAGTGGAAGTCGTACTCCATGGTGGTGAACATGCCCTGCACCTCGGACATCTCGAACCCTCCCTCGTAGCCGTCTGAATTTAGATACCTGCAGCGTTGAAGGGAACATCTCAGACAGAAAATATGAAGAGTTCTAGAGAGAGAGAGAGAGAGAGAGAGTATGGGAACCCCAGTAAGGAACGGACGTTGACCAGCTTGTAGGTGATGTAGGGAAAGAAGGGAGACCCGTGGAGCCAAAACGGGAGACCACGAAAGGACTGGAAGCAAGCTCCATGGACATGGACAATTCTAGGTTTGAAGATGCCCTAGAAGGGCTCAGCATCATACCTTGGAGAAGCTCCGAGGAGGACAAGCCGCCGGAAGAGGTCGGGCCTCTCGGCCGCGGCGATGCAGCCGATCATGCCGGCCATGGAGTGGCCGACGAACACGACGCTCCTCAGGGCCATCTCGTCCATCAGGTCGATGAGAGTGGTGGAGAAGGCCCAGTAGATGGAGACGCCGGAGGTGGCGGCGGTGCCGCCCGAAAAATCCCAGTTGAAGAGCACAACACGGCACCGCTCGGCCAGGTCGGGGAGGATCTCCTCCCATATCGTCTGGTCTGCGCCGTACCCGTGGGACAGGACCAGAGTTATCTCGCCGGACCCGAGGGTCCTCGCGTTGAGCGCATCCGCCAGGCATTTCTTTGCCACCACCATGCTTGACAGAGATAGAAGAACGGACGGAGGGGGAAGAGGAGACGGACAGGAAGATAGACGAGAGATTATGGTTGATCTCTGCACAAGGTGAGAGAGAGGATGAGGATGAGGAGGATGGCAACGCGATGAAGGTTATCTAAGAAGAGAGTGGAGACCTTGGTTTCAACTTGGACTTTAACTTATAACCCAGAATGTACCAGGAGAGAGAGAGAGAGAGAGAGAGAGAGAGAGAGAGAGAGAGAGAGAGAGAGAGAGAGAGAGAGAGAGAGAGAGAGAGAGAAATAGGAAGAGAGAGAGGGGAGGCGGAGGAGGAGGTTGGGCTCGTGATGAGGGTTGATGGTTGTATAAGAAGAGTGGGAAGACCCTTGGAGTTTGCCCCACGGACCGGAATACATCAGAAGAGAGAGAAAAAAGGAAGGGAAGGTTGAGGGACGGTGGAGGGTGCGTCCAAGGCAGAGCTTTTCGTCGAAGGCGAGGTGGGTCCCGGACAGGATTGACTGCTGCAAAAATGGTTAGTATATATTTTTTAAATGAACTATTATATATCAAATCTTATCTCCATTCTTTCTTCATCAGAATTAAATACGTCAAAAGTCAGATTGTTCGGATCCAATATACTTTTTTAAAAAGTTTCCACTTCAAAACTCCTTGAATTATTTCGCTCATGGATGGCGATCCCAGTCCCCATCGCCTGCAAGTCTTCGTCTTCTTGTCAACGGTCCATTATGTCCACCCCCCACTCTTTCCATCTCTCTCTCTCTCTCTCTCTCTCTCTCTTCCCTCATTTGTTCTCTTTCACGAATAGACTCCAGCGAAAGGCGAGTTTATGCTTCTCTGATGATTTATCTTCCTTTCATCCATCCAAGCAGAGTTGCTCTAGTCCGTGGTCAGGTCTCCCCACCCACCTGGGCGCAAATTGCTCCTTTGGACCACCGTGAAATCGACGCCGCAGATGACATCCGGCACAAACAAGCCTACGACCTTGACCTCGACTACACACCCGCCGGCGTCCGGCACTCGTGCCCCAACTTGTCGCAGCTGACTCTCTCTCTCTCTGTCCCTCCCTCTACTGTTTCGTCGATCTAAACGATACCATCTCATTAACAATAGATTCCCCGCGTCACGTTTGATCCCACCTCTTCACTGTACGCACGCACGCATGCATGCATGCGCATAATGTCTCTCTCTCTCTGTATATGTATACCCATAAAGTTAAAGAGATTAAAAGTAAAAAGATGATGACTGGTGGAGGATCTCAATGAATGAAAGCATAGAAACACCCACTTGAGCCCGACTACGATTACGCCGCTCGTCTTGCTATGACCGGACGCCATGATCCATCAGGAGCCGGCGCTCGGTTGCTCGCTGTGAGCTCTCCCTCACTCTCCCTCTTTCTGAGAGGGAAGAGAGAGAGAGGGAGAGAGAGAGAGAGAGGGTGGTATTTGCTCACAGCTTCGCCATCTTTACCAGTGGCCATTGATTAGGCGGGACTGGTCGTCGTTCTGGTCGCCACCGTGGCACCTTCGAGGTGATGATTCTGTGGACGGTGGGCCCCCCACTTGCCGTGGGACTCTCCTGCGGCATGGTTGGGAAGCCGAGTCGAAGGCTTTAATGGACAAAAGAAGGGCATTGAAGCTGGACAGAGAGAGAAATTGACGGGAGGGAGAGCAGAGATATCCATCCCGTTTCTCATAGATTACCAGTTATGAATTGAGAAAGCGCCGAAATACCTTACAAAAAGGAGAGGAAATGGCCCCAGGTCAACGGCCCTGCCCTCGTCCCTTTCTTCATTAATCGGGAAAAGATCGGAAAAGTCTTGGAGTGACCCAAAGTCCACGGCTCTCCCATTCATCGTGCCGCCTTCTCTGTCAGTGAGAGACGAGCCAAAGACGGTGCGCTTCCGTGGAGGAGCAGCTCCACCAGCTGAGACGTTTAGCTTTCAGTGGTATACACAAGCAAGAGTCCAGCATTCCCATATATAGAAAAGTATTGACGCAGATATTACGTCACATGTCCTCGTACTGATGAGCAATTTGGTCATGACTCCTCCATGAGCTTCCCGAGTTATCGAAAAGGCCTTTTATTTTTCTTTTTTTGACTCTGAAAACCATCCAATTATTAGTATTATTATTTTATCTATTCATAATTGATTTTTATTAATACATAACTTAGCCTAACATCACTATTAATACCCTCCGCCCCCCCCCCTCTCTCTCTCTCTCTCTCCCACAGTCAACTCTCGATGGAAGAGAGAGAGAGAGTTATTAGGTCAGACATATCGCTGGTATGGGCCGTTGATATGAGGCCCAACTCCAGATACCGAACACAATGAATCTGTCCATTCAATTTTCTGCCACGTAGATTTCGCTCGAGTGGAATGGACGGGGGCCGGGCCGGGCCAGTCCCACCTACGGCGCCCGACCCGAAATCCTGGCCAGATCGTCGAGCCCAGTCCGCGCCAAATCGGGTTGGTTGGTCCGGTGAGTTTGGTCGGATCACGCTCAATCGGGTCTCCGGGTCTGGAACACGGTCGAATCTAAACGGGGTAATTATTAATTCATTAATTAAGACGGGAACAATATTATATCCAGCAATACATCCATTAGCCGGACTATGGGCTAGACAGAAACTTCTCATTGCGTTTTTCTGCACGTGTGAACCCGTGGACATTATTTGGCACGTGCTGGGTGAGTTCGTGATGGTGACCGGGGAGGGGGCGGGATGTTGACTAGGGGGCTATCCAGAGTTGTGCAGACTTCACCTTGGAAACGCTGGCCAAGACCTCGAAGGGTGAGACGTCCCCTATCACCACCACCCTCTTGCTCTCCAGGTTCACCTCGAATGACGTCACTCCTATAAATGAGTATAAAAATGAAGGAATAAATAAATAAAGAAGACAGGTTTCGAGAGAGAGAGAGAGAGAGTATGGGAGTCATGCGATGGATGATGGAGATGGGGAGAATGGAAAGAGAAGAAGGGGGTACCCTGCATCTTGGATATGTGCTTCCAGACCTTCCTCGCACAGCCACGGCAGTGCATGGACACTCTCAGAACTACAATCTGCGCACAGACGAAGCCATTAGCGAGGGAGAGGGAGAGGTGACTCTTGAATAGTAGAAGAAGAAGGGGAGCGACGATGATGATGCAGAGAGAGTGGGGATTAAAGCCATCGTAATAGGAGAAGAAGAAGGTACTGATAGAGGAAGGGAGGGAGAGAGAAAGGATTAAAATCGGAATAATAGTGGTAGCAATAGTACAAGAAGAAGAAAAAGAAGTAATGGTGCTGATAGAGATTGAGAGAGAGAGATAGGGGAGAGAGAGATATGGAGAGAGAGAGACAGAGAGAGAGAGAGGAAGAAGAAGAAGAAGAAGAAGCGAGTCGAGGAGAAGGGACACCTTCGGTTCAAGATGGAAAGCCAGCGTCTTCTTTCCTCCGAAAACGTCCTTGAGTTTCGCCATCTCGTCGCCATCAACCAGAGTCTTCCTGTCCAACCCGTCGTCACCCTCCCACGCCCTCATGCACCCAAGAGGGCTCGAGAAGCCGGAAGGGAAGAAGTACGCCACCACCTTCCTCCACGCGACCTTCCCCATCCCAGCAACGAGAATACCCTCCACCGCCCCTCCCCTACCTCACGCTCCTCCCACCCCCCTCTCTCTCATCCATTCACGATCCCGCCGGAGCTTCCTCGGCACGAACAAGGAACCAACCAGGCGAGAAATCTGCAGAGAGAGAGATACAGACAGAGAATCCCCCCCTTCCTCTTCCTCCTCCCGGAGAAGCTTCCCCACCATGTGACCACCACCACCACCACAGGAAAGCCGGGGGGAAAGCCGGGGGTTCGTGAGAGTGATATGGGAGGGTTGCCTGGCAAGAAACACATGTCAACGGCTCACCCATGTGAACAGAAGACAGACGAAGAGGGAGAGTGTGCCTGAGAGACCTCGCGGAGACCCAGAGTGGCTGTCAGCCTCAGAAGAAGGGTAGAGAGAGAGAGAGAGAAGACACCACCACCACCACCACCACCACCACCGGGGGCAACAACGAGCACCGACGAACGACGACGGTCTGGTCGAAGAACCTTTTCTTTATCGTCCTCATCATTATTGCAATATTATTATTATTATTATTATTATTATTATTATTCTGTTACGGCCGGCTGTTTGCGAGGGAGACGACAACTCGACCCGCGGCGCGTCCCTCTCATCATGCTGTGTTCTTGGACTATTATTCCCCGACCTCGCACCGATCAGATCAGATCTACCCGTTTCCCACGCCAGTTCTTCTGGAACCCACCACACCCCATGATTTCATCTCTCTAGATCACTTAGATCAATCGAGGGAGAGAATTTTCCATTCCTTCGTACGTTACGTATGCTGCATCCATGGCCCCACGACAAGCGTTACGTGCGCGACCAGAGAGAGAGAAGCATGGCGGGGGCGGCGGTCTCACGTGAGTCATGACGGAGCGCTACTCTCTATCGGGCATCCAGCAGGTTCTCGTGTGACCCGATTCAGAGTCGCTGTTGGCCATCGATGGGATCCACGGGAAGCACCGCTCTTCTCTCTCTCTCTCTCTCTCTCTCTTCGTGTTTAGGACCGTGAGAGGCGATGATGCAGGGATCAGAGGGCAAACTTATGACCAGAAGGTGCACCGGGACGGATATTCATACAACCAAACGAGCAACATGCGCGAATTTCCATGGAGCCTTCATTGGAAGTCCCTCCCTCAGCCTTCGTTTCTCATAAGCCTCGAAACCACGCAGAAACCAAAAGCTGGACCCAGAGGAACGAGGAAAAAAGAAAAACGACTCAGGGATGGTGAAAGCTAGAGAGAGAGAGAGAGGGAGAAAGAGAGAGAGAGAGAGGAGCTTACCAAAGTCTAGAACAGAAGAATGCCACCCGTCCAGCTGCAACAGCGTCTCGACTCGTGCAGAAGGCAGCATCAGGCAGGCGTTTATGTAGCTGCAACAGAGATTAAGAGTAACCCGATTTCAGAAATCGGTCATTGGAGTAAGTAGGGCCCACCAGCCACGTGGCAGACCCATGACCAACCAGGAGCCAGTTGACCCAATATCTCTTGCCACGTGTAGCCTTTTTTTCCTGCCTCGGGCTGCCTTCCATATTAGAGAAAAAAAAGGAGAAAATAAATAAAGAAATAATTACCTAACATATCATAGGATATTGCGCACCCCAAGACTCCAGGTTTAATCACCGGACGTCACAGAGGGCTTGGGAGAGTTCCTGAAGGAAACATAATCCGGTCAGCGGGGGGCACAAAGTCAACGCAAAGACGGCAAGGATTTGTGCTTCAGATGACGGACCTCAAGATGCTTGACGAGAGAGATATCGGCCTCACTTCACTGGCCGAAATTCATCTCCGAGTACCTGCCAGAGAGAGAATATATCCCAAACACTTAGTCGACCAACATTCAATGGTAGATAAATATGAATATACATATATTTACGTAAATATAATATCTTTGACTGTAGCTATCAGCTGATTAAAGTAATCCTTACCTGCGAGGCTTATTCTGGCGTTGCCCAAACTCATCATTCACAATTTCTGCAAGAAGCCAGGAGGAAATCGACAAATTAGGAAACATATTACCGAAAGTCAAAGCCACTGATCCCGGGCAATATGATTTTGGGAGATTTTTGCTAACATAAGTTACAGAGCATGAGGGATGGAAAGATGCAGTTAAATAGTTACTAATGTTCAATGCCTGCGCTGACTTTGATTCATGTAAAAACCATAAAATGATAATATTTATACCACTTCTTCCGGGCAGCGGATTGCGAGAAACCGGGTCAAACCAGATAGAGGAGTCAACGGGCCCCACTTTTTCCGGGCCCGTGCCTCAGAGATCGGGCACGGCTACAAGCCTTATACCCGGTTTTCAAAGTCACCCACACCTGTGATGGTGTTCTAAGATTCGGCAGCTTTGTGGTAGAAGAACCGAGCTTGGGGAAGGGAAAAAAAAAACAAATAGCATGAAGTGGCGTACCGGGTCTCTGAGGATTCTTCCAGTTATTAGCAGCAGTCTTGGGTGCACTTGTCTCTCTGATGCAAAAGGTCAACGGAAGGAATGAAATCAGGCACTGGACGAAAGGAGGAGACTGATCCTCAAAAAGGAGGCATTGAACGGGAACCTGGATGAAACCGCAGAAGATGTCTGTCCCGGCGGACAGGCGTAGTAGCCTCCATCGAGGGCAAAATAGGGTGCATAGGATCCTCCTAGTCCCCCAGCAGCACCAGCCAAAACAGGCACCCTGAGATTCGTGAGAGTTTAATGATCAGTATATAGTTTCCTTTCAAGAGATTTAAAGAAGAGAAAATAATACCCAGTTACACGCATTTCTAGCTGATTGGTATGGGAATCAGCGTAAATTCAAAAACAAACGGGTTGGTATCATTTTTTTCCTTTTATTTCTTTTCTTCTTTTTTTGCGAGGAAGAGAGAGAGAGAGAGAGAGAGAGAGAGAGAGAGAGAGAGAACTGTTTCAAGGGTTGACTAAGAAGCATGTCATGGGAAAACATGGGGTGTACAGTGAATATGCAAAACAAACAAGCATACCAAGTCATTTCAGAGTTTCCAAAACCAAGTTGTGGCTGGGCAACGTATCCTGGTAGTGCCATGCCGACAGTAGGAACACCTGGATGTTGACCTCCGAATTGCATCACTGCATTTTCACACACAATCCAGTCGTAGTTAGAAAATTCAAGAGGATGACATGTCAAATTCTTAGAATCCAAGGAAATACTTACAGTTTTCAGATCACGGCACGAATAAGCTAAATTTATATCAGGCATTGGTTTTCTGAGCAGTGATACAGAATAAGCAATAAGTCACATGGTGGCGTTAAAGTCGGTTCATAGAGAAAAATGCTAAATTCAAGTTATGTAGCTTTCCAACCAACTAAACAGTGGCCACAAACTACTGATCGTTGGCCAATAAGGAGCCTACCATGGCGATCACTACCATCTAAGAGAGAGAGAGAGAGAGAGAGAGTCCAGTGGATTCTTAACAAGTATTAAAGGATAGTTTCCTTTGAGTTAAATGAAGGTTGAGCTGAATATAGCCTCCATCAACAAGGTGCAGAATACAGAGATGCCATTTAGACGGTCCTTGAGAGTATACCTTTAGAAAGATATTTACTTTCAAATTTATTCAAGAGGAAGGCCCCATAAGTGGACAGATATTTAAATGGGGACTTCTGCGGGAATGACAGATGAGTTGGTTTCTTTCAGCCATGTCTCAGTTCTTTCATCAGCAAAAAAGTTCTAGAAAGAGATTGTCACCATTCATCATTAAAACTGAAGTATTTTGTCAAGAAGAAATTGGGATTAGTGCGCTTTTCCTCATTGAACGTTTCACCACGATTTGAAATAATGGTGAATTCGTCGCATCATTCCTTAGCAGTGCACCACATTTAAAACAAACAGAAGCAACATGTAAGAACGGTACCCTAATGCCTGCAGTCCACTAAATTGAATGAAAAATATTTCATGCATACACTTGACAATACGGTTAACATTCAACACGTTTCCATGTTATTTTTGCATTCTTTCAAAATAAGATTGTAAAAATGGTTACCAAATATATTAAAAAGTGCCGATATTGATCTTTTGTGTACTTGCCCAAAACCGCCACAATGACATAAATTTCACTTCAAAATATATAGATATCCATTTCACTTGTCTAAAATGAAATTTTATATATCATCTCTTCACATTTTCTCATACAATCATGGCATTTTAAATGTTTTCATGTTGAAGGCTCTCATTTTCGTTTCAGCAACTCACAGTCTATCAGTATAATTTTTTTAGAAATATAACACTGTCCCATACAGGATAGATGATCTGCAAACTTTTATACAACCTACCCTTCAACTCTATAACGATAGTCATAGAGCAATAACAGGTACTCCAAGATGTTGCTAATCTTGGTACGATAGTAAAAATCGTAAGGGCAATAACAGTTTGCACATCTTCAGTTATCACACTAAGATTTCAAAAGAAGGCTGTATTGTAAACTTCCTAATAGGGTAGTTACTCCTAGATTTTCCAGGATTTGTCTCCCCGTTAATTCCTACGGTAGATATGCGATTATTAGCCCACTAAAGTTCACTTATGTGGATCTCCACATAAATAGTCACTTAGAATTACACCATAAATTCTCTTTCAGAAGGAGCATTGTTAACAACTAGGTTGTATCCGGGATACGCTAGCATAACTTGTTATCTTGCGTTCATATAGTAATGTGGTGTGTGTTTTGTGGATCTGTAACTTTCAGGAACCTGGTTCCCATTTTGAGAATATTGGCATCTTCCTTTAGTAATGAGAGACATTATACATATCACAAGCATACAAGAGCATTAGGCTAAAAGATTTGCGACCGGGGGAAAAACCGTTAAATCTGCAATAAGATTGATTGGCAAAGAAGGCAATTATCAGAGGAAAAATAAAAGATAATAAATCTGCGAATAGATTCTAAGAAAATAATAAAAAAGTCGAACCTGGCAGCAAAGCCGGAGTGCCCGGAAAATTTTGATCACCATGAGCGAGACCCATGGCCCCATTGGCTCCCATAACTTGAGCTCCACCGTACAGAAAAGACCCTCTGCCACCTCCTTGGGTGATGGCTTTTGATTTGCCAGACACAGTTGACATCGACTTCACTGATCCACGTGGTGAATCTGATTCCCCAACTTCAGATGGAGATGAAACTTGAGATCCACCACCAGAATGCTGACCTGACAGCTGATTAGATGCTCGATGTAAAGACTGAGCTGGAGCTTGAGCAGCCCGTTGAACAGAAGGAAGCTGCATCTGCACAGAGCCCCTCCCTACTGCAGTCAAAACCCTTCCCTGACCACGTTGTGGCATCTGTGTTGCGCTGATGGCTGGAGAAGATGAAGCTGGCAGCTGTAAATTACGCACGTTCTTCCCAATAACAGGTCGGGCAGCATCATCAACAACATATCTATCCTGAACAAGAGGATCGACAACAGTTTTCCCTCTAAATGTTGGACCACTGTGCGAGGGTGAAAAATTATCCTCTCCATAAGAAGAAGAAGCATTCTGATTACCACTTGCAGATTGTGGATCCCTCTTTGCACTAGCAGAAATGTCTTGGCCAGAAGAAGATCCAGAAGGGTAAAAAGGAGGTGATGCAGAATTCAAGCTAGAATTAAAAATGTGTTTCTGTTGATGAGCTTGTTCAACATGAATGCCGGACGAACTAGAATTTTTCTTTGCCACGTTATTATTTGATGCTCCATCATGAGATTTTCCACTCCTACACAACAGAAGCCAGAGAATATGGTCAAAGATGCAAAAAAATATATCTTATAAGTAAACAAAGTTATGCAGTAAAAAGGAATAGCAGAGAAAGCTCAAATTACACTCACTGCTTATTCTGAGTTGTCAGCTGATCACTGTTACTCTTAGGCAGAGGTTCATAGCGTCTGCTCCCTCTGCCTCTCACAGATTTTGGTGCATGGTTCTGATGACCACCCTCATCATAGGCTCTTGATCTGTCATCCCTGTAAGCTCTAGATCGACCATCATACGCACGAGGCCTCTCATCATATGATTGAGGCTTATTTCCTCTTATATATCCCCGATCTCGATCAGTACTTCGACTTCCACCACGACCCCGAAAACGCCCTCTAGAATTTCTTTCCTAAAAGGGGAAAAAAAAAAGAAATCAACTTACAATAGAGTCTAAAAAATAAGTCTGAATTCTTTTATTTGTAACAAGAAAAGATCAACAGAGAATTTGGAAACTTCCGCTCAATTTCTGAGCACGAATGATGGTACTCAAATTTACTGATAGCTTAAATGAATTTCTAGTGTTTTGATTTAGTTCTATCACAATACCAGTGCTGAAATACGCACCGTGAACCAAAATGATAATGCCATAAATGTGCTTGAAAAAATGTGTTTAGAGAAAGTATAGCTTACTGTAAAAAAAAAGGGAAAATCTAATGCAAATGCTAGTGCACTAAAATCACCTTGTGGCGTGAATCCTGTATACTCATTTCTTCAAATCTGTCATGAACCCACTGTCGCTCATCTTTCGATTCCCACAATTTTCGCCCACCTTTCATGCGACTGTGCACACAGAGGCCAAAATCAGATGCGTGAATAATTTCAGATATCACAAAAGAATTAAACAGGATGGATTCATGAATAAATCGAGAACAACATAAACAAACTGGCTACTTTCACAATGATACACTACCAATTATGAAGGTGAAAAAAATGTGAAACTTACTTTTATAATTGAGATAGCATCACAGTTCCAATTATTAATGAATAAAAAAAATATAATGATTGAGACAAACTAAAGCTTATCTACCCAACCAAGAAAAGGAACTCAGATTTTTTGGTTACGATCCCGAGTTCCCATATTCAAAAAAATATCAAGCTATAATCTTTTTTAATTAGAGAGAAAATGATTCATGCGAGTATGGTCGTTGCACTAAAAGTTTGTTGGAATGCAGATTTTCCTAAAAGGCGTCACTATGCTCTGGCTTTTATAACCCATCGAAGGAGGTCATCTAATCGACAAGAGCCTTCACATTCAAAGAGATACTCACTCCGACCTTAAAACTGAGATTAGAGACCGTCAAACGTGATCATGAGAAAGACTCGTGGGAAAACACAATAAATCATGCGACGAAAGTAAATATAAATTATCCTCAAGAAAAGACGTGTTACCCGTGTCTTCCGCCACCATTTTCTCTGAAACGATCATCGTGCATGTAGAAGGCTCCCGCAGTTGGCACAGCAAAGGGCTCGTTCTCCTTCTTCTCTTCTCCTTCCCCTTGGCTTTTCTCGTGATAATCCTGATTCTCTCCATCAAACCCGTTGCCCTCTCCAGCAAATTCCAGGCCCTCCGCCGGGATTTCTGCACGGCCCGCGCTGCCGACGTGGTTGCCATCATCAGCACGGCCGTACACCGCAGCCCCCGTCTCCTCCTCCTCTGCTAGTTCCTCGTCGTCTTCCGCGACCTCTTCCACGTAGTCCTCCCGCTCGGAATCCTCGTCCTCGTACCCCGGTGCCGCGCCCTGCCCGTCGAAATCCTCCTCTGATCCGATCCCGCCGATCCTCCTCGCCGCCCTTGTCATCTTCCCTTCTCCGTCCGATCCCTCCACTTCTTCCTCGTCGTCGCTGGCCTCCCTCCTACGCATTGCCGACGGGAGCAGCGCCTCGTCGGGATCACTCTCGTATTCCGGTTCATCCTCCTCCGGAGGCGCTGCCGCCCCAGCCGACGAAGCCTCCGCCATCAGCCCCTCCCGCTCCGTATCCCTCGCTGGGCAGATTCACAGAGAAAGTACGACGGAACTCCGGATCTCGAAACCCCGCCTCCGATCGAGACGGTGGGTGGGCGTGCGACGGTAGAAACAGGTTGCGGCGATCTAGGGTTTGGCGGGCGGCGACCTGCGCCTTCCGTCTGAAACTCGGAGGCGCCTGGATAGGTTCAGATTTTTCCTCCGTTCTACAATTTTCCTCTTCTTCCGAAACGAAGTCCAATGAAACCCCAGAAATATAAATATCTCCAGACAAAACAGAGAAAATTCCCGGAAGAAGCCGCGCCAAAGTTACGTGGACGCATTTTACTCGTCCGATCAACGGCTCGTGAACTCGGAATATTCCCTATCGTGAAGTAAAAAATATTAAAAAAATAAACTATCGACAGCTTCTGCTGGCCGTCGAGATCGCGATGGACGGTTCAAGGCGACTACCCGCTACCGCCTCCGTCGTCGAATGGGAAGTCGAACTGGCCGCTTCCGGTCCCCGTCGAGCGGCGTTGGAAGATTGTAGAAGATCCAGTCAACGCCCCACGATGGATACTCAAAGTCAGAGTATGGTCAAACCTCGGCCGTTCGTTGCGGCCGTATTAATTTAATAATACCTCGCGGACCAAGATTATAAGCCTTAAATATCCACATAAAGAATTACGTAAGAATAGCCGTGGAAGTAGTGGTAAGCATCATCCCTCATCGGACGGATCAGATTGATTCTCCAGTCGACACGTGGCATCAGATTCCCTCGCTCTCGTGGCGAGAGAGGCGAGGAGCATCCAGACTGCGAAGCTCAGCAGAGAACGCCGCCGAAAGTCAGCCATCTCCTTCCGAAAGAGCTATTTTTGGAAACCGCGGAAGTCTACTTGGTGTATAAGAAATTTACCGTAAAGGACGGCCGCCAGCCATTCGTTGACCACTCTGACCCAGGTACTGGCCCATCCGACGTCGATCGTCCATCTGCATGGGAAGGCCACAAAAATCAAGATGGTGCCCCAAAGTCAACGCAGTATAAGCTTGGAGTTGACTTTGGTGACCTTTGCGTCGTTTGATTGGCGTTCCAGCTGATGAAGAGCATCGCAAAGTACATGGCTCCCATGGCGAAGACGAAGTGGAAGAAGCCGTAGCCGTACGGCACGTCGTCCGGCTCCGCCTCGGTCTTCTTGAACTGGGGAAAATGTCAAAGAGACCGAGTTCAGAGAGAAGAACCGCAGAAAGCTGGAGAGTAGGAGGCCAGAGATGCACCTGGAACGACCGCGAGTCAATCCCCGTGGAAAACGTCGCCATGACTATGGCGAGCACTGCGATGACGAAGCTCTGCCAAAGTCAAACCGAAGGTCTCCATCAGGAATGGAACGTTCACGGGTAGCTAATGCATAGGAATGTTACCCTGAAGGAATTATTTATGGGATTTAGGGTACTATTTTGGGAGCTCTGGGGAAATTTTCACGGTCAACGCTTTCATGGTCAGAACGAAAAACTTACTATTATTGTGAGCCAGTCCTTGTGTGTTCCGGTCTGCGCCATCCTGTTGCGGTTGTCTCTCTCTGGCTCGCTGTACAAAAGTAGAAGAAGGAATAATCCCAAAAATATGCATATATATATATATATAAATTGAGAATAATTGTTTTTTTTTTTTTGGGGGGGAAAAGAAAAACCCCTCAGGGGAGTACCTCCTCACGGCGCACCAGCAGAGGAAGACGAGGTATACTCCCATGAGTCCGGGTGCCAAGAATCCTGCATTCACCTGAACCATGTATGGAATCAGCTAGGGATGGGGAGTGCGGGGGCGAAGGCCCCGGACGGGTGGTACGGCCGGTTGGCTCACTCTCGGGTGGATGGAGACGAGGGTCATGATCTGCAGAAGCCCCAGCGTCAGGGAGATGAAGATGATGTTCGGCTCGCAGGACAGCTTCGGTGCGTACCATATGTACATCAAGATTATTCCCAGGAAGGAAGAAACGTATGCAGCGAAGGAGCTTACGAGGACCCGAACTCGGCTGCAGCTCCAAAAACCACTCGATGTCAGTTTCAACTACAGGGGAAAAGAGAATTGAAGAAAATGTCAGGTTCTGTACAGCATATTGCGCATTATCAGCGTTGGCAGGGAGCTGGAGATGAGGAAAATGGCCTCTACCTCAGGGCGAGTAAGCTCCAAGTTGACGCATTTATCAAGAACATTGCAGGGATCAATTATTGAGAGAAATAAATCCAATTGAGAAGTCAGACTCTTACGCCTCCATCAGATACTTTAGAAGTCAAAGGGGAACTTTTCTGGGCGGGTTGCTATCAGTTTGACACGCAGAACAATAACAGTTCCTAGCCGCTGAGTGGCCTAAAAAGGATTTTTCCATATGATATTGTCGCAATATGTCGCAAAAACTTACGTCTTGGCATATTATCGAGCGCTAATAAAGCAGATAAGCTGGACAAGAGTTCTTGAATAGTTGGTCGGACCCGCCCACCCCCAAATGCGATAGGGATTGAAAGGTCGATGTTCCTACAGGGTGGGTATAACCTCTATGTTTTGGCATTGACCTTCCGTAGGGTCACTATTCGCTCTGTGTCCGGAAATCGCTATTGAAGGCAAATGACAATATTTGTACTTATTCGATGGGATCTTCTGTCTATTCAATGGTCGAAATTTATATGTTATTTTTCTGTTACCTTCGTTTACTTTTGAATAATATAATGCACATGTTAAACATAAAAACTGATTCCCACGTAAAAAAATAAAATCAAAAATATCAAGAACCATATTTGCAATGAAAGAAGATAAAATAGTTGTCGGCTTTCCACATATGTTCCATATACTGCAAGTGATAAAGGTTGCATTGCATATATTCCGACCCCAGGAAGATCGATTTCAAGAGAAAGTAAACTACTCTACGTTAGTTGAATTATGCTTGTAACTTCTGAAATGTACGTGCACAGAAAAAATTAATAATTGGAACTATCTGGAGCAAGGAATTATTTCACGGTTTCGCTAGAAAAAAGACAGGCTTACCACCGCTCGGCGTTCTTCTCTGACCGGTAACAATCGTTAAGCCATGTAATGAAGCTGATCACGCTAATGAGTTGGATCACGAGGAAGATCCTATAAAACATCGTCCAAAATAGCGATGTTATGATAAAAAATCCCGAAAGAGGTGCACAACTATGGGGCATACTCTCTCAGCTACACATCACAGATCAACAGATCAGCTACACCTTTTCGCCGCGAAAGCAGAAGGGAAACAACAATGACAAGGAACATACCCGGCGCCAAGATGGGCAATTATCCCTGAAAAGGCCATGGCCAATTAAGTTACGTTTGAGTCCTTTGGAAAGATGAGAACAAAAGAAATGAAAAACATCTACCCTGTTTACGAAACACTGACCGTAGAGATTGATTAATGCAGACGGTACCAAAAATGGGATCGTCATCAGACCCAACCACAGAATGATCTTCCAAGCCCAGCATTTTGTGTGCCACATATTTCTCTCTTCGACCAACTTTTTTGTCTCAGCAGTCGAGAGACACATCACGAAGAAGAAAACCTAATGATGTTTGTGAAGAGAAAACTCCTGGGTAAAGCATGAATAGCAAAGCGTCACTTAAGCAGAAGCCAGAGAGGCCATTCAGAGGATACGAAGCAGCCGAGGCTGATACGGAGCACGCCTTCTGCTCCAAGACACTCACGGGCACCGTCGCATCCTTTAAGTCCTGGGCAAAAAAAGCCGTGTAAGAGCACAGACCCATTGGCCGTCGATGATTGTCGGAATGAGGGGAATGAAAGAGTAAGTACTCTTCAGCCCCGAGAGGGCGCTGTGGCCGTAGTCCCGGATGGCCCAGGCTAGAATGTTAGTGACGAAGAAGATGAGACCGTAGGCGTATCTTGCCAAAGAGGGGCTCGGTCCGTTGCAGAACTTTGACCAGCGTGAGTTCTCGACTATGGTGCGGCACCTGTCCCCGTTGCCACTGTTGTCGAGTTCTCCGCTCTCCATTGCTGCCACCGCTTCGTTAGTCATAATCGCACGGTCTACAATCAGCCGGTGTGTGGTCAACGTAACATCTCACCGGCGCGCATCTTCCTTCTTCATTCCTAATGTGTGAATTTCAATGGTCGCTAATCCGCAGATTCTGCGTAGGCATTCTATAGTGTTATTAAAAATTAGAATCCGACTGGAGAATAGGAAATCCCGACGCTGAGAATAATAATTGATAAATTTACGTCTAAGGTACAAATAATAAAACAACTAAAGAATCCTCCGCCACGCATAAAAAAGGCTTTTTATTGGCATCCCAAATAGAAAAATGTGATGATACATGCAAGGTACCTCGTCGACAAAACTATGCAAAACGTTTTGACACAGCGCAGTGTCAACTAATGCCAACTGAAACTGATTACGACGGAAACCTGAACGAACAATCTCCGTGGAGTATTTACCTCCTCTGAATCAAGGAACCGTCATAACCACTGGAACGCTATGGAGTCTCCCTCACTATCATAAGGACGCGAACTACCCTCCTGCCTTTCGGCCGCAGATCAGCGGTCATATCGATATCGGGGTCGATGACTAAATATTCTCAGATCGGCTGTGATAAATTCAGACTAACAGAGAATAGACGTCTGAGTCAATCGCTAAACGACCATTTGCAGAATTCGCAAGCCCATGACGGATAGATAAACTTAGTGTTAACTCAGAACAACTTGGAAATGCCAATCACGATGGAACCGAGAGGACATCAGCATTGAACATCGAAAATTCCAGACAGCTTGAAAATGGATTAGAAGCAGAGAAGCAAAAGAAATGAAAGAGTCGAACACTCGAAACGATTCTGAAGAGCAAATGAGGTAGACTCAGAGGTGGAGCTAGAACGGAAGACAGGCCACGGCCGAATCGTCGAAGAACTTACCACAAAATAGACAGAGCTTCTGGAGCCTTGCGTTTCTGCGAAGCTTCTCTCAGAACCTTCCCTTATTCTCCGGTCCTCGTCTTCTTCTTCTTCCTCCTCTCACATCCGCATCGGTGCGTGGATCAGCTTTACTCTCAGCCGGAGAGAGGGAGAGAGTGGTGGAGATTCAGCGCGGTGAGCGAGAGGGGGGAGGTCCTCTTCTTTTTCCCGCCGCATGCTTTTCTGTTAGAGGAAGGGTCGTGCCCGCCACGTCATTCACTTGATACGTCCCCCGTTGGCAGGCGACAAATGTGCCGCGCTCTAGAGCTACTTCTGTGCGATGCGATCACACCCGTCCCCGTTCAGGGCACCCTGTAAGTGAGGCTGCATAGGCCGTCCGATTACCACCGTAAGAAGAACGACGCAGAGAGAGGAGGTGCCACGTGGAGGCATGGCCCCAGGCAAAGTAACTGGATGTAAGGAATCTTGCGGGCGTGGAGCATCTTCGCTAAAAGCAACAAGCAAGGGCCGGATTACGTGCTGGTGGGTCGGGCCAGGCCTGCTAAACACAGAAACGTTTTAGCCCTGTCCGGCCCACCTGACAGTGAACGGCCCAACTGAGTGAGCCCATTTCCGTTGACCAGAGGCCCATGAAGGCGAGATTCTCCACGTCCATGAAGGCTGACGACGACCGGAGGGAATAAGACGGGCCTATATTTATTCGAATTTCCCTACCGACGTGAGTGCATATGTCATGCCTGACGGAATAAATCCTCTCTAGGGAAGTGTGCATCCACTGAACCGTTGACTTTTTCGCGTCCTACAAATACTCGACGGCCACGGCCGTCGAAAACCCAGAGAGAGCTTGAGAGAGAGAGAGAGCTTTCTTCTTCTTCTTCTTCTTCCTCTTCTTCCGGAGACATGAGCAGCGGCGATGGCGTGAGCCCAGATGGGCCTCTTGCTCGGAAGGGGAAAGGCCTCCTCGCCCTAGTCCGTTCCAACCTGGCCTTCCGGTCAAGATGGGCGGAGGTCAACGGCGCCATGGGAGACCTCGGAACCTACGTGCCGATCATCATGGCCCTCTCCCTCGCCAAGGGACTCGACCTTGGCACCACCCTCATCTTCACGGGCGTCTACAATGTCCTCACCGGCGCTCTCTACGGCGTGCCGATGCCGGTGCAGCCCATGAAGTCCATCGCCGCCGTCGCCATCTCCAGTGGGCCGGACGAGTTCGGCGTGCCGGAGATCATGGCCGCCGGCATCTGCACCTCCGCGGTGGTCTTCCTCCTCGGCGTCACTGGGCTGATGGGGATCGTGTACAATTACATCCCGCTGCCGGTCGTCAGGGGAGTCCAGCTCGCGCAGGGCCTCTCCTTCTCGCTGACCGCCGTGAGGTACGTCAGGAACGAACAGAACCTCGCCAAGGGTAAGTCCCTGGATCAGAGGCCATGGCTGGGCTCGGACGGGCTGGTCCTCGCCATGATCTGTGTTTGCTTCATCCTGATCGTTAACGGCGCCGGCGAGAACGGGGGGAGCGGCGAGGACGAAGATCTGGGTAGGCCCGAGGGCAGGAGCGGCAGGAGCAGGGTGTGGAAGATCTTAACCTCGCTGCCCTCCGCCGTGATCGTCTTCCTCCTTGGCGTGGTGCTGGCGGTGATAAGGGAGCCGAGCGCGGTGAGAGGGTTCACGCTGGGGCCGTCGACCGTGCACGTCGTGCGCATTTCCCGCCACGCGTGGAAGGAGGGATTCCTGAGGGGCGCGGTGCCGCAGATACCCCTGTCGGTGCTGAATTCGGTGGTGGCGGTGTGCCGGCTATCGCACGACCTCTTCCCGGAGAAGACCCAGGAGGTGTCGGCGACATCGGTGTCGGTGACGGTCGGGCTGATGAACCTGGTGGGCTGTTGGTTCGGGGCGATGCCGAGCTGCCACGGGGCGGGGGGTCTCGCGGGGCAGTACAAGTTCGGGGGGAGGGGCGGGGGGTGCGTGGCGGCTCTCGGTATGGGCAAGCTGCTGGTTGGCGTCCTGCTGGGGGGATCCCTGCTGAGGCTACTAGCGGCGTTCCCGGTGGGGCTGCTGGGGGTGCTGCTTCTCTTCGCCGGGCTCGAGCTGGCGGCGTGCTGCCGGGACATGACCGGCAAGGAGGAGTCGCTGGTGGTGCTGACCTGCGCGGCGGTGTCGCTGGTGGGCTCGAGCGCCGCGCTGGGCTTCGCCTGCGGGCTCGCCGCGCACCTCCTCCTTTCCATCCGGAAGGCAATAGGCAAGCGCCTCTGAAAGTCCCCCACGTCCGTCCTGCTGCTACGTTCCATCCAATGGTGACCCTACTGAAAGTCAGCATCGAGGCTCTCCTGCGTAGCATGGTGTATGGTGTGGAAAGAAAAATAAGGGAGAGGAGGTCTCCACATGGCTTGGCTCCGAACCTAACCCCTTCCGCTCTGTATCGTGGCCTCTCGTCGTCTTTTCTACTGTGTAGTACCGGCTGATGAAATGAAATCCGAAATTGAAGTGACAGAAGATGTCTCTGGAGTCGTAAACAAATCCCACATCTCTATTATTTTGATGTCTTGACTCGATTCCAAGGGTCAAACCTAGCAATAACGTAGACGGGTCTGGATTCACACCGTCCCGACCTTTCGATTGGGTGGCCGGACCAGGAAGCCAAGTGCCGTCGCGATTTCGTGTGGTCTTTGTAAGAGAGAAGTAGCGTGTGTCGTACCATAGAGATTCGGATTCTGTGCTATAACTCGTGCCGTACAGGGAAAACGTACCAGTTACTGAGGAACGACCCTGGAGGGGCGGGGAGACTGAAGAAGGTATATCCATCTCCGACGACATGCGACGTTAACGGCGCTTCGGTGAATTGCAGACGGAGGAAAGACAGGAAAAAACTGTGCAATGAGGAACCATTCTTCAGATTAAACTATTCAGAACAAGTTAGGGCAGAGAGAGGGAGAGTGTATTATTATTTATCTCAACAATGTCGCTCATATGAGGTTGACGATTTAGATTCTGAAGAAGTTTCTCTGGTGTAGATTAAAATAGGAGATGAGCTTGCCTGCAACTATTTTTCTAAACGAAATGAGAGTCAACCTTACATGGTGTTTTGAGATAAAAAGGGCCAATTATATCACAAAATAATAAGGAGAAGTTGATCACCAGATCTAGTCAGCAATCGTCACAAACACTGGGGATGTCTGCCGGAGATAGGAATAGCAGGTTCGGACGAAGAAAGACACACCAGGCTCCTCCAGAATGGTGTTCGTTCAAGTGATCTGCCCGTCTGCACATCAACATACCGTGCGGTAGGGTGCGGTAGCAGATTTAGAAGAATTAATACCGTGAGAGTACTGACTTGATGCTCAAATATTCATAATAGGAATCAGAACGTGTTAATGGCAGATAACCGCGAAAGCTCAGGGGTCATCTCAAGACCAAAGAATTAATCTACAAAATTCATGCCAGAATAATAGAAAATGCTGAGTAATGGCTCATATTTGTAGTTGCCCCTGATGAAGGTGCTCATCAAAGGGTCATTGTCACAGGTGGATAATCCAGCTCTTCGTTTAACCACCCAAGTCCGACCTCGACCGTTTCTTTGTCAATGTCGACCCCCCACGTCACCTACGGAAACCTCCAAGACCTTACTACGATAATGGAACACCGAGGTACTCATATTATCCCAAGAAGGGTGCACATAGAGGGGGGAGAATAGCCCAACATGACAGCTCTTCCCTCTTCCTGGCTTCTGGCTCTCACTCAAGTTTCAGCTGACTCATTGCAACTACCTCAGTTATCTTTAGCACTCCCTATGTTCGTTCTAGAGCTTCTCCTCTCCTGCAGATGAGATGCACACGCTTTCTTGCTTTACAGCTCTCTCTCTCTCTCTCTCTCTCTCTCTCTCTCTCTCTCTCTCTCTCTCTCTCTCTCTCTCTCTCTCTCTCTCTCTCTCTCTCTCTCTCTCTCTCCTGTACACCTTCTTCCTCACTTTCCATTATCTCATCCAACAAGCAGAGTTCCCCCTTTTTTATAAAAGGAGAGGTTCAGATAACCTTCTCCATTTTGACCTACCTCATTCTGCTCCCTTCGTCATATAGACGCATTCCTCCGACTGTCTCAGATCTCTCACAAATCGAAAGGAGCCATTCAAGATTCAAGAAACTCACTATGTTCCAGTTTCCCTCATTTACCCATGCATTCCCGCGTGGCCCATGCGCCCGCTGTACATGTGAGATGCTCACTTGCCTCCATTCACCTGCGTCTCATGTGGCCTTTCGACCTCAAGCCGATCGAGAGGTTTCAGGAGCGTTAGATCCTCCCCCACACGATGAATATGATGTCCTCGTTGGAGGGGTGCTTATTGAGGTACAAGTTGCTTAAGTCCTCAAACTGTCACAAGTCGAATTCGTGCTCCCGTGTCGCATCCTCAGAGGGCTTGCCCCACCACTTCACTAGGAAGTAGACACGGCAGTGAGACTTGAACCTAACTCACTAGAAGGAGCTGTCCAGCTCTTTTGATATGTTGAGCGAGGGACATACTGTAATCTCACATGATGTGAGGGGAGGTTATAAATATGAACTCTAACTTATAACTCTTGCATGGTTTTGATAATCCATGTAGTCTCTTTCCTTTCTCATTGTTACTCTCTCTCTCTCTCCCTCTCTCTCTCTCTCTCTCTCTCTCTCCCCCCCATGGAGTAAGGTGTAATTTATTGAACTCATAATTTGCAGTGAGTGAAAGCATGTTCTTCTTGTTTCCAATCTAAATTCATCTTAGTGTTGTACTTGCTAGAGTGATTAATCCAATAGAAAGCCATCAGAAGCATAGAGTAAATGAAAGTTACTGAAATGTATAGCACACCTTCATCAGAAGATAAAGAACTGATCCATGGGAATTCGCGTTGCATGTTTTTTATTATTATTTTAATGGTGAGCAAATAGGAGAGTGTTACATCTGATAGAGGATGTTCTTCCAAGCTATAAATCTGTATTAATGACGTGCAATTAAAAGAGATAATGATTATATCTGGCATTGAGTGACAATCATTCTGATTAATCAACAAGGTCGTAAGATACATGGCTCCCATGGAAAATAAGAAAAAATAAACAAAAAAAAAATCATCTTTCTCTATTTTTGTTTTTAGTGGAAAAAACTGTAAGAAGACTTGGCTAAGTAAGGTTCTATGTTTTAGGGTTTTGAGTAGCTTGTACCCTCGGTACTTTGACAAATATTTTATAATAAGACAACATTTGGTCATAGTCACCGATGTGTGTCACATTTGATGCATATTACTTAAGCCATTAATACATTTAAAAGGAGACGTTTGCATTAATAACATATGAGGAAAGAAAGCAACATATATACCAAGATCTCGGAACCAAGTAGATTTGCATCCAACCTCAGTTTGTGGGGCTTGATTTATTGTGCCCAAGGAAGTGTACTTAATAAGGTGCAAACGTAAGGTATTTAGATTGATTTTCAAAGGTTTTTGACAGTGATATTGATGGGACCGTGGTTTTAAAGGTGTAGAAGAGAGACAAAAGCCAAGGTTAAAAATAAAGAAGATTCCAACAGTGACAAAGGGAAAAATGAGGTGGAGAAAGGGAAATGAAAGGAGAGAGATAGTTGAAGTGTGGGAGGACACATATCCCCACACCCTTCACCCACATACCTATTTGAGACGATGGATCTCATATTCCCTCAAAAATCACCCCCTAATACTGCCCCTCTCCCCCAGTTTGAATATTATCATCTTTATGTTGATAGAATGAGCATATTTCCTTCATTTATTTGACTCTCTCCTAATGAGCATTTTCTTCAATAGACGCTCCCTTCATTGAACTAATGATTCCTTCATTGTATTTGACAACTCGAGGTTTGACTGCTTTACATTAAGTATGCCTTTGACATGGTAGTTCTGAGGGTGAGAGTAATGACTACTCATCCCTCAAAATTTCACCTTGCTCTTAGGGTGAAAGGAGGGAAACTATTGTTTGATGTTGTGTGCTGACTCTCACATATTTTCAAAGGTTGGTAATTTTCTCTATTTAATCAATACCTCAATGCCACATAGGCTTGCTGGACATTAATAGCATCTTCTGATGTGACACATCAAGCCAGATTTGTGTCAACTTGTGAGAACTTTCTGGAGCAATAGAGGGCATAATACATTGTTGAAGTTAAGATACATGAAAAACTTGGTGAAGGCTATCAACACGTTGGAAGAGCAAACCAATATATAACTTACCTGATCTATTCTAGGATTTCAAACAACTAAAAAAATTGTGATCAAGCCTCTTGTATGGGCTTCAAGTGAGAGACTTCAGTTGATATGGTCTTAACTTGAGGTAGATGTGGTCCTTCACATTGAATGTGAGGCCTCTTTGACATTAGTCTGCATATTCCTTTATTTTTCTTTGTACCTTTGCTAGATGACCTTGGAGTTAATCCAAGGTGGTGTAAGGGTCTTGAAGAAGTTAGTTTATTTCTTTTGTATGAGCTCATGGGGTATCATAATGAAAGAGGATTGGAGGGGTTCATCCATAAATGATATGAAATGAGGTGGTTATGACAAAAGAGTGAAAAGTGGTATTATATCAATTTTTTGCCCATACAAGTTGATAGATCTATTGAAAGAGATGCTTATTGATGGAATAGTGGAGATATATTTGAAACCTCTAACTCTTGGCTTATTTTGTCAATCAATTTTGCAAGTGATGTAAACTAGGGCCTCAAAGATGAGTCCCTTGGAGTCATGACAATTCATGATAGAAGATAGTGATAAGGATGTGATCTCTAAAAGTGAAAATAGAAGCTGAAATCTCCTGAAGGTGTATGATTCTCAAACAAATATATAACTACCTTAGTAGTAAATGTCGAAGGATGCAAAAATTGACATATTTACTAAGTTAATTTAATATGATAAATATATCATTGAACTTGTCAGATTTTGATAGTGTTGCCATGAAATCTATGAATATGTCTTCCTATTTTATGGAGGATTGAAAGTGATTGTAGGAGGTTTGCAAGAGATAGTGATCCTAACCTTTTTGTTGGATAGATTGAGCAAACTTCAATTTTTTTACACACATCTTATTTCAATCAAACCCAAATAATATTTTATCTGAGCCATTTTTAGGTCTATACCAAAATTTGAATGTCCCATAATAATTGAATTATAAATTTCTTTAAGTGCAAAGGATATAACAATCAATTATCAAAAGAAAATGAGGTGACAAGAAACTTGTTTTAATCCATAGATAGACTTTTTTAATTT